TAGATTTTGTGGATTAGGAGTGGAGCAGTCAAACTTGCTCTTCAGGGGCAGGTAGCTGTGGGAAGATCGCGCGCTATCAAAAAATATAAAATTTTTCTCTCAAAAATTTTTTAAAATTTTGAGAGTAACATCAGAATGATGACATCCGAATGATTGTCCAGTACGTCAGTTTTCGCTTTCAATACGCACTCCGGGGGGAGAAATCAGACCGTAGTTTGCCCTTGATGTTAGCAATGCGCAGTTGTTTCGGTCGTGAGCAAAAAGCAACATTGAATAGCAGTGATGGATCGGCAAAGAAGAATAGTGCAAAATTTCTATGATTTATTTTATCCCCTTCAAAGTTCTAGCAGTTAAATTTCGAAAAAGTTCCAGAAATTCGATTTTTTTAAGCCAGAAAAAGCGAAAAAATTGGAGAAATACAGGACGAACTGCTCAAGCGTTATCAGTGAATATTTGCCGAGCTTTCGAAGCACTTTGGACGAGCACTCCGTTGGTGTGAACGGATCGTTAGCACCCCCATAACGCGAAGGAAGAACGTGTCCAATGCGAAGAAATGAGCCACAGACAAGCCTTTTACTTCCACAAAATTGCCAAAAAGCGGGTAAAAGTCAGTATATCAAGTTCTTCAGGTAGCAGGGACCCAGAGTGAGACCCCGAAGCCCCGAGCCCCGTCCAGCTGATGACCGATCGAGTGTGAATTGTGAAATTTACATATGGACGGAGCTTGGCGGCTTGCATCGATCGCGCAGCTTGCTGGACTCTCGCAAACGCACGCTCTCTTCGACGAGCGCTGACCGCTGCCGCAAGGAGTGGACCTCGAGTCCTTCCCCGGGGCCCGGGGGAGTGGAGGAAAGGAATGAACGGGGAAGGAGAGGAGATAATGTTCTGCTTACCTAAACTTCCGGAATTTTGGGGCACAATTGCAGGCATCCGCAAAATTAGCAACATGCAAACCTCCATTCCCTCTTGTTCTGTGACGAATGGTCCCAAAAAAGTTTTTGATGATGTATTTGGAAACGACGAGAATTTTTTGAAGTTTGATTCCAATCCCAGAAAAGTCGTTGCCATTTCTCAGACATTTACTTTATATATTTATTTATTTTATTGTCACTAAACAGGGCGGACATACATTATGACATGCTGTACATACTTTGCAGGAGGTGAAAGTTTAAAAAAAATGACTGAATCCAACTTGTGTCTTTTTTGAATTTGATATGATTTATTTTTTATGGTAGACTCCAGAGAAATGATAAAACTTACTTCTCAGGCAGGTATAAAAACGCGAGAGAAATTTCCAAAGACAAACAAAAAAGAATTTAAATTTGTGCTGCAAAATTTCACACTACCAAACATTTCTAAGGCGACGTGCTTTCCAGACATCAAAAGTTTTTGAATTTTGCATTCGATTTATTCATGGAAGCACAACAACGTATTTGACATGTGCATACTAGCGTTAACGAATAGCTTTTCTTCGCTCTGAAAGACAGATGTAAAATTTTAGAAATTTCTATATCGACTTAGGTCTGGTTCAAGGTGAGATTACCTACGCACAACTGCATGGGTGCTCGTTTTCGTTTTTGAAAAAGTACTGCTATGGAGTTGATTTTGAAACTGAATAAGACGTTCTAAACTGCATCAGATAATTCTTTGTCTCCTTTATTCCTAGTAAGGTCGTTGCAAATAGTGAAAGCAGCCTCACCTGCCTAACAATCGTAAGCCAGTTTTGGATTTGATGATTCTGCAGAAAAATTTTCCTCTTTCGAATATTTTGGCCAGATTATAATAAAAATGCCGATTTTGTGAAGTTTCGCTTTATAGTCATTTTGACATCTTAACTGAAGTGCTGACTAATGACTGCTAAGGATAAATACATTCATTTTGCTCATACTACTTCTAAAACGCTTCGGCTGCGTGTTCAAGTGAGCGAAAAAATTCCAAGTAAGTTATTATACAATTTTCATCGCTCTTTCACACATGAAGATGGAATGAACCAATTCAGATCTTCGTTTTTTGTAAAATTCAATATCAACGAAAGATAGGAATCCCCTCGTCGAATGTTTTACCAAGTACACTTGCACTCAATATTTGTGATGACAAGCTGGAGGACAGACGAACCGATTGATGTTCAAATATTTGTAGGCTAAGCTAACCATCATTTGTCTCTTCAATCATGTTTTCTTTATGTAAAATTTGATAAAGGAGTGAAAGAAACATTTGTTATCGCGACAGAATTAGTAAATCTGTAGAGTAATCACAAGAGTGACCGTGAAAACTCAATGAGATTGCAAGTGAAAGATTTCTGTATATTAGGTTTCACATTGAACAAAGAAAGTGTTATTTCTCCTCGAAATAGCTCCAAATGTAAAACCAAGATTCTGCATTCAATGGTCTACTTTCACCGTATCCGAGGATACTGTAGGTATGCGCTGCACACCAACGCGCTCGTTTTCTGCAATATTGCGAGGACCTTATTAATCCACTCGTGTGAAGATTCTAAGCAAATAACGACTTCAAGAAACTCGCGTTCTTTTCGGAAAAATATGAGCGATATTCTTTAGGCCACATGCTGAGAGGGAGTTTTTAGCCATACTCACTTTTCTCTAAAATCTACACAAATATTAGGTCGTCCCGAAAGTTCTTGCGCACAATTTTCAAAAATTCACAACTCCTTGGATTCTCAACGAATTTGTATGATCAAAATTTTACTTGAGAGAGGAACTCATGCTCTTTGCAATTGTATCTGAATTGTTCGTTAATGTGTGCAATGGAGGAGATAGAAGCTCAAAATCAAAGTCACTCAAAATTTGAATTTTTCGTATAGGGTCATAAAAAATCGGAAACTTGCAACGAAAATCAGAGCAGTCAGTATTGTAAGTCCTTTCACAAGTTCTTTCCAACAGTGCAAAGTTTGCGCCGATTGAGCGTCTCTATGAAAAGTTATGATTTTCGAGCAAGCAATACAAGAGGGCGATTTGATTTATTTCGGCATTTTTCAGGGAATTCATAACTTTTTACAGAGACGCTCAATCGGCGCAAACTTTGCACTGTTAGAAAGAGCTGGTGAAAGAACCTATAATAGTGGCTGCTCCGATTTTTGTGGCAAGTTTCCGATTTTTTATGACCCTATACGAAAAATTCAAATTTTGAGTGACTTTGATTTTGAGCTTCTATCTCCTTCATTTGCACACATTAACGAACAATTCAGATACACTTGCAAAGAGCATGAGTTCCTCTCTTATACAAATATTTGGTCGTACAAATCCGTTGAGTATTTAAAGAGTTATGAATTTTTTAAAATCGTGCGCAAGAACTTTCGGGACGACCTAATATATGCTAAATTTGTTTGCAAAATTTATTGGCGCATTTGCTTGCATTAGCATATATTTAATCAAAATACTAGAATTTGCAACAAAATATTAGTCAACCGCATATCGCTTGAGTCTGGGAACTTCACATGGAGAAAAAGCTACAGCGCACCTCATCCCTCAAGGTCCGCTGGACTTAAATTTATGGAAATGGGAAGGATGCATCAATCAAGCAATCAAAAAATTTATTTGAAACATAGATTTTCTCACTATGACTTTCATTATACAGGATGTCCCAAAAAGATTGCACATTGTTTGATTGTCAATAACTCTCTTGCTTTCATGTCTTTCGCCGAGCTTGAAGCAGCATTCTATAGAGCGAGATTCAGTTTGGATTTATGGTATGAATCGAATCACCGATCTGCCTTCATTATTGTAGGATTACGGTATTTTCAATATACAGCGCCAGTGTAGAATAGGTTTGATAAAGAAAAAATTCCAAAAAATCTGGAAATTTTTGTAGCAAGGTTTTCAAGTGTGCTGAATTCACTACACAACTTCCTACCAGTTTTTCGGGATTTTTACTGGTGTCGCATTTCTGACGAACATTGGAAAAACAGCTGTTACCCTAAACCTGGAATAAGTTACGAAGAAGCACTAAGTGAAGTGCAAACTTCATTTTTAGAAACGGCGACTTCGATTAGCTTAGTACAAGAGTTTCTGGCTTGTTTGGTATTCTTGCTGAGGAGAATATCGCTTTCAATGGCCTAAAATCTTTCTCAAACTTCTCAACGTAATTCTACAGCAACGAATAAAGGCCGGAGGTTCATTCCAAGCTGCAAGTCAAGTTGAACCTCGCTCTACAGAATGGTACCTCAGGCTAGGCGAAAGACGTTCAAGCAGAGAGTTATTGACAATCAATCAGGGTGCACATCCTTTTGGGAACAACCCGTATGCTTCTGAATACCTCCTTTGATTCCAAAAATGAAGAGCTGCAAGTTCAGCGCAGCAGAATATCATTGTAAAAGTCGCCTTGTGTAATTGCACAACTGTCGCAGTTTCACAGGCGACTGCAAATGCAAAAATAAGGGAGCTCTTAACGTTGTGTAATCGCCTTCTTTATACTTTTTTTATAGTTCTAAACCGTTTCTTTGTGCCACCGACCAGAACTATTGGAGATCAAAGTGGTGCAATTGCACAATGCAACTGTTGGAGTAAGGGACTCATAAAATAACAACTGCTATAGCTATGCAATTTTTTATTTTTGCATTTTCTCATCGTTGGGCACATGCCTCGATAACACAAAGCTTGTATTTAGAAAAATGACTAAATCATCGTATTAAAGTTAGGTTCGGTCAGAAGAAAAAGGAAGCCAGGATAAATGTCTCCAGGAAATTCAAACGAACCTAATAACTACGGCGATAGGTCTTTTGATTCCTCCTGTACGATGTGCATACCCTAATCGCATGTCTTTTCCCCTTCTCTTCCAACAAATTTTTCGTCTATTCATCGCGTTCATTCATGCGATTGCCGCTCTGTCTTCTAGGGCTTTTTTTTCTTCACCATCTAATGTTTCAGACAATGCCTGAGAATGCGCCCTCTAGGGAAATCTAAACATCTATTTTGTTCACATGTTCCCTGCAGACAACGTGCACAACTTTGGAAGTGCATAGAAGGATCTATCCATAGTTTACAGAACCGCAAAACTTTATGGCATAAACGGAACTTCTATAAACAGTCGAATGTATTCTGAATACGCCATAATCAATGCCCGCCAAGCTTTGGCTTTATACACAATATACAGAGCAAACGGCAGAAAATGAAGGAACAACACAAAAGATCACAGGTAACACCCATTCTGATCATATCCATATGACATCAGAATATATAAATAAAGATCTAATCTTTCTAGAACTCTATGTAACGCGAGAATTCACCGTTACGCTTCAACATGTATACGATAAAATAAACACAAAAAGATATGACCAATTTCAAACTAACCGAAAGCAAAGAAAGCACTTTAAGAAATGTATATACCCAAGTATCACATCGGCGGAATTCTGTGAATAAGAGAAGTGACATGCCACGTGCGCTACAATCGCAACTTACAGAAAGCTCGGTTCCCAGTCAAGGTTTGGGCTCGCTCTTAGGACGTCGCCTCAAGCCATTCGATCGAAGGCTCATCTGACTTTCAACACCGGCCAAATAATCAGAATCTAATATCTCGTCACAGGTAGGGCGTTTGTCGGGATCCATGCATGTGAGCCAACGAATAAAATCGCGCTGAAAGATGGAATCTTGGTACCAAAAGTAAGCAGCAAGGCGTGAAAGCCACCATTCGCATTGCTCACAAAATTCAAACAAAGTAATTCCGAGATGACTTTGGATATCGTTAATGACATAACCGACCAAGTTCAAAACAAAACGATTTCTGACAAAGCTCCTTAACAAACCAACCTCTTCTGGTATCGCTGCAAGACTGTCAGGAACACTATCATGTTGCAAGCTGCTTAGTGTCAGACTCCTCTCCATAAGCGTTTGGAATGGTATTACTAGCTCACAATAGATCAGACCAAGAGAAAACACATCCACCTTGAAAGTGTACGGCTTGTTTGCTAGCTGAAATAGTAGTAATGACAGGCAAAACGAAAATTGTAAGGTGCCTGATGACCTGCTCTGGACTCATGTATCCTCTCGTTCCCACATTATCAGTATGAATTGCAAAACGCGATGAGTTCTTTTCAATCGGTTGAACCTCAGCCGGTACACATCTGGTAACCAATCCCAAGTCCCCTACTTTCAGGGTCTGATCCGATGCGAAGAATATGTTTTGCGGCTAAAGAGGTATAGCGATAATTTCGTAGTAAAATTTGCAAAGAACATAAAAACGCAAGAAACGTTTATACCTTCATATCGCGATGAATCAGGCCTTGGTGGTGGATGTAGCTAACCGCACTACACATTTGTATCATCCACATCTTCATTTTTTCTAACGGGCGATCTGTCCGTAACCTATGTTCGGACAACCACATATGCAACGTCTTTTCTTGACACAGCTTGAAGAAAAAAATATGCAATGGTCATTTGAAGCTCACTTCCTAACCTGCATCTGAATGTATATGTACACGAAATTACTAGTAACGGGACTCGGCATCAGATCCTCATCGGTAGACGACACTAGCACCATCTAAAGAAGATATCATGAGAAAAAATGATTGAGCTCTTTAATTCGAAAGTGGACTGATGTGACTACAATTGGAAATGATGCAAAAATAAATTCCAGCAGAAACTGTCCACTCACCTTCTTCCCTAGTTGTGCTAACTCTTTGTCAACCTTGGTATTGGCCTTCGAAGCATCTCCTGAACTGTAGGTAGCAAATATGACACTTTCGGATTCCTCTTTTGTAACTTGCTTTGGGGCTGAAAAAAAAGAACATACATATCATCGTATCTCAAAAAGCAGTAACAGTCACCAACCGCTTATTTCACTTTCGTCATCATCGCTGTCTGAAAGTTCTTCACGATCAGCTTCGTCTCCATCGTCGTTACCATCATCGAGCCAGGACCCGTCGTCACTGTATTCGTTCATAGCAGGGGCTTCCACGCTAACAAAAAGAGAGAATCAGGCATGAATGTAGGCTCACTGCTCACCCTTACCTTTGTGAAGGTTCAGAGGTGACTTCCGATAGTGGGACTACAACAGATGAGGAAGATTCAAGTGACTTCTGGCTCAGTAGCTCCTCAAGCAGTTCGTTTGATGGCGAACGTGACGCCATGCCATGCAACATGAGAGTATCTTGCTCCTCCGAAAAAAAAGGACATTATGCACAAAAAATACGAGGGAGGTGAGAAATACTTACAAGAAAAATGTTATGATAAAGGAAAATTGTATTAGCACGAAGCACACCTGCCATCCATCAGGAGGTCTTTCAATCCATGTGTGATAGTATCGGATAATGCTTGGATGATCCAACTTCGCCATAGCTCGCACTTCACGCAAAACTCGTTGTATGGCGCGTTCGCTGAATTTGGATGGAACAATGCAGACCGACTACATAGCTTTCAGAAAAGCTTTTGGATACATGCTGATATACTCTGTTCAACCGCCAATGAAATATCTAGGGCCAACCTGTTGGAAACCGCTATGCGTTTTACCGCATAAGGACATTCATCAAGACGATTTATAGCTTCAAACACTACACCAAAACCTCCATGCCCAAGCAGCTTCACTGGTTCAAAGTCTTGCAGAAATCTGCAAACCAAAATAAAGGCAAGCTTATCGAAACGAGTGTGATCATGAACTGACTTGCTGTGGAAAGTTTCGCCGACGCTATCATGACTGGAAGTCGTTCTGCGTTGTCTGATTTCTCCGGTGGGTGTTTCTTCAGACGACGGTGTGCTTCCAACAGATGGTCCGACGGAAGTCGACCGCGTTTCTGCTCTCTTGGCCTAGAAGATTCAAGTTCCTAGAGGCCAATATCGGTTAAGCTCAATTACATATCATTGTTCACAAACCTTAGCCAAAGTGACCACGATGGATGAATCTGTGGATGAGAGAAGAGAGGGAGAGAGGGCATCTCGTTTTCTACGACGACTCAATAAAGCATGTAGGACGACAGATGCGGATCCAACTAGACCCAACATCGCCAAAGCAATGATTCTCCTACACAAAAACATGAGAATTCTGTACTAAAGTGTTAATGAGATAAAAACTTACCACCAACCCGACACCATGTGATCAACTCGAAGTGTCTTGCTGAAACGCTCAACGATGTTTGAATTGCATTGCGAAGGATCCAAAAGATTGAACAGGTCACGTTTCGCAGGATTGCCAGAAGGTCGCATCACAAACCATCCTTGATCGCCTTCAGAAGCACCTATTCGGGTGAGGCAACACAAGCTTTAGCATACGAATACTTACCACCACCTGGACCATCAAAAGCGGCACTTCGGATATCCTTTTCGCCGATTAGCGCAGTCCCCTCGCTGCTAGGACAGGATACTGATGGATAAGACACCCTTCCTAAATCGCATTTATTGGAAAAGAATCAGAGCTGATGATAAAAAATACCTTCATTCGCCGCCACAACTTGAAGTTCACGGTTCTGCCGCGTAGAAATCTGTTTGTTGTTATTCCTTGCTTGTTTGGCAGTGAATGAGCGTTTGTAAGAAGAGAAGAGTAATTCATCTGCAGGCAATTAAGTAAATGCATGATGAAATCAGTAAGTCGCTTACCAACGGTGCCCTGCTCAATAAGATATGTCGAACCAGATGGTCGTGCGAGCTGGTTATGACTCTGACTGGATGATGGAGGTTCCGAAAGATCCATATTCTTAGCAATTCTTTTCATTTCCTTCTTTACTAGAGATGAATGCATAATGAACGGTTCATTGTTGAGCGTTCCTAAATATGCTGAAAAATGGGAGATGAGGAGAAAATGAAAGATACCTAGATAAAACAACGACTCCGTTCTGCGAACAGTGTTTGAAGTCACTTCATTTCCGACAGAAAGGGTGTGTATGTTATCCGCATCGAAAAGCGAAACCTGAAAGAAAGGCAATACTAAAAACGTAGTTCAATGACAGCTATGGAAATGGCGTAAGACGCATCAGAGAATAACCACATCTAAGAAAATTGAATTTGTCACAACAGGAATCTAAATTGCTACCTCGCTCAACTCGCCGTTCTCCAACCTCCAAGTTCTCACAATATGGCTATCCAACTGCTGCGACCATAGTTCGTTTCCGCAGTTGTCATAAGCGGTTATGACACCATCAGGAGGCTGCACAAGGTACCGAATTCTAAAGCAGACTTATGTGAGAAAGCCAATGACACTCAAGCACTTCATACCTGTGCCCCCCAGCAGCGTACAACTGAGATTTGCCACTTTTGACCAAAGTCGCATCATACTCAGAAACAGACAAATTCCATCTGGAAAACTTTCTACAGAGTAGTAAAATACAACTATCAGGACAGATTGCATAAAAATTAGGAACTACCATATCATCGTTGCAACTTAGCTCTGCACATATGCATCAATAATCATGGATACCTACCACTATCATAATAGCCTGCATAATTGGACTGCTCGCGGCAGCGAGAGAAGAGATACCAAGATATCAGGCGGCAAATGGTTGGGACATCAGTTACTTTAGAGTTACATATCAAAATTTAGGAGAAAAAGTACAATAAAGATGTATTTATTTAGTTATTTATTGAGACGTGTAAAACAAACACGTGAGTATGATATGCAACTAAAACCTGAGTGATGAGAGACCATAATGAACGATTTGTGATTGAAGATAATGAAAAATAACAAAAAAAAAACAACTGATATAGTAGTAAGAAAAACAGAAAATGAAAAGAAAATGTATAGCGAATTTTACGGGTCAGCGCCCAAAAATCAAATAAAAATAAAATGCCACAGAAGTCAAAAGTACCTCTCGATTCCAGTCAACGCATCTACAGCTCGGATCTTGCTGGTGCTTCGACGAAATACAAGTGTAGTTGTAACCGGTTTTGTGACAGCTGAATTGCAATGAGAAGACGAGCAGTGGTAGCGCACCTAAACGAGAATATGGAGAACAGCAAAAAAAAAGGCGGGAAAAGAAGATAAGCCACTTCTCCGGTAAGCGGATCTACTCCCGTGGTGGTGACCGTTCGTCCCCCAGCTACAGCGTCGTGACCAACGCGAACTGAAGCCTGCAAATGCAAGTATGAGTGAGCTGGATTGGAAAAGACGTAGGCATGTCTTGCGAATATCAAGGAGATAGAAATCTTGAAGATATAAATAAGTTGCGAGTTCTTAAACCACTTAATCTGCCTGGTCAGTAATCAAAATATTAACAATTATTACCAGCTCGTGTATAGTGCAAACGATATGTAAGCTAGGTAACGAACAGCACTAAAGCTGTTTATGAAATGATTGCAAAACAATAAAAAATTTGTCGTGAGCATGAAATAACGACTTTGATACTTGCAATAACGAACAAATATATCGCTGAACGTTTTTTAGAAAAAAAAATTGCTGCGAGATCAGACATATACAGGACATATTCACGAATTACCACGTAAAGTATATACTACCTGGAGAAGTATGTCCGTACTCAGCGGGATAGGTTCGAGAAGATGTTCGTCTCGAGAGTACATGTATAAATTGCCATCTAATGCAGGGACGAGAGTGAAGACCCGACCATCTACTTGCATAGGCTGTAATTTATGAAAAATATAGGAAAATAGTCCTTGCTTGGATTCAAGACCAATAAAAATCCGTTTGCAAATAGAAAGAAGAAAAATGATGTCAAAAACGAGATAATGCATAAGTTTCTATGCGATAGAAGCTGATTGCAGACCTGCATTTTGCCCAAAGTCCCACACATCAAGGCTTCGGTATCAAAATCGGCTACCCAAGCCACTTCACCATCATTATTAGCATCTAGAGCGTGAAGCCTACCATCCATAGTCGACACCTGAATGGCACTTTGCGTTACCAACAAACTGCAAAATATAGTACTCAAGAAAAACAATCAGGTAAAAAAGTTATTTCAAGAAAGACTCACAAATAGATAATTAGCATCTTCGAAAACTGGATCTCTGCAGCAGCGGCTAGAATCGTATACAGGATTTTGAGGAGCTGCAGGTACCTGAAGAGCACAAACGAGTGTGAGTGAAACACCAATGGAAGGCACAGCAACATAAATCAGAGTCGGAATCAGAATCCTGGAAGGCCGGTACGGGAATCACTGTATAAAAGGTAGAGAGATAATCAAATGCAGAGAAATCAAAACGAAGAAATCGCAACGTTGCTGTAAGTTTATTTGCCATGAATGTTAAACTCAGAGGTAAGGCATGGAGCTACAGTCTGCCCCAATCCTAACCAGGCCAAAATTGGCTTGGCGGGAATGCGCGTCGCGAGGGTTTCGCGCCACTTCTGCGTCTAGCTAGTCTGCTTTCTCCTCAATCTCTTCGGTCTCTGCGACAGCGCGTGTGTGCAGCGCGAAGCCCTAGCGCTGCGAGCGCGCAAATTCAGCCGACGGTTCGGCCTGATCCCGATTGGGGCAGACTGTATTTGCGCATAGGTTACAGCTACCGTAATCATAAGGCGGGTACAGATTCAGTGCAATACACTGATAAGAATAACGAAAATGTAAACAGGAGAATTAAAAAAAATGGCCGAAATTTAGCGGCATTTGCAATGAATTTAGCGGCATTTGTAATGAATCACATAAAACTTAGAATGCACTGATTAATTACGCTGCTGAAAACGGGAAGAATGACACATTATTTAAGTGACTAGAAAAATACTGTAGTTTATAGCGTTGTTCGGATCCCAGTTGGGAAGAAAGTGGTAAACAACCACCAGATATAAGAAACAAAATGAAAAATTCTATCACGTACCTCTAACTGCTGGGAATCAACCTGTTCTTCAGTGATAACACCGTCTTCGAGTCCAACGACAGCACTCCGAATCAAAAGAACACCACCTAGGACTACGAGATACCCGCCTAGTAACAGCACAGACCGAGGCATCGGCCATGCCACTGTCTATTGTACAGCCTTGAAAAGTTACTTTTTCGGTGTATGTGGGGCAGACGCAATCGAATGATGTAGTGAAGAAAAAGAACACATTGATTGATAGCGAAGTAAATAAGTTTCCAAGATCTGACGGAGTAATTCGGAACTAAGAAGATAAGTGTTAGATAGGAATAAAGCTAATTGTTACTAAAATATGTTTTGGCGAGTAATGATCTCAAGCTATCGGTCTGCTAGTGTGAGCTACAGATGCACTTTGACGAAAATGTAAATAGACACATGCAACAAGTGATCTCGAGCCGGTTACCTTGTTGGTGAAGTAGTTCTACTTGAAAAGATGGATGTAAAACATGTATATTCAGATGACTATTCTAATCTCTACTCTTTTTGTTACCCTTTGCGAGGCTGATAGATTGGAAGCAAGAAAAAAAGGCAGACAATGGATGAGACTAGAACAGGATGCTATACATGTCTCAAACATAAACAAATAAGAACGAACAGCATTTCAAGTAAACAAGAAGTAAACACAAATCTAGTGTTGCAACTGCACTTTGCAAATAATAATGTATTTGAAATATTCAAAGAACAACAACAATAAAGATAATTAAAACACTTATTACTACAATATGCATAGAGCGATATGCAAAGAAGAAATTTCAAGCTTTAGTAATTTTAGTAACTGTCAGCAAACAGATAATGAATGGAACGTTCCAGAAAGCATGCGATGTACAACGTAGAATGCAACTCCTAAAACAGTAACAGCTGCGCTGACGTGCGCTAAACGATTTACACGAACGCAATATTGCACTAGCACAAGGACCTCTTCGAGCTGACGATGTAATTGTCTGGAAAAGGGAATGATTTGCTGTGGTTCTCGCTGGACAAAGACTCTTCAGGGTTTCTAAAGTCTAAAAGTCTTCAAAGGACCGAACAAAACAGAAATTGGGATGTAACTACTTCATGTATATTTTTCGCAGATAGGAAAATGCAGCTATACTTGGTCCTTCCTAATGCAACTTTTGGCTTTTCCCTTCCAGCCCTGCGATTTCTGATGACAGAATTTGGTCCAGTTTATAGAGCCAGTGCTTTGAAGGCTGACGAGATCTGATGAGAAAGCAGTTAAGATTCCTGAAAAAAGTCGAAACTGTGTACTAGCTGAGGAATGTTCTTAGCAAGACGAATCCTTGGTGTCTCCTCAGAAGATTTAACGTTCAATCTATCCTGCAGTTTTGAAACACTGGCTTAAAAGTTAATCATAGAGCGCACATCTTCAAGTTTCTTCGCGCTATGGCCTTTTCCCAGCAATCGTTGTCAGCGTCGCAGGGGCGCTATTTTCACTAATCTGTAAATCTGCTAAATTGTATCACTTGCCAAATCTTATGATGCAATTTCGTCTCATAATGTATGCCACAAAAGGTTTAAGGTTGTCACAGTATACTCTTCAAACGGTTCCACAGTGGAGACGGTGAAGCTTCGATGAAAACAAGCCTAATAATTACTTGAGACCCGAAAATGAAAAAAAAAACATGGATGGACCGACGTGGGTCTCTTGCCCGTCCCATTCATGAAGTATGCACTCGGGTATCCAAAAGATCCCATCAATTATCGAAACATTAAGGCTAGTATCCGTACTTGCTCCTTGTCTACGGTAGACCTACCGTAAGGTTACCGTACAGCATCCGATCCCAGTCTGAGCTGCCCCCCCCCCTAGATTTCTCCAAACATGTGCCGAAGTCTCGCGGAGCTCTATCGTAAACTTGCAGACTAGAGCTTCAGAAATTGGAGAACATCGGTGGACCGAATGTCCCGAAATGGCACGCTGGCCAAATCTGTCTTCACTAGCTGCTGTGGCCTCTGGGCGCTGAATGAAAGTTTTTTGGTTCAAAAAGTAAGTGCAGGTTCCAGATAAAATCAATCATCGTCCTCTTCAGCGCTCGCAAAGAGGGGTGGTGAGGGTGAGCATATCAAACAAAGTATCAATGGCATATAGTACCCAGATACGGTGGTCGAAGGTATCCGTTCAATGTGCCACTGTTGACCTAGACGGTTGAAATAATTTTGCTTAGTTGCGTTCAATTTTTGACCCGTAAATGCTCAATACTCGACGTCCAGAAAAGCAAAGCAGATATCGAAGTCTTTGGAATCAGGGTTCAATGCTCTGCGCGGAGGTATAGGCTTTACTTGAAGAGAGCACTCCGATTAGAATCATTTTTCTGAGTTCGATGATTTTGATTTTCAATAAAAGCAATTGAGCACACTACTATCCACTACTTTTGCCTGGAAGTTCATGATTTTGTCAGATCAGGCAGTCGCAGCACTATTTGGTCAATAGCATTCATCCAATCCTGGCTCCTCGAACGTTTCGAAATGTTCCCGCTTGATTACAGATCATCCGAACGTACGTCTTCGAAGTCACTCTACATCTTTCAACTAATCACCATCGTGCTTGAACGTTCCTCTTTCGGCCAATCGCCGGCGTGCTTGATCGATTCTTTTCAGCCAATCGGTGTACTCGATCAATCCTTTCCAGCCAATCACTGGCGTGCTTGTCCCTACTCTTTCCTGAGGCACTGCTTTGGCTAACGAGACCCACTGAAGGAGCAACTCAAATTTCTGAAAAAAAGGTCGAAACTCTGTGGCTGCGATATAAATGAGAAGTTTCCTTCGAAGCAAATAGATCCGTGGTGCATTCCCCCCCCCCGTCCCCGTAATTCATTGAGTTGTGCATTCCACAAGGTTAAAATGGGAAGTCTTAGAATACATGCCTCGAATGCTTAGATCAAAGGTCTGAGTTTGATACAGAGTGTATACTTTTCAAGTGGTACCACAGTGGAGGAGGTGAGGCACTCACACAAAAATCATACTCAACAAAACTCCTCTCCTCGGCGCTTGTAAACGAAATCAGCCCATGATATGGAGTCCACATCTCCGCAGATCTATAGATGTTGCAGTGTATGTTCTAGAATTGAATGTACTGTTAGTAAAGAAGAATTGCCACCTTATTCTGCGCCAAATATGCATAGGCAAAAAATCAGGATGTCTAAACTCAGGTCACTTAGTGCATTTGCACAACACCTAAATTCTTGCTTCTTCAGTGTGCAGCGAATTCTCAGAATAGTGGATTCGTGAGTCCAGAGTATTATTGGACTCGATAACAGACATGTGAGGATCTGAACTCTAGTGCATTTGCACCAGGTGAATCGAGCTAACACAACTCGGAAAAACAACGTGGCTAACTAGGGATGGCAAAAAAAAAACTTCTACTTCCCCCATTTTGAATAACTCTAGATGACTTCCTCTTTAATTGTAAAAGAGACAGAGCAACAATGGCGTGCAGAGAAGTGATTATGCAAGTGAACTTACTTCTGATAAATATTAGGTTGTCTCATAACTTTTTACCGTTTTTACTAGAAGCGCCGTCTTTTTTACCTATCCTCCAACTGATGTGTCTCGAGCAGTCAAATGACTGGGCGAAATATGTAAGCTCTACAAAATGGCTATGAAGAGTCCGCCCAAATCTATTCCACGTAAAGTTATGAGCTGAAATCTGATAGCAGTCGAAAACGAACCTTACCGTCAAAAAATATCTTCCTCCGAAAAATCTATTCCTCATTCACCCTAGCATATGCTTGACATATACATTCAGATGTACACTTCTCGTAATTTTCACTTTTTCCATGCCTAGATATAAAGAAAAGAAATGCATGGAGTAAAATGGTAAACTCCACCCTAAACGTTCTGAGCTCTTCCCAGACAAGTGATCAAATAGCTCATACACACAGAATTACGACAATGTATTCGAACCGTAAGCGTATTAAGAATAGCAAAGCATCTTTTTGAGGACACTTAGCATGCGCTTTATTGAGCTTTGGTTGTGGAAATAAAGTTGAAAAAAGGAAAACTTCAATTTCGAAATTTTGAGGCAAGCCCGTTAAAAAATTCAAACTGTGCCTTAAAACTTGAAACAGGCAGTAAACTAGCTTTTTTGATCCCCTCCTTTACTGAGCAAAATTCGCGCTGACCAATCTCTTCTTAAAAAGTTATGATTTTAGAGAAGAGACTCCAAAAAATAGGTTTCTTAAGAAAATTGCTTTTGATTCCAAAACATCGGTTTCTTAAGAAAATTGCTTTCAAGACATTTTCTCTAAAAAATTATAACTTTTCAAAGAACAGCTTAATCCGCGCTTGTTTTGATCCACCAGAAAAAGGAAATCAAATATTCTAGGATACAACCTGCTTTGGATTTTATGGCACAGTTTTGGAATTTTGAACGGGTCTGCCTCAAAATTCCGAAATTGAAGTGATTTCCTTTTCCCATTATTATCTCCGCAAGCAAAGCTTAATGAAGAGCAGCAAGGTGTTTTCCAACATTACTGTCGTGCAGGATTATAGTAAGGGAAATTTACGATTTTTTGAAAATGGTGCGATCGAAGTTTTGGTTCAACCTAATATTTTTGAGTTGCTATATAGTCAAGGAGCATCTTTGAGCTTGTTTCCGAGGCCTGCCGAAACCCCCTTTCTACAAAATCTACAACCTCGCGACAAATCCACCATCCCAAAAAATTACATGGAGAAAAAGCTAGCTCCGCGACCCTTACTTGGCAGAATCCCTTTAATTAAGAAAAGCTTGTCAAAATGACTGTTTTGCAGCATAACTCTAGAAGGAACTAAGAGTACTGGTAGTGTTCTCATGCCAGTAAAATTCTATGGGGTTTTTACGAAAGTACTGCATGCTTCCCCTCGCTTTCTTTTCTCTGTCATGCTCGTTTTGACGTGTCTATTCAAGCTGCATCGTCAACGAAGGAAATAGAATGAAGTCACTGGGTGATGTCAATGAGGTTTTCATTTTTCCCAACCAATCAGTGCCCATGGAAAAGAAGATTTTTATTTACTCTCGCTTACGTTCGCTAGTCAATCAGCACATACACATTTGTAGTCATAAATTTTCCAATTGTGTTGCAGCATTTCTGCTTAACTTTTCATGGCAATAAAGAGTTACAAGGTGATGTCCCATGTGTGTCCCATAAGATCGAGAAAACATTTTTCTCAGGTAGTAGTGGTTAGCAGTAATGAAGAGCGGAGGTACTTAAGACGAAAAAGCAAGACAAGGAGTGTTGATCCAGTCAGATCCACAAACTATGTATGAGGTTGTGCCGTTGTCGATAATTTTTTATCGTTTCTCGTTTTCTCATGGATAGATCATGTTTTCGATTACATGGTTGTAAATGAATGGCTGATCTGGACTCCACAAAATTTTACCCGTCATTTAAGTGAGATGCATGTGGCATCAGAGTTTTCTGTTTCATTTCTACAACTAAGCCATTCTTAGATAAAAATGCAGTTTATCACGCATGACCGCAATTTAGTCCCAATCTGTTGGTGGACGTCTTTTATGCATGATTATTTAGCAAAACAAGGAAGAAGAAAAATCAAAATTCTACACTCAATGGAAAAATAAATTTGAAGGGAATTAGGCTTTCGTCGAGTTCCATTCGTGTGATATTGAGTCTAATTACATCGATTCAATTCGAGTGATTTTGCCATAGTACACGGTAATTGCTACATTGCAACAAGGCCATCAACTTGAATAAAAGTACGCTGTAATTTTCTCACATAGGTCATCATCTTGCTAACTTACGAGCAACACATGATAAGCAGATGTTAGCATAAACTATTGTAATGCCCACTTTTCCATTTTTATTCAACAAGTAAGGATATAGTTTTCGTGAATATTTTCTATGAACAGTTTTTGATTTTTCTCCAGTTTCCACATATGGACGAACGGGTAAAAGCTCTACAAAGTATATAAATGATTTGATGATTGATTTTTGTGCTTGAGAGATCATTAGTTGGTCGTCTATTTCGCTTATTATTTATTAACATCTGAGAACATTATGTAGGGTTGTCCATAAAGTCGGGTCAACAAGATTCATCACCGAACCACCCTCTGCTTGCCAGTTATATGAGAAAAATGTCAGTCAACTGACGCCGACCTCAAAAATGACTCATCCTCTGTGGATGCAAAGTTGATGTAAAGTCACACATCTATTAGCAGTAATGCCAGCCTTGCCAAGATCTTGTTCTTGTTCCGAATTTATTTCATTAATCCGTGAGCCTTCCCTGTAGCATAACACTCCATAACTCTTCAACAACATTTGAGGAAATTGTCAGCGCCAAAAACGCAAAATATGATTTCTAGCTTAAGATTTACATGATCCTAACGATCTCTATCGATCCTTACTCACCTTAGCGAAGCTCTACGATCCGTTGTGTTTTGCTCATATCGCGGCGCCCTCGTCAAACTGATGTAAAGTCCTCGCCGGGGCGATACACATCATATTGCTTCTGCTTCCCGGTCCAGCTAAAATGCTCTTCCCATTTTCTTTCACTTTCGTTGAACAATCACATATGTTTCCGACAAGTTCAATACTGCTTTTCTTTTGACAAAATTCCTTTAAGTCAATCATCATGCCGAGGAAGCTTCAAAAAGCTTCAAAATATCTCAACTGAATAAAGTGTATTATTATGTTGTTGTTTTAAAACTCATTCATTTCTACCGTACCCTTGATTTCCCCACAAATCCAGTATAAACAGATTCACTGTAATCAGCACGATGACGAGTCCTTGCTCAGCAAAGCTGTAAGTAGACCGGAGCTCAAGCTTTTGTATACTACCGTACTCTGACTGACTGCCGAAGTGCAATTTTGATTCACCTCGAAACTAAGGCTTCCTTTTTCGAATCCGGTACCCATTTACTCTGGGAACAGTGTACCAAAATTCATTTCATGTCTCTTCTAATAACTTGATATCATTTACGCTATAACTTTTTTTGATTTTGAAGATTACTAATATTCTCCTTGGTGACTACTCTCTCTCTCCTCTCATCTAGTCAGTGCAATCGAGCGCGATATTGACAGTTTCCGCAAAAAATTATTGAATCTCATAGGTAATAGAACCTGAGGCGTTCCTCATAAAGATAATGTCATTATGTCATTTGTTGAAGAGAAATATAGCAGCTGCCTCAGCACGAAAAACATGTCGTAAAAACAAACAATGCTTCAGCTTTCCGGATGAATTGATAGGTATGATTATTTGTAACACCTCTGCCGTGACACCTCTTCTTGAAGGCAGCGTCCAGGCAGATCTGGACCTATGGGGATTTTACGTGGGAAGTAATTTTGGGGCCCTAACTAAGGCACTGCCCAAGCGGCAGCGCAGATGACTCACTAACGGCTGACAGTGAGATATACGCCTCCAAACTAGACCCCAGGATCGTCCCGCATGGATTCATGGCAGTTTCGCGCGTGGACCCACGCTTTGCGCCATGAATCCGTGTGAAATGCGATCCTGGGTCCAGTTCCGAGAGGAGTATCTCAGCCGTCAGAGCACTACCTGAGCTGCCGGTTGGGCAGCGGCTCACTCAGGGCCCCAAAATCACTATCCACGTGGGATCTCCATGCGTCCAGACTTGCCTGAACGCTGCCTTTAAATAATCGTAATCAAATGCAATTGAGTCTGAAAGTTTTTCGAAGACAATTTTGATGTTCAAGTTCTCTTCTTTTTCATCAGATATCATGTCATTGGAATTCTTACGATGTTCTTACATCAGATGGCAAGGTGGCATTTAGTATTTTTGCTGAAAATGTCAGTGTCAAGTTTGCTTGCACCAGATCAATGAGGTGAGATTAGATAAGTGAGAATTATCATTTTGCAGGCATGATAAGGTATATGAATTTTGCATCAAAAAATTACAAATTCCTAAAGTGGATGGATAGAAGATCAAATAAACTGCGGTCGGTCCCAAAAGGAATCTTCACTAAAGCATTAATGTGGTTTGCTGAGTACGGTGGGATGTAGTAAGAAAATTTGGATTTGTATAAAACTTTGCTTCGATATTCTCAACTCTTCCCAGAGCTGCGCATAAAATCTTTATTATTTGCTGTATCACAATCCGATTCACCCAAACGAAATGACATAGGATTTGTGTGTGCCATCGACGAGCTCCTGGCTTCCTCGATCTAGTTTCGCTTTGCCTGTTTGTTGAAGTAAAGTTCGCACTCACTCATGTCGAGAGAGCAGTCAACTCTTGTGCGCCATTTTATAGCACTTTTTTCGCTGAACATCAATCACTTAATTACTTTCTAATAATCATAACAGGTTTTACGGTCCACCCTCATCATTCGGGTCAGATTTAGCAATGTTTCCAGCATTGATTTGCTGCTTGTTTCTTGCAGCGACCGAACGCCCAGGGGCGTAGCGATCGACGGACGGCCTATCGCCTCCGTCCTCAACGTTCCTTCTCGTAGACTCGTCTGCATCATAATCTACCACCACGAAAGCTATTCCCAAGCACGACTCCGGCATCATCGGGATCACTCCCGATGGCAACAAAACAAAATGGAAATACCATACCCTCTCCGCGACCGCCCTTTCGTAGGCAAGGATCAAGTAGTGAGTTTTTGCCTTATTCAATCATAAAATTTTACTTCCTTCAAGCTAAATTTATCTCTTATCACAGTGTCGTTTGAGCCTCGCAAATCATGTCATATTTTTTCCTCCACATTACAATCCACCTCGCCAAGTCAAGACCAATACGTGTGTGGGCTCATTCTGCTTTCTCCTATCATTTTATCACAATCTTTTCGCTCGTCGTTTTGCTCCAAATACTATTATTTTCTCATGATTTATACATTTATGAGCCTCATCTAAATCAGCCTAAGTGCAAACCCTACTTTTTTTTATTATTGAATGCCACTCTCGATCTGATCCGGCCTCTCTACATACTATTAGAGAATCTACCAGAGTTTCAAATTACTTTCTCTGGACCATTTTGATTGTAGGTTATTCTCAATATCTCAATGGGATTTTCGCTGAATCAATACCGTGCCGGTGTAATGCCTCGATCGCTTAGTAAGTTACACATCACTCGCGAGCGAGCTAGATCTGCACTACATCATGATCTGAGCTCAAAATGTCTTAGAGATCGTGTACTACAAAAAAAATCCAATATGAACTTATATTCACATATTTGAAAATTTTGAAATAGAAGACAAAGACTAAGCGATTATTTCAGAAAAAAAGCGAGGTGTCTCCTTCTTGCATGGGCTATACTTTTTTCACTCCTTCGTTCAACTTTTTCGAAATAATTCAAGAATTATGGTCTCAAAAAGTACACCCAACCATCTTTGCAAAGCGGCAGTCAAACTTGTATCCATTGATTTTGGCAGTTGTGAGCATCAGCTTTCAAACAGAGAGAGGAAGTGCTAGCTCAAGAAAAAAAAAATGTTCGGCGGAAGAACGGAAGAGGCTTACAAATCAAACGACCAGTGACAAGTAAATTTTCTTCTGGCAGAAGAATTTCTTCAGGCTGGGGAGTCTTTTGACATGTAATTTTTTATTATTATTTTGATGGCATTTTCAACCCATGTGACGAAATTCATAACATTCCGTTTTTTTCAAAGGGTGGCTAGTCTACCTTCAATACCGATATCGTCCACTTTATTTTCCTGTTTATTACGTTATACGGGAAACTTTCATTTCCCGATGAGTTACTCATAATTATTAGAACATTTCTTCATTTTTACTGCAAGTCGGAAAACATCTACGTCCATAGTCCTTTGACTCAAATCCCAGGACTCGTCTTTCCTTCTTTTTTCCTTCTCTGGAGAAATCCTATCCGCTAACCAATGACGATTGTGGATGAATTTTTGAGCAACAGAAAAGAAGTTTTAGCGGAAAACGTTTTTTTCTGCTCATACTGATAAGAATTGTGAAATCTTTCAATGAATCAACTTTTTTAGTGCAAGTTTTATTTATGTAAACATGCTATTATCTGATTTTTCAATGAATATTTCGACGATGTTTCCTACATTGATTTCTATTATATTAGGTCGTTTCATAAGTTCGTAGAATTTTTATTTCTGTTGCCGTTTTTCGATGAAGCGGTTGGTTTAGGGCAAAGTACCTATACCATTGAAAAGAGAAAATCTTGCTCTACAAGAATTGTTGTTCGTTTTTGGAGCAAACTTGAATCCCCTTCTTTTACGATTTATCAAAGCAAAATTTTTTGAGAGGCAAAAATCGGCGATTGCGGCAACTGCAACTTTCGATCCGTATACGAAGCCACAAGTAGGAATTTTTCGTCTGAAGTCCTTGTAAGTGATGAGAAACAACTGTTTGTGGTACTACGGTGCATATAAAAGTAGTCACCATATCCATAGAGAGGCTATAAAGAAAGATTAAGCGCACGTTTATCATAAGAGTAGATGTTTTGCGTTTGGCACAATTTGAAGAAGTTCCCACGTCAAAAATTTTTCTTAGAAAGCGTAAAATGTTGGTCAGAGCTTGTATTCATACACCTACACTACTTAGAAGAACGCTCCATTTCTCAAGTTCCGATAGGAGGACCGACACATTGTGTCGCTGAACAACGCGCCAAACTCAAGCGGCAGCAGTCAGAGACAACAACCATTGGGACCTTGTTCAAACGGTTCTATGCATATTGGCATGCCGCAAATTTGTCAGTGTTTCAGTCTTGCTTGCTACTATCCATCCCGCCTACCTATGACAGAAACATCTTGCGGAATACGGACCAAATGCGGAAAGTGCAGTTGCCGCAATCGCCAATTTTTGCCTCTCAAAAAATTTTGCTTTGATAAGTCGTAAAAGAAGGGAATTCAAGTTTGCTCCAAAAACGAACAACAGTTTTTGTAGAGCAAGATTTTCTCTTTTCAATGGTATAGGTACTTTGCCCTAAACCAACCGCTTCATCGAAAAACGGCAACAGAAATAAAAATTCTACGAACTTATGAAACGACCTAATATATCAACGCTGGACGGAAGGAATTTAATTTGTTTGTGAAAATTACTCATTTTGTTATGCTAGTAAATTTCTGTTCTTTTTCCATTGACACATATACATGAATATGTTGTAATTCAATGCAGGCCAGTAATGTTCCCAAAGGATTCAGGGTCTCCCAATTTCCTTTCTGAACTGCTTTCGCAAAGAGCTTTTTTGATAAGGCAATGCATATAAATAATCGCATGAGATCAAAGGCATTAGCATTCGTATATTTTTAGAGTGTCAGCTTCCTTTCACAACTTGTAATATCTTTCATCGTTCCTAGTTTTATAGTACTGCTATCTATTAGATGTCGTGCTCAGTTAGTGCCTCTATGGGGGCGGCAACAATTGCGCGTAAAAAATTGTGCGGAATGCACGTTTTCATGTGTTGCTTAGGGTATTTTTTACGCGCAAGTGTTGTTTGCAGTATGTGGCACAAGCCGCCAAATCACTTAGACTACACCAATTAAGTTATGCATTTCCATAGGTTAAGTATTCTTTGATCGCAAAGCTATGCAGCGATCCAGCTTCTATTAGCACTCGGCAAACAAAATCGCCGATCAAAGAGACATTGACCGAGCTCAACATTGTTCATCTCTGGGGCAAGCACTAAATTCCCTCATCAGAAGTGAAAGATTTTCCCAGTATAAACGGTCAACTGAGATTTTGTGCGTAAAAAAGAGCTGACGAATGGGGTTATAACAAAATTGGAAACTCGATACTCTGTGATCAATATCCGAAACTTGATCGTTGTCAACTTGGCTTACATAGAGGTTAGAAATCAGACACCTATTTCAGCACTCGTTGAAAAAGCGCTGTTTTTGTGACCATAACAAAACATATAATGATTGGAATGATTAGATGTGAAAGGAGCATAAATATTTAGCGAGTTGATTGGAGAATTAGCTGCCTTATTGTAAATCTCTTAAGACAGAAGATAACGGTTATTTCTATAATATTTACTCTATAAGTCCATATAATAAAGTGAAACAAAATGAAGTAAGCGATGCATTTCAACAATTTGTCGTTGTTGTCTCTGTTTATAGCGACTCTGAGTGACATTAAATGGTGTTAAGAAATTCTTTACTTTATTCAGTTCTAGGACTGTCCTTGCAGAAGTGCATTTCGCCACAAAACCTCCTCGAAATCCTTCGTTTAGAAAATTTTAAGGTGAATATTCAAATGTTGGCTGATCACGTAGCGGGTGCCAATGCGGTGTCGGCAACATTTGCGCGGCAAAAATGGCATAGAGCGCACATTTGTAATCTTTGACTCTATTGACAAGAACACTATAACAGGCACTATCAAATTTTGCAAACTTTCACTGAAACTTGCCTTACTTCAGAACTTGAAATTTTGAAGAATTCTTCAAGATTTTGTGACATAATTTTCTCAAAGTGAATCTGTTTAAAAAAACCTAGGGGAAATACTTCAAAACTATAGAAAAACGCTGCTGAACAAATCTTTAGAAGAGTGTAAGCCAAACTCTGCAGACAAGTAAGGATTAATATAAAGAGTCACAAAATTCTATGATTGAGCTTATTAAAAAGTTTCTATTTTTAAATGTTAATATTTTAGTCGGTGCGGGCGCCCATCCTATGGCAGTTGCACTGGCTCCTGTACCCAAGATAGACTATAGTGTAACGAAGGTGATGTTCTACTCATTTACACTTTTTATATTCAGCCCAAAATATTCTAAATTCAGGGAGGTGCGCGAACATGGGCAGTATTACTTGTATTTCTCTTCTTATGTTCTGGTTTATATACAATATTTTCTTCAAGAGAATACGATGGAAGTGAGACTAGTAGGTGCCTACAATTAGAGAAAATCAGTAATTTGAGCGATTTTACATTTGAATTTTTTTTTGCTGTTCTGCTCAATTTTAGGTATCTCAAATGAGCAGCAAGATGAAGTAGGAGATGATTCTCAAAGTTATTCAGATTACACTCCGAAGCAGCGCAGGGGTTTAAAGTGAGTTAAAAACTGACGAACGTTCAGATTTTTCAAAGTATTGACATATTCGAGTCCACCTTCGCTTTGTTAAACAGATCAGAGTACTAAATAAAATATAGCAAACAAGGAAAAGATGATAAAATTAAATTTAAAAGACGATGAATCCCTCTACTATGAGGGGAAAGAGAGAGAGGAAGCACATTTTTTTGAAAATTGAATAGCGCTGGCGAGCACGCTCAAAAACTCGTCTATGCCATTTGCAACTTTCTTGAGAGATTGATTCCTCAAAATTTTTAAAAGGCACTGAACTTTTCGTGAAAACGAGAACGGCGTAAGTCATACCCCTATTCAAGAAGTTTATTGATTTTTCTTTAGAAAGTTCTTTAAAGTTTTTCAATATAATATGCTAAAATCATGTATGCTGCTGGAGTACTTTGTTTTACACCACTCTCAAATTTGCATACTAGTCTTGAAGAGTCCAGGAATCAGCACCATTTTTCTAGCTTAGCAATTCCAACTAAAGTCTCAAACAACATTTCGAATCCACAAACCGTTTTTTCTATCAAAGCTGTCGATTTTTGATTCACAACTAGAGCTAAATCCGTTTATATTGCCAGAGATATGTCACTGGATAGAAGTGAACGACGTCTTCAGTCTCCCAAACTTTTACTAAAAATTGTCACTTTAGGGGAGAAGATGAAGATGAAGACATTAAGGAAGAAATTTCAGATATCGACTCAGAGCAGACAATTGGTCAGTAGATTTCATACTGATCAATTGAAAAAAATACGATTACGCATTTTCAGATGATGATGAGGAAGCAGCGGCCGTTGAGCCAGCATTAGAGGATCAATTATTTGCAGGACTACGTAAAAAAATTCAAAATAATATTCAGCGGGTTAAAGATTATGTAAAGGTGAGGTTTTTAATCACTCCATTTCCTGCAGCAAAGTAGCTCAAAATCTCCAGCTGAATTTTCAACCTCCTTCAAGTCTGTTTTAAAATTTTTGCGGTTGTGCTAAATTTTTTGTTAGTAATATGAACCATACTTGAGAAGAATAATACATACTCCCAGCCCTAAATTCAGTGAGCTGCGACTGAATTACTTAACAATAAACTTTACTACTTCAGGACGAAAATACAGAGAGGGCAGAAGAGGAAGAAGAAGAAGAGAGGCAAGAACAAGTACCTCCAAAACGAGGTAAAAGGAGAAAAAATAGAAATATAGAGCGTGATGATGACGTGGAACAAGTGAAAGAAGCAAAGGTATGTCATGATTATCTTGCTATCGGAGCCGTGAAAATTCACTACTTTTTTGAAAATTTATCTTCGTTCACCTCTAAGCATTTTTTATCGCATTTTATAAATCTATGAAATGGAAATAATCAAAAATAAACTTTGTTTTGTATGGCCCACGCTCTTTAGGTGTTTTATAATGATTTAGCAGCTCATAACTTTTGCTCTTTTCTCATAAATCTCGTAAGACCTGGATATAAATCAACTGTAATTTGACTCTAGCCACCACGTCGGAGGCGAAAAGGTAAAGCAGATGCAGAATCTGAGGAACAGCCTGCCGAAGAAGATCATGCAGAAAATGAGAAGTCAAAAGAAGAGGAAGAAAAAGGGGGAAAACCTGAAACAAAGGTGATTCTTAACTTTTGTATCTTAGTGAAGTACCATCTTCATGAGTTTTTAGGAAGATACAGAAGAAGATGAAGAAGAAGAAAAGGAGAAAGAGGAAGAAGAGGAAGAAGAATCCGCACCAGAAAAAGATGAAGGTGGATCTAAAGAAGGAGCTGAGGAAGATGAAGAGGATAAAAAGGGTCAGCGAAGGAAACCAAGAAGTTATCGTGCACGGTCAGTATGCATACAACTTGAAGATTTGGAAAACTTGTCAATTTTACTAATTAGTGAAAGTTTATTCTTATTTGAGGCATGTTTCAAAGGAAACAATGCCCGAACGAGAGTGCAGAAGGAAGAATTGTCCACCAAATTACGATGCAGCGCCTAGAAAATCGCTTTTGAAAAAGAAGTATAAGGTATGTTTCAATTTGTAAACAAGAAAGCGAGAATTTGAATTTTGCTGAATCTATGAACTCATCATTTCACCCGAGGTTGAAGCACTGATTTCATCTACGAACAGGGGTCATAATTAAGTTTGATACGGCTTTTCCAGCTTCTTGATATTAGGTCCCGAAAGTTCGTTGCACCATTTTCGAAGATTCATAACTTCCGATTCTTCCAATCAATTTGTTTGCATTCATTTTTGTTTCAGAGAGCAAATCATGATTTCATAACAATATCTTAGCGACTTTCTATTGAGCACATAGTTGCATGGATTGAAGCGGTGAAGAAAAATTTTTAAATTTTGATTCTTCAGTGTTTAACCGTAAAAATCTGCAAGTTGCAAAAAAATCGGAGTAGATGTTATGGATTTATTACCTGTATACGTAGCATTTTTTTGAAAGTCTCTATGAAAAGTTATGATTTTCGAAAAAAAGCCAAAAAAAAAACAAATTTGCTGTTTTGTACTGCTCGATCTAAACACACAGCTTCTCTAAACGTTCACTCAGCACCAACTTTGGTCAGCTGGAAAAAGCACGTCATAAGAATTACAAGACCGACTACTCCGACTTCTATTGCATGCTTCCATTTACTGGGCCAAAAACAAAGAAGAGTCAGGTTTACTTTCTTTTGGGTGCCTGGAAAAATATGTTTTCGCTATCATACAATCCTCGAACGGAGTTCTACTTAGCAAAATAAATTGTCCTTCTCCCCTTGATTAAATTAAGACTTCTCCACTCGAAAGAAAACTGTGATGATTTCAAAAAAAAAAAAACTTGCTAAGTGTTTCCGAGATTAAGACATATTTGGAAGAGACGCTCTGAGCCTAGAATCTCAATTTCAACTAAACGTTTTACAGGTTCCGAGCAGTGAGTCCCACCCCATACGTCCAGAACACGTTTTCGAAGATGACGAGAACGATGACGATGAGGACGAAGAGGATGAGCTACCAATACCAACACACGCAAAGCACCATGAAGTTGTTGCGCTCAACAAACAAAGGTATTTGCTGTTGAAATGGGTTGTATATGATAGAAGCTTATTATGAAACCGTGTAGCAGGGGTTCCGGACGAGATGCTTATAAACGCCAAGCGATAACGAATCGTGACGATCACAAGAACCGAGAAGCGCTGGATCGGGCGGACAGTCTAGTGGAAAAGGTGAAACTCAAGCGTTTCAAGAAGAATAGAAAATCCGATTTGCTCTAACAATGCGAGAACATAAGCTATAATTAATCATGGCAAAAATATCGTTGCAAAAAGTACACCTAACGCTTTTACCTAAAGCATCAAGCAGACAATGCAGAAGAATGCGGTCGGCGCCGCGACGCGTCGCAAACGCTTTTTATCCCGTGCAAAGTCTGCTGCACCCAGCTCACATAATCTTTTGCAAACTAGATCCAAAAAATTAACGCCGCTAATCTCAATTTGGCTAATACTGAGAATGTAATAGTTAAAATTTTAGTGAAGCCGCGGCAAGCACCAAATTTTTTTCGAGGTCCTGGCGCGCAACTGTGTATTGTCCGGCGGCGAATTATTTTCTTCACCACCTCGCTGCCTCATCTCTGCTCTTCGCTCATTTCTTGTCCACAACTATACAGTACCGCTTTTTCTATGTTTCGTTTTTGTTCACTAACTCCGTCCTACGCTACAAATGAGTGACCTGAGTTGAATTGCTGACTGCTCAGCTATTTTAATTATACATCGACAACGGGTAATTAATCTAGATTTTGATTAAAAATCGCCATTTTTTTCTTGTCGATTGTCGACTGTTGTACATGCCTTTGTTTAACGTGATCAATTTATGCTCAAATTATCGTTTGAGGTGTTCTAATAAAGTATTTTGTTGCTTGCTTTGTGTGAACTACAATAACGATAGAATATTTGTCCTCCATCATTACAATTTGAAATTTCATTTCGGATTCGCAGACATTTGCCATGATTTCTCTTGCAAAGCGCAGCATCAAAATTCCGAATTTATGCATGCATTGTGACTGCTATTATTACAACTGCTTTTGGTCCTTTGTGTTTTCCAATTTTTTACTAATATGTAGTCCACAAGAACAAGTGATTATACTTCTTATCATCCTTATTGAGCATTCCATAGAAAAAACAGCGAAATGATTTGTGATTCCATAAGCTACCCGTACCGTCAAAATTAGCTTCTGTTGGAATTAATCAGAAAACTCCGTGACAGCACTTTAACCGTATTTAGTGCTTACGTTCTTCCTAAACCGACAAGCCATCACGTGTAGCTTCACCTCTGAAACTTTGCACTAGAGCAGGCGAGGTAGCTTTGAGCACACAGTTCTTCTCGCAGATTTTGTAATAATCTTGCTTTTTTCGAGTATCGTACAGCAAATTGTTAGTGCACACAATATGTTTTGACAGCTTCGCCGTCTAAAAAGTAACGTCAAACGAGTATTTCGGCTTACTATAGGGAAATGACAGCAAAATTATTACAGCAAAAGGCAAAACTGCTGACTTAAGATTGAAAATATGATGAAGTCTCAAAAATTCTGAAATAAAAGGACGCGAAAAGAAACAAAAATTATGTGCTCTTTCTTCTCCTCATCTGCTTCGTCCATCGCAAAACTCTTTACAAAAACGTTTTTTTTTTGAAGCACTTAAATTGCAAATTGCAGAAGTTGATACAGCGAATTCTCTCCTCGCGCATGATTCTAAATTTAATAAAACAAGGAAGTTTATGTTAACTGACGTGGGATAAGCTTCTCAACATGTGGCCCTTATAGAAATCTTATCATATGCATACAGTCTGTTGATTCCGCTTGACATGGTGGGCTTACGGTGCCGAGATTGGCCGACCAAGTTTGCGCGTGATTAGATAGCTACTACAGTGATGCCGGCATTTTGCGCACGCAAGTGACCCGCATTATAGGCGTAGTCATCTGTTCATGCGCAAATTTGGTCGCACAATGTCGGCATCGTAAGCACAACTGTAGTAAATCTAGTAGATAACATGTATGATTTTAGGAAAATTAATCCAGAGTTGAGGTTTTGTCAGCATAGGTCTATATTGAAACCTAAGCCCACAAACTATTAAAATCCAGAGGATATTGTTTGACTGCATAGCTATGCGTTCTTTTTCTGCGCTCACAGATTGTTCAACAGCCGCTTTACGTCACATCCGTTTCAAAAGCAGGCACTCAGTGAAATACGATCAGGGTCAGACATAAAGTGCGTGGATTGGGGGAATTCTATCCGGGGTACCAGTTTCGGCATCACATCGGCAAAAAAAGTATTGCCGCTCTTTCGAGAAATGGATATGAGCTTATATACGATATTTTGGATAAGGTTCAAAGTATCGGATTGCCATGCAAAGGGAAGAGAACGTATTGCGTTGGCGGTCCAAGTCTTTCAGAAGGGGAAGGAAGTTTTTCATTTTTTTTTTGAATGAAGAGCATGATGTTAGCTGTGCCTTTAGGAAAAAAAACTTTGAGAAGTCAGAATTTCAGCCTTCCCAAAATTGGAGAAAAAGGTGGGGTGGTTTAGCTAAAGCTAATTTGAATTTTCAAGGAACCGCAATTGTTGAAATCAGAACAGGTCACTTGCACGATTTTATAGCACATATAGTCTTTAAAAATTCGCAATCCATTCTCAAAACCCAACTCGGACCGCCAATGACGTAACCTTTATTTTAGACATGCCTTTGGGAAGAAATGTCCAGCTTTCTTTCCAGAAAACTTCGAGTTTATTCCAAACCTCGGATTTAGTGGCAATTTTGATTGATTCTGTACTTATTCAAACACGGCGAACATTTTTCAACCTTGAGAAAAAGTGAAGTGCACTGCTGAGAGGAGCTACAAGGACGAGATTCTGAATAACCGATTCAAACACATCAGAACTGCATCAAAATGAAAATAGGCAACTATCAGCCAATGGTGGTCGCAGAACTATTGTTGGTCCTTTTAGAATTTCTGGAGATAGCAAACTGACTGTATAAGTCTATGACTTATGTGGGACATCTTCAAACATCCCGAACGTTCAGAATGCGTAGTATACTCGTACAATTTTTTTTTTCTTAGTGAGTGATGTCATCAACAGTTACCTGATGCTGTTCTCCCGACAAATTCTTACAAAATGTATTTTATTACACTGGCTATATGTTAGAGTTACATCTGACTCCTACGTCCAGACAGGCGGATGGGGAGGGGGATTCTTGCGTGCCACTATTCTGAAATGATAATTTGCGGATATATCAGTTGATGATAATTGCACCAAATTTTCAAAATTCCGTTACTTTATCCAGCTTAAAGGCAGCGTCCAGACAGATTCTCGACTTCTATATTTTTATGTTATCCAGGCCTTTCCATGGCGCTGATTCCGAATATGGAACTCAAAAGGCGTGAATTTCTCAGAAAACCACCTTTTGGGGCTATTTTGGGAAAACCCGGACGAGTGGTTCTGATGTTATCCTTGTCGAAAGCAAGTATTAACAGGTAAACGCTGTAAGTTCGACTGTGTTGGTCATGTGAAAACACGTCAAGGCTGAGGAGATTTCGTTCACAAGGGGTTGGCCGTCCGAGAGGAAGTGGGCGTGGTCGTCGAGCTCGGATCTGCCTGGACGCTGCCTTTGAGAAATCTTGCGCTTTCGCATGCGCTTAAACCAAGATTCTTTGCAAACGTATGGCAACGATAAAAGCTAATCAACTGAAATCCCAAATAGTGTACAAGCTAATCAAATGAAATTCCAAAAAAATGATTTTTCGAATTTTGGTTGCTAAAATTGTTAAATCATCCAGTGAAACTAAATCTATTTTTGATTTTGGTTTTATAACCAAATTTTTTCGAATAAAAAAAGTTGGTAGCGATCGGATGCCTCTACGAATAGTTACGAATTTCATTTCTTTTCTGTGATGAGTTCCTAAAACGTTCTATCCTTCTATATGAAGTTGAATGTCTGTTTGTCTGTCTGTATGTATGTGTGTACGTATGTTCCGAATAGAAAATTGCATTTCTGAACCGATCCGGACCAAACTTGGCACACATACACTACGGGGCAGGGAGCGTGTCATAGGCTACTTTTCGTCATCGATCGATATCGATTTTATCGATTTATTGCAAAATTTAAGCTACGGGGCTGGGAGTTGGCACAGGGGGGTAATCGAGCATGCTGACTACAAATATATTATTCACAGGGCCGGGCGGAGCCGGGTAAGCCATCTAGTAGTACATAATACAACCTCTGCCATACATAACAAAGAGCATATCGTGTAAATTCATTGGTATTTAAGCATTTTCGACCAATTTTATTTTTGTGCATGGTGCATCAACCTAATAATCCATTTATCATGAACTCCCAATGGCTAATGACTGTGATAGTTCATGTTGGAGCACATGAAGCGTATGATTTAGCTTTTCACCGGATAGATATGTTGATGACAGGCTCCGCCCGCGCGGACATCTGCCACAAGCCATGCGCCACAACACATTCTGCCAGTTGCCAACGCAGGTTCACCTTATCCAGCGCATAACCCTTTCACCTAAGCTGCCTAACACTAATCCGAGAGTCGCACGGACTTGATTTACTGATTTGTAGAATAACATCATGTCTACACAATTGCATAGCTTCTTACGAATCGAAACTTCAACTGTCTCAAATTTGAATTTCTTCTCTTTTTTAGAAAAGCAGATATGACTGACCTTATTCCGCTTCCACCAACAAAAAATTTGTTTCTAGCACGATTATGATGCTGCAATTTCGATATTCGATTCCATCCTTCGCTCACGCCCTGACTCACCCCGTGCACATTTTGGGAAAGGCCGAGCATACCAACTAAGGTGAACAAGTTGTAATTAACAGCCATTACACTAAATATCAGTTTTTGTAGGGGTGAACTTACCTCTAACGACGTCGACTTTGCCCACGCCATACATGAATATGATCAAGTCCTCGACAATGAAGAAACACCAAACGCATTATTTCGGTAAACTTTCTTATACTTCCTATTCTAAAAAATTTGCAATCTGACGGTTACCATAGTGTCCTTTCGGTGCCGACATTTGTCGAACCTTTGCGCAAGATCAATTTGTCAGGGTGCGCAAAACTCGGAAGTGCGGTGTACGGCCGCTTTGCCCGCGCAAATTTCTGGCGGAACAATTTGTACACGCGCAAAAGTTGCTGGCAAGTGTTGGCACCGCACAGATACTACGTTAGCTGTCAGATCTGCTATTGTATGATCATAAAAGTGCAGATCTATTTGTTGACACTTGTGATTGCTAAAAAAGTAACTAGAAGGTCTTGGTCGACATTCTCTAGGCAAGCTGCATCTCGGCTCATCGAGCTGGCGAGCTTTCGTGGTGATTTCTACCGATGTCTGCTGACTCACAGAAGTCTCGTCGATAGGTTAGCCGTCTGATTTTGAAAAAATATGCAAGCCCGTCAAGGTATTACTTTGTGAATCTCCAGGTTTCCAGAAGAGATCGAGCATCAAACAGATGTCGCTCTGACTTTTATAAAAATGAAAAGATTGAAGGATGCAAAAAAAGTCTTGTACAATGTGAGTCTACTACTTTGTTTATATTACTAACAATGTTGATAAATGGAGAATTATTCACTTTTCAGTTGATCGAAGATGACAGTAACAATGCTGTTGCGCTAGCCTACTATGGTTATATTCTCAAGGTAGCCGCTTGGCAGTTTTATCTGAATGACCATACGCATTCATTTAGGTTGCTGAAGATAATGTCGAACAAGGAGTAGCCTTCATGAAAAAAGGACTGCGTTTAGGAGGAGATGAAATCACAGATCCAAAGTAATCAATGTTTTCAATCATATGGATTTGGATCTGATTGAGAAAACTACGTAAATAAGGCTTTTTTTACAGATTCTATTATCACCTTGGACAGGGCCTGATGATACTCGGAAGATCAAGCGAGGTAAGCGAGATTATGGAGATGTTGAATAGGCTACTCAAAAGATTTATGGAAATATGTCCGTATTGGGCTATTTGAGACCACGCAGCAGTCTGCTATATAGTGTTCTGGGAGGGAACTCTACAATCGAGTAGATTTGCCAGTAAATATTGTGCCCTTGCTTTGCCAATATTTGGCGGTGAAATTTACGCGTGAACAAATAGCCACCTAGATTGCCGGTATCCTGCGTGCGCAAACTGTCGGCATACTAGCGTAGCCAGTTGTTCACGCGCAAAATTCACCGCAAATTTTCGGCACCGCAAGGGCACAATAGTTACCAGCAAATCTACTCGACTGTATGTGATTGTTGTGACCAGCAATCAATTAGGTTATTTTCTATCTACTCGACCGTAGCTAGGCCGGTAATGCAGGTTACTTGCGCGAGCAAACTGCCGGTATTCCAGGCGTAGCTATTTGTTAAGCGCAGTATAACCGCAAAGTCTCGGACCGCAAGCTCAAAAATTCTACTGGACCGTATCGTCGATTCGTTGACCGCACGGACTGCTCAAACTCTGCGGACCACATGCCGCGCGGCTAAATTGTCGCAGCACGAATTACAATACAATGGCGAATTTGTACTGGGGCAAGCGTTTTACCTCGCGGCGCGTGACCCGTCGAGATGTCCAGTCTGTGCGGTCAACGAATCGACTATATAGTTGATTCGTTGACCCACGGACTGGACATCACAGAGGAGCACGCGACGCGAGGTGAAACGCTCCCAGTACAATTTCGCCATTCTACAAGTTATGCTCTCGCGACAATTAGCCGCGCCGCGCATAGTCCGCAGGGTTTGAGCAGTCCGTGTGGTCAACGAATCGACGATACATACAGTCAATGATAAATCCGTACTCCCTTTGCATGGAAACAACGCAGCGCAAGGCCCTGCGTGCGGACGATGAGGCCCGTTTAAGTGCCCGAGTCATACGCGTGCGAACGTAACGCGAAAATCATTGCGTTTACGGAAAAGAGAGCATGTGATCGACACGGACTGTATTTACTTTTTTTCTTTTAGATGAGAGTGCTAATGTACTATCCTATAGGCCTACGCTGTCTTCGAACATGCAGCTTCGCTAGGATTATTTTTGTCCGCTCAGCAAAGGTCGATGTATAACGTTGAAGGACTGACTGGAAGAGCGTGGTGGAGCAGCGAGCAAACTGGTTATGCAAAGTACTTGAAGGTACGCTAGGTTGTTAGACTATCTGTCGATTCAATCACAGTAATAACTAAAGGCAGTGGAACGACAATGGGTCTCTATTCGAGCAGAGGCAACTCGCGCTTTCCACACAGCTCCAGACTCATGGAAAGACGAGAACCCAACGATCACTGTCGACGGACGGTGGACCGCATTTCCACTACTGGAAAATGGACATTTTAATTTGGATAACTGCGAGATGACGCCGCAAACATGCTCCATTCTCAAAGAGTTTCGTGAGAGCAGTAACGCAAGCAGATCTGAGGTTTGGCATAAGCTATAAACATCACAAAGGGTATTGCATGACGAAGGCGCAGAAGCAGTATCAGTTGAGCGGGTGCGAACCGGCGCGCGCGCATCTTCATTGCGGCAGGCCTCGGACAGAGTTCACGCGATTTGATCTTCGCGATTCAATCGCTACAGGACAACTGTTACGAGTTCATTGCATGCCAATCAGTTTGCATTTTAGTTGTGATACTTTTCTAGCTCGAAAATTTTGAATGTAAAATGAAAATGAATGAAACTGGCGGCGATTGAATCGCGACGATCAAATCGCGTGGACTCTGTTCGAGGCCTCATGCGCTCTATGGCTAAGTCCAAAGATATAGTGCATTCGTCATGCATCAGCCTACACATCTGAAATTCGATGTTTGACACTGTGCACTTGCGGTGGCGACAACATTTGCGCGGAAAAGTGCTATGGAGCTCACACTTCCAAACCTGCGCCTCACAGTCCTTTCTTAGGCAGGTGTGTCGGCGACGCAAGGACCAAATTTCAATAATTTCTATATGCAAACTCTCATTTCAATGTCAGACTAGCATTTTGCTCCAGATGCGATTTTCGGCGCTAACTTCGGGTACACAAATCCTTCCTCACTGTGGTGCGACAAACAGTCGTTTACAAGCACATTTGGGCTTGATTGTCCCCTCAGAAGCAAGAATAAGGTAAATAACTCAAGTTTTATCAAGGCATTACCTTTTCACTCCTATTTTAAGGGTAGGTAACGAGCAACGCGGATGGAAAACTGGGAAGTTCATCATATTTGACGACTCATTTGAACATGAGGTGAAGATTGTCATTAAAAGAAAAGCTATGCTAATCTATAATGCTACACTATGCTCAACATGAATTTTTGATGTTTTTGAGTGGTAATACAGACGCGTGACGATGATATACAGTCTGTGTCAATTACGTGCTCCCTTTCGCCTAGGAACAACGCATGCCCAGCGCGAGGTCCTCGTGTGCCCAACGATCAGGCTAATCTGAATACTCAAGCCATACGCGCGCGAAGGTGGAGTAAAGCTCTGGCGTGGTGATTGCGCTCACGGAAAAGAGAGCACATGACTGACACAAGCTGTATTTGTTCATGCATGGTCAAATTACATATCACTTACAACCGATTCAGTTGCAATTCGAAGGAGCATCCTCGTCCTCCCTACGCCTGATCCTCCTGATTGATCTCTGGCATCCGGAAGTCGAGTCGCAAAAGCGAACTGCTCCCGAGGATGACTGACTGATACGTGCAAGTTGATATATTCGGAAAATTATTCCATGTTTGTGCTGCCATAGAATTTGTTTGCGGAGATAAAAACTGTTATAAATGTCAACCACCCATACAAATAGCAAAACTAGGGGAACTGTGTAGATTATTGTTTTTGCATATATGCCTGACAGGATCACTACTGTGAAGTAGAAACGCAATTTAGATCAGAATCAGATAATTTCATTCAAGAACAGCGTTCTCACAATAAATAGTATACCTCGTATACGTGAACAGAACAGAAAACACGGCGCCACATGAGGACAGTAGAAGAACTCAAGATCACGGCAGATCGATCCATAGCAAAGTATCAGAGATACAAAAGGTTATTATCCTTTCCAAACCAATTCAAAAAAGGGAAACGAACTCTAGGCACAAATTTTTTCCACATACAATACACAAATTCAATATGAAAATGGAATAAGTTAGATGCAGTGGTTTAGGTTCATCCACAACAAAAACAAGAAGTTGCAATTCATGCGCTGTATCAAACGCTACCTAAGACGAACCATCACACCGTTGGAATCTGTCACAGATAAGTAACAGGGCTTAGTAATAAGTAAAAACCAAGAATACCGTTTCATTCTTAGCAAATGTAAGAAAATGATTCTGCTATGAATTCTGATATTGCAAGAGAGAGGAACCTTCAGGCTGAAAAATGATAAAGCTCTTAGTTAGCCACCAGCTTGAGTTGACGGACATTTACTGTACAGACAAGAAACAACAAAAACTGGTTCAGGCATAGAGCTCAGTTGCATACAAAAACATAAAGCAAGGAAGTGTATAGCTTCAAAGTGATTTGACAGCTATGCCTAGCTGAGATGCACTTAGAAAATGATAATTATGAGGTCATGCATAGATTAGCTACAAAATGGAATTGATTAATAAGGGGTAAGAAAGCGTGTACAATAAGTCACTTATCGGCATAGTCGATTTCTCCTCCAGCAAGCGCAACATCGATCTAAAAACATTGACAGTTTACTGTAAGTGTCTCTCCGAAACTAACAAGGAAACGATACCATCTTAGATTCGCTTTTGAGGATGGGACACATATATTTAGATTCAGCTTTGAACGCTGATTCCAAATATGCTGTTTCTAGCTGCTTAGCGTTATTCCGAAAAGGGTTATGGGCTTGCTGTTGTGAGTGACTAACAAATCTGGATGTCTTAAGACGGCGTGTAGCTAAAAATCTGCTCGAAAAAAGTGCTGTGATGTTGAACCAGCATCAGATTAATCTGTTCAATCTTGAAGGGGGAAGGGGGCATTATACAATTGCAAAACCACCTAAACGTCGACATCATAGCATCAGTAGGTTGAGGAGCACGCAAATTTTTTTATAAAAAAGGAGCCATAACTCGCTTCAGAGTAACGCTAAGCAGCTAGGACAGTATATTTGGAATTAGCGTTCCAAGCTGATTCCAAGTATATGTGTCTCATCTCAAAAGGCGAATCTAAGTTAGTATCCCTCCCTTGTACGTATAGATGGCACGAACAGTGAATCCATCTTACTTGAAGCACAACTTACCTCTCTCTTGGTCACGCTTTTCTCGACTACCGTAACTGTTCTCTCACCAGTCACCGCATCTACCACCATACTTCTTTCGACTGAGATATCGTTACTTAGTATCCTCTCCGAAGGAGGAACACGTACATTCTCACCAATTGCAGGTAACTGAATATCACAGATCAACACAACTTTCCTGCACTAGTTAACCACAAATAATAAATTTAGCACTGACTGAGATGAGTTGTAAACGATCCATAATGGCATCTGCCTCCGCTCGTTCCTGATCGAGGCTTTTCAAACGAGCTGCCCGCCATTCGCTTCGTCTTTGCTGCTCCATAGCTCTGCGAACAAAAATTATCCAAAAAATACACATGCTTTCAAGATGTGAAAGCACTTCAGAAGAAAACAGGTTTTCGTGGATGAATGAATTTCAACTCTGTATGCTCACCTCCTTTCCACTTCATTCAAAGGAATGTCGGAATGGATTAGGTGCGAAGAAGGTGATGTGTTGTCAGACTTTCTCGTATTACTCCCAATCCGAGATTTTACACTAAAAAAAATGTTTGACGTTTTGCATATAAAAACAAGCCAGTGAAGCACAAGCCTAACCAGTCATCGAGTATCTTCTCGAACTCAGCTCCACTCTCTTGCGGGCTCAAAACCTCGCGATTGGGGTTAGTTCTTTTCCGTCCTTCTTCTTTCATTTTTAGCACATCGTTGTCTGTGATTAGGGGCTTCATTGCTAAATATATACTTAGAAATGAAAGCAGAAACATATGCAGTCTGAACAAAAGTTCCTCTCTCAAGAGAAGAAGCAAAGAAGTAAATTACCTGGAGCCGGCAAGCTACTGGCGGAAACCTGCTTTGTTGCCAGTCTCTGCACTTCGATTTCCCTTTCGAAATTCTTTATCTTCGAGGCAAATGTAAGCTTTTCCGGTTGCGTGATATCGCCAACTACCGGCACATTTTGTAACTGCAAAACGATGACGTGAATGAGGAATGATATTTGAAACGTCCTACCTGCGAGTTTCGTAATGTTGGTTTTGGGGCGACTGCAGGTGGATGTCGAGCCGGTTTCTTAAAGTTCAGTAATTCCAGTTTACGGAGACTTGTTACGAATATTATATAATTCGAAAAAGGCGTAAACCAACCCAAACATGATTGAAAATTTGCAAAACGAAACTGCAAAAAAGGCTCGCAAATTCAAATCAACGAAATGAACACTAGCAGCTGTGTACAATCATGGCTGCCTCCTTTTTTGGAGTTAATTCGAAGATGATCAACTAACATGCAAAATAAAAAACTTATAAGCAGATGGAAAGAAAAATACCGAGGCAGGAGCGGGAGCCACTACTGGAGTTGTGGGCAAAGGACTGGACGAGGCCAACGGAGGTTCGTCGAATCGAGAAGGTTCTTGATGATGGTCACCATTTTGGATGGGTGTGTTAGCAACTGTAGAGATCGAGGCGGTCGACACTTGTTTGTTCTCGTCCACTAGCACGTTGCTCGAAGATGATTGCTTAAAACATAATCCTTTGCGAAATAATCCAAGCTCCTGTGACATGTTTGACAGAGGAAATTAATATAGCATCAAGGGGTTTCCCGCTATTTGCAACATGCAGTTAATGGCTTACAAGCTGATTTTGTAGAGCATGAACAATAGCATCGAAACTGGATAAAACAGACACGAACACATCAAGTAAGATGTTCATTGACCTTGATAAATAAATATTAAATTAATCTCTGTGGAACTTTGATAATCTCAAAAATGGAACATGACTAAATCACCAACACATTATATGAAGGACTGAGCTAAGAACAGCTTCAAAAAATGTGGGTAGGACAATGTACTGGACGAGCAAAGTTACTATATTTGAGGGTGGCGACAGCGGACACGATCACGTCACAACTATTTTCAGTGACTAGTATGATGCGTAAAGTGATCTGAGACTAGAGGGTTTACAACAACCATGTAGGCACAAACTTGGACAACATATAGCAGCAGTAAAGTAGCCATCGTTACTGTACAAAAAGGAAACAGCAGTTCAAAGTTAGATACAATGTATAACAGTTTTAACAAGCGCAGCACCTGCGGTTTTGAAGGGGAAGGGGAATATTAGGTAGTCACAATGAGTATAACACCCTCTTATTGAAAAATAATAACGAAAGAACAAGGTGAAAGGCACGAACTGTTGGCGAACAAAAATGTGCCGAACGTTCAAGCCGAAAACTGGGCTATTATGCTTACTAGTCAACTATGGTATGTTCTAGAACACTATCGCTATTCAACAGTAGATACTACCTCCCGGAAATCGGCCTTAACGTCCCCATTTTCCAATTTGAAGTGAACCCAATAGCCAAAGGGATGAATATAGAGTCAGAAAATGTAGGAAGTCTGAATACCTCTTTTGAAAACACTCACCGACGACGTGATGGTTCTATCGTCGACTCGTGGCATTATCGGTTTGTTATACCCATCACAAACAAGGATTCGTAATTCATTGGAAGAACGGAGAATTGTCGCCGCTTCGGATTGATCACAACCTAACAACGAGTCACCGTTTACTTCTATCAAACGGTGTCCAACTTGAAGGCCCGCTCGTTGACAAACGCTCGATGGTTCCACCTGAGATTATGACTGCATCAAATACCATTAAAAAAGCTAGAGGCTAGTCCAGACGAAGGCAGCCTCTCAAGTAAGCGAAGCGCGCGCAGATGTGAGACCTTTAGTGACGAAAGATGCTCAAGCGTCTGCAACTGCCTTCGTCCAGCATCAGGTATAGTCGCGCTCACCCCACTAGTCGGTCGGTGGACGAATTCAAATTTGAGTTGGAGCAGGCCTGTCACGGCAGAGCGCGGCAGGAGACAGCGCTCAGCAATTACAAAAACTCAATATAGATCCTGAGCAGTGGCGAAGAAATACGCAAAGTGAATTCGTGAATTTGAACGGAGAACTAAGGTGCCGTGCTCTGCCGCGACCTGCCTGCTCCATGCTCCAGTTCGAATTCGAATTCGTCCACAGACCGACTAGTGGGGTGAGGACGACTATAGCATATAAAGACTTTGATGCATAAAGCTGCAGTCTCACATACTTTGTCAACGGCCTTATAGTAATACGAATTTAGTTTTCCAGTAAGTTTGAAAAGAAGACACAATCATTTTATAACATGCATTTGTTTTAGCTATGCGGCAGGATCGGGAGACGGTCTTTTCGCACGGGCGGTCGTCAGTGTCACCCTGATTTTGACTTGTCTTAACACGTCGCGCACGTCGCAAGTCTTTCCTCCTCCTGCTTTGCTTAGGCAAAAGGCGCCGCAGAGTGTGTCGCGCGCGGCAGTGGTTCCTGCGTGGAAAGCATTACGGTCGTGCGAATCATCCTACACCCGGCAGGATCCGCCACGTTTGCGCTCAAACTCGAGTTGTTGCAATTTGAGACGCATCTTCCATGCGCAGCAAAAAAGATGCTAGATAAGAATGTATCAGAACCTGCTCCAGAAAGATAACTAGTGAGACAACGGTGCATCAAGGCTTTTCGACGCGCAATATAAGAAAAATAAACACATCTTTACGAAACGACAGCTGATCCCATATGACTGGGATCACCTGAGGTCTATATAAACAGCATTTTTTCTTTGTCATCCCAAAAAACAAGAAACTAAAGGAAAAAGGAAATAAGTATAACTGCACTTTAAGAGGCACCTTTTCTATGAATATTCCTTCGTCTCTCTCATCGGCAGGATTGGCAGCTGGTTTACCAACACCTCCGTGAATCGATATCCCAAGTGATTGTCCATCTTTTCTTGTTACCTCAATCACTCTCATCCCGGGTGGCTGTGGCTCATGGGTAACCAACAGAACCACGCGCGGGCCACTCTGCTTCAAAGCCTGAAAGGACGCAAAAATTGCGAAGGCGCAAAGTTAGCTCACTAAATGTTCCTCGAACTGACTTCAACAGCTTCAATGTGGTGAGCTTTGCGAATATCCTTTTCGTTCACTTCAAGAATTCGATCGCCAATACGAAGACGATGGCATCTAAAAGCAAAACGCATTAAGGCCGTTTACACCTAAAAAAGCTTAAGTAAACCTTGCAGCGGGAGAATTCGCAGCAATTTTGCTAATGAATACCCCAGGCCTGTCCACTCCAAAAGGATGACTCGAGTGATCGCAGCCACCGACGATAGACAAACCAAGTGATTTTCCTTCTTTCATAAGCACCACCTTTAAATCATGAAAATTAACATCGGGAGGGCAAATGGTATTTTCAAAGATACCTCCTCTGTCGTTCCATCCCAAGACGAAGTATCAGGAAATTGGTTTAGAGGCGAAACATTTGTCGAAGAGAATTTTGCGGGAAGCTGCATGAACCATGAATAAGAAGCTTACAAGGCTTAAATAACGGTAAACTCACATTGTCGGCATGTGGTTGCGGAGAGTGAGTAGTGGGTGAAGAAGTGATAAGAGGAGTCGAGGGTAGAGGGAGCGGTGACACGTGGGGAATGAAGTCACGCTAAAGTTGGAGTGTGAATCTCACATGAAAGTAATTTGCCAAGGAATAACTGAAACAGAAAAAAAACTCACCATTACTGTGATATAGACGTCTTCGAATGGATTACCCGTGAGTAATGCCACAGCTTGATCGTGACGAACACCCTTTAGACGCGTACCATTGATGGACACTACGCGGTCACCGACCTGCAAAAAATTAAAAGCAGGTTGGTTCGAAAGAAATTAAGGGGTTTCTCCATGACATAAAAAAAAGAAAAAAGAGTAAATGATACATTGTAAGATATACCTCCATCAAGCTTCGATTAAATCTAAATGGTTAGATCTTATGCTAGCAACATGACCAAAAGCAATGAAACAAACCGACTTACACATAGCTTTCCTTGAGATCCTGCCGGTCCGTTCGGAGTGATGTAACTGATAAACAGACCATCACTAGCCCCCGCGTGTGACGAAGCAACAGCAAATCCGGGTGAACCGGAGGCGTCACTGGAAAACCAAATGCAATCAGTGGTAAAGGCAAGACAATCATGAATACGATCTAACTTGGATGATATCCTACTCTTAGCACCTGGCCGCTTCACTATATTATACCACCCAACTGTATACAAAGCCAGACACTCACCGCTTTAGCGTAACGCTGAGAGTCTCACGATTGTGGAGAGGCAATTCACCGGAGTCTGTAATGAATGAGACATCCAAAGATTGTTCCGGAGATCTCTGTAAGCAAAAAATTTAATAGTTTGAAGTTACAGTGCTTTGCTTGCGTACCACAAACGTGGTTCCAACATTCTCCCGCCTCAGAATCGAAAGTTCGACAAACTCTCCAGGCTCATTCATTGCTCGAACAGCTTCGTCATGTGAAGCACACGTAACATCAACGTCGTTGACCCTGGGATGAATAGTAAAGCAAAAATGACAAGATAAAATTCAAGTACTCCTACTTCATCAACTTATCGTTGACGCGAAGACCTGCCAGATCAGCAGGACCATCAGGTGTAACGCGTGAGACGAAAAGAGAACAGTCTCCATCGATAAAGGGTGTACTCCCGAGTCCACCAGCTATCGAAAGCCCTAGGTGTCCATTGGCATCACGGCTGATCTTGATTTTTCGAGGAAGACCATCTCTGTTTGCCGGCGAAGTCACAGCAGGTCTGTCCTTAATGACTGAAGATACGGAATGCAAAAACATTCTTGTATTGGAAAAGCGGAGTCGCATAGAGCTCATAAGTATCAAAGAAATGAGTAATCCAGCTATCATAATAACTAATTGTGTTTGGAACCATACTTATGTTTTGGCGGCGAAATTATAGACTATCACTCGACTGTGACTCTATCAGTACAACTTATTTGCTCTGCAACCTGCATCTTCCAATAATTGGGACCACAACGGAAAGGAAATGGCTGGGAACCAGAAAGTTCACAGCTCCGAAAACCAGTAAGCTGACCCTTTCACGAAAACCCTTTCACGAAACCGATAATACATGCGAAGCAAGCGTAAAACGATGAAAACTGCGTGTATAAAATGTCTTTCTCAAGAAAATACCATATTTCCGAAGCCAAGCTAACAAAACACCACCACTCAAATCACTCAGGGCTGACGCACTCATAGATGAAAAAAAAAACAAAAAGTTAGTATCAGTCGGAAATAAAACTGTAGTAAGTGTAAACTGAACCACAAATGACAACTCAACTGAGTCACCGTTGACAAAGTAATATCAGCCCAATGTCGAAAAATTGGATCATGCTTTTAACCATGCTGCGAAAAAACAGTTTTCAGGCGCTTTCACAACCAAACCCACTTTCTCGGGTGAGGTTAGGAGTGTACCGCGCACTCCTTTGAAATGAGGTGTGTTGATACGTTTAAGCCGGCACGTCGGTGGTGCCTCCGGTACATCGCTCGCAAAAGCAACGCTCTTTGCCTAAACCACCTAATTTTACGTCGTTTATGTCGCTAAGCACTTCTAATGTTCTTCTGCACTTAAATAAGTAATCTTCTCAAACATCGTCAAGTTAACACCAGTAGAAAATTGTTTTCTAATAGCTTTCAGATAATAAACGCGCTTTAACATTATCGAAAGTGATGTTACCTGCACTCGCTCGGACATCGATGGCTCCGAAGCAGATACATTGTGTTCTGGTTCGTACCTAAATTATAAAATAAGATGGGAGGTGAAAAAGAAACATATATCTACAAAATAAGTTTAAAAAAACATGAGTTGATACATTTGATGATAGATACCCATCCATTCCATATATGCGGATGGGTTCAAGGTTGTTTTTCATGTACCCTTATAAGATGGTAAATTCGGTAAAAATGTGATTCATAAAGCTCTTGCTCAACGCACAGATGACAGCATGCATGCTTGCTATCCCAACAATTTCAAAATTTGAGCAAGAAATTTAACCATTCATACGAAGCTCAATCTATTTTCGAAAGGTTAACATGTATACCTTGGAGAATTTAGGTAAAGGATATTCATGATTATGTCAAGTATGTCCCTAAATCAATCTCCCAAGCAGTATGATTGATAAAAGACAATGTAATTGTCAAAAATTACTTTATAAGAGCCTAGCAACATGAATTTCATTACTGATATTGCATATGCAAGGGTTCAACATATGTTCCGCATTTTGAGATCAGTGAGAGTAAGATGGCCACACTCACTCTGTGGGCGGAACACTTTGAAACTTGAGCGCCGAGCGAGGAGCAGGTTGCGGAATAACTCCTGTTGGTGAAGTGTCCATACCAGGAGCTGGCTTCTTCGAAAGGACAAGGGTGGCCGGTTGGTTCTTAAGATGCCACAGTAAATAGCAAATAATCCTTGTTTCTTCGGCGTACCTGATTTTGCCCATCATGATGTATCACATGCCCATCAATGCTGCTTTTTTTCAGCTTCTGCGGTTTTGGGTGTGGAGTGTCATGTCGTTCAAACTGTCCGACAGGCAACTAAATCAAGGAGCTAATCAAGTTTCGAAAATTTGATGACACCATAATTCGTCACCTTGTCCTCGTCAATCGTAGCGTCTTGATCGGGAAAATGTACTTTAGGGCCGCCGACAAAGGTACGATTTTGACCGGTTCGATCTTGAATGATTGTTTCAGGACATGACAAATTACATAACTTTGCATTAATTTCACACTGAAGCATTACCGTTCTGAGGATGCGCGCTCAGTTGTGGCAACAGATAACAGGAAAGCACTTTCACACCAGTACGCGGATCTCGTTCAACTTGCAGCTTGAGCATAGCTTGAGACTAAAATGTAAGATGGGCGTAAAGAAAAGACTACATATATCGGATGCATACCTGATTCTCGCTCAACCAAAGAGCTTGTAATTTGAATAGAACGTTGATGGTGAAAGGAAGATGGCTCAAGCGATTATTGCACAAATCCAACACGGTCAACTTCTCACACTTTCCTATATCCATGGGTATCTCAGTGATTTCATTTTCTCGCAAGGACAGCACTGTTAATGATGAACAACCGCCGATCTAAAATTGAGAACAGGATGAATATCCCCACATTTGGCACTGATAAACGTACCGTTGATGGTATCGCTGAAAGCTTATTCTGGTCGACATTCAAATTTTTTAGATTCTTTAAATTCCCAATGGAAGATGGTAACTCCTGTGGACATCAAAGTTGCAGAAAATCGAGCAGCAAAATCATTTTTGACTTACTTGCAACAAGTTATGAGTCAGGAACAATTCGGCTAGTTGCTCACAGCTTCCAATTGACTGGGTCAGGTGATGGATGTGGTTCTTCTCCAACTTCAAGATGGTCAATTTCTTCAATCGTCCTACAATGATTACTTGCAAAACAAAGTGATGCCAGGGACAGATTTTGTATCCCATGTGGTAAATAAACCAGAATAAAAAAGAAATGTATTTTACAAAATCAGAAATCAAAGTGCAAGAAAATGTATCTTTAAAAAACCAGGAATCGAAAGTGCAGATGCAGAATGTACGTGCAAGGAGAACCAGATAGCGGCCTTAGCATGATGTCGCACATTCCACCGCAAGTACATTAGAGATTAAGATCTCACCTATGGAATTGGGGATAGTTTGCAGCTCGTTGTCGGCGAGGTTAACATCAGTCAACTGAGAAAGATCCCCGATCTCCTCAGGTAAGGAGGAAAGACGATTCTCGCTCGCATCTGAAACTATGATTAGCGCGACATAAAATACAACCAAGCGAACACCTACCCAGCTGTTCAAGGTAAGTGCACTTTGTTAGCTGTTCAGGAAGAGCTTCCAGGTCGTTCGAGTCGACGTACAACTCTCGCAGGGATTCCAAGGAACCCAGCTCAGCAGGCTAAGACGCAAGTGGATGAAAAACTCCATAAATCAAAGTTATCGCTTACCAGCTGATCGAGCTCGTTTTGACCGAGGTCGATAACTTGCAAGTTCTTCATGTGCGTTATGCTAGCAGGCAATGTTCGGATAAGGTTGTCTCGAGCTTCCAACGAACGGAGGTTGACCAGCTGCCCTATGTCAACCGGAAGCTGGGTTAGCGACACATCATTTAACCCCAAATGTGTGAGAGAAACGCAGTGCGCTATCGTATCCGGTAACCTGTGAAGACCCATTATGAGCAAGAGGACAGAAATGTTATCACTCACCTTGTAATCGGATTTGAGCTAAGATCCAAAATCATCAACAGTTTACACTCTTTCAGCTGTTCTGGCAAGTCAGATATATCTGAAAATGGAAGTGAATGCTTATAGTGAACAATACACTATACATACCATTTCTACTAAGATTGAGCTCTACGAGATTGGATAAGGAAGCAATTTCAGGAGGAACGCAGAAAATGTCATTATCGCTGAGATCCAGTAAACGAAGCTTCGTGAGTCGGAAGAGTGTCTGAATAAAGAATAAAATGTACATGATAACACTGACATTCGCAAAAGAAAATACCTTTGGCAACTCTTTGATGTGATTCATGGCAAGCAAAAGCTCTTCGAGCCCACGGTAACGATCAATATCATGAGGTACAGCCTTAAGCAACCATTTAAAGGGTAAGATTGATAAAATGCTAATCTTCAAAATGTTTACCTGTAGATTGTTTTGTCGACGATCAAGCGAGTCTATTTGACGATTACATGCTAGTGGAATGCAGAAAAACGACGGCATTGTGTCAGCAACAAATCAGCAAACAATATTGTGCCTGGAAGCTAACGTGACTGAATTATTCTCCAACAAAAAAAACAGATGCAAAATACCTATACTTATCCAGCAATCATGGAAGACGGACCCCGAACTGTGTCGCTGTAAGTGAGAAAGTAAGACCAATTCTACAGTAGGATACGATTGGAAAAAGAAAAGGAATAGTAGATCAAATATGGTCATTTGTATGAAATAGAAGCAATAGCAAGTAAAAGAAAAAACGAGGCTTAAAAACGTAACAAGATCCAACTGAGGTGTAAAAAAATTTTGCAAGTCCCCGATGCAGTACATTTGTGAAGGTACTGGGATACACACATAATGTATGAATAATGAAAGTGAAATCTTAACGATGCATGACAAGCAAGGCAAGTACCCTACTTTACGTAAACTACATTTTCCCGCAGAATACATCGCTGGTAAATGTAGCTGTTGCCACGCATCCATGAATAGTGCAATTTGATGCAAAACTGCTTGTTCGTAGATGACACAGCGGCCTTGACAAGTGATTTGACAAATTTTGTAGAACAATGCCCATTTCAGCAAGCTGTCATTACTTGACTGCTTTTTGAAGCTTTTAGAACAATGTTGCAGGAGATGAGAGACTATGGAGGAAACGTGATCGAATGTGCAGCTACTTCAAAGTCATTCAACCGAAATGGACTAACATAATGACAAATGTGAAGAGAGATTAAGACAAAAAATGATAATTAGTTCAGCAACTCCCTTGAATTCAAATGTGGAGTAACGACATCAGTTCGAAGGGAGGATTAAACAATGAAGAGGAAAGCTCATCAACTAAGAAAAATGAAATTACACATTACATATGATAATAAATTTTATGAGAACTAGAGTGATTATGACTCATGCACCATAAACAGAAACAGTAATTGTCTGGAAATCATGCGGAACTGACATATTCAAAACAAGTTTGACATTTGTACGGAAATATTTCAGTTTTTTTCGATGTAACAGTTGCAAGCGATGCATAAAGGTCGGTTGCAAGCGTCTCTCATGGCTCAAAGCGTTGCAAAAAGCCAGACACAATTGCATAAACATCAAAAACCGTGTTCAAGTGTACTAATGGTACTAGCACATGCGCTCAACGAGGTTCACAACCGATGGATCGATATTCGGAGGCATACAAGGTCAGTGCACACCTATGGCACACACATACACACTCGAGATGAGTGCCGGGTCAACCGGAACGCAAAAATCATAATCATAAGTCGACAATGCGCACGCTTCTAGTGAAGATAGCCAAGCTTTGACAGCGCATCTGGAAGGTGTTCTACTTTCTTAAATATAAATTGAAGTACCGGCTTGAAACCACCCATGCAAACAGGAGAAAGAAACGCAAACGGAACTGGAGCTGTACCTTGACAAAAATATTGCCACTCAAGAGTAACGGAGATCTATCTAAGACTGGACATAACACAACCATTTACAGATACAACAAACCTTCTAGAACTAAGACACTATAAGAAAAAGCCTATGACTCAAACAGCCGCCTAGGGATTCACCAAATATTATGACAGAAAATCCCTTATCTTTTTGCGGAAGTGATGACTAAGCTAAATTTCTGCAGAGTTAGTGCCAAAAGCAGCATGGATCCGGACCATTAAGTAATGTGACTGAAGTTTGGGACTTTCTGAGAATTGAAGATTTGAGAAAGATATCGCTGCATTTCAGTAAAGGCTGTAAATCAAAGACCATTCAAAACGAGACGCAACTGCAGCCCAAGTACAGCAAGCAGATCTGGTTTATACACTGCAAATTACAATTTACTTCGGCGATACAGCGGAATCTTCTCATATTCAGTGCCAGTCTCTGACGCACAGGATTAGACTGTCAGCAAACGCGGAAGAATTTGCAAAGAAGATAATGCTTGCTAGCGCAGCAGGGATAGATACGACCACAAAGTTACAGACAGGCACCTTAGCTAACACAGACGAGTACAACACACGCAAAGAAAGATGTTCTTAACTTTGTAAATTAATAAGAGATTGTATATCACAATAAACCAATCGTTCATTATCTGGAGCGTAGAATTTGAAGGCCGCGATGAGTAGTCATATAGCGCGCCCATTAAAGGTGTCTATGGTGCGGCCCTGAGCGGATTCTTTGCCGTCTGTATTAATATCCAGCAAAAACCAATCTGTTGTTGTGGTGTCAAATGTTCGCTAATGGTGGGATGGTATTGTTTTTTACGGTTAGATAGATATTGTTGCTAAAAATGACCTTAAGTGCATCCGTTATTTATTTTCTTTCGTGCTCCTCTTTGTAAAAGTGCGCTTCGCTACAACATTCTGAGCTTCAGGGTCAGCACATCACATGGACAGTCTCGTTTAATGGATGTCTCATTGCTTTTGTTGCTTTGCTGCGGTTTCGCTCTTGGCAAAATTCATCATTTGACTCTGAGGGTACCTACATTGTATTTCTGTTCTACAATATGACCATCTGAAAATTGGAATGCTTCTAGGGCGACGCTCGCAGAAACATTGTTCTGACAAGTTTTGGCTATGCAGAGGGCGGCACTTTTGACCTGGTGTTGGTGAATTTCACTGTTCCAGAATCTATATTAGATAAGGTTGATTCAAGGGAGAACGCCGATAAGTCGGTATGTTGGAATTTGCATCTCATTATCCAGTCATGTAATCAAATTTCAAAGGGTGTCATTGGCTTTTCTCTTTCCCGTGGTAATTCTATTGCTGCTGGGGTAGGTTCGAACCCGCACGTTTGCCAGCTTCAGGTAGGTGCATTGTATACTTCTGTTTTACTTTTATTGCTTTCCGATCTCTATCTTTTTTTGTCTATATTAAGAGGAATCTTATTTTTCTGCGTGTTTGTTCAATTTTTATTTTGGCATGCGCGAAGTTAATGTTTTCCAAAGAAGGTGTGGCTTTTCTAAAAGTGTTTTCAAGAAGGAGAGGTACTGGCAAGTTACTTTCAAACTTTCACTTGTATATGTCCTTGCCCTTCTCTTACTGTAAAGCAGTCCTTAGCTGGACCAAGGAATGTTTACAATGCATACGTTACCGTGGTCTCTCTTCTGCGTGATTCCATCCTGTTAGGTCCACTGATATCGATATTTTTCTCTCTCTTCTCGTGAACGGGAACCCGTAAATTTGTATCGCGTGGTATTCCCAGTTTGTTCGATTGAGTTGAGAAAACGCTGATTCTTCTTGACAGCTTTGGGAATATCTCGCCTTTTTATTTGAGTCGATTTTTGCTGATAGTAAAATACAGTAGCTGTTGTTTGCCATCCTGACCTTATTGTTAATTGTACATCACCCTTCAAAACTTCTCTGTCTTCATGCGACACTGAAATTAGACGAAGATGAATCTTGCGCCATTTGAAAGAGAATTTGCACACTCGGCAATTTTCGAGTTCTTGTTCCTGCACTTAACAAGTCGTGGTTGCGATCATAGTCTAAAAGATCGAGAGTGACTCAACTGCGCAGTAATTATGCGACACTGCCTTCATTAAAAAGACCAATCTGAGCTCAGAGGCCAACTACACTACTTAAACATCACGCATAGAAGGCGCAGTTCTATTGATGCGTTTAACTCCTTAGAATTATCTTAGCAAGTACTTCGGTTTTTATCTGATCTTTTGATCTTGTTCTTTACAGCAGACAGACCAGGGTTTTGATGCTTTGTTCTTTTTCGCCGATCTGCCTCAAAATCGTCTTCGAGTATTCCGATCAGGGGCAGGAAAGCAAATTCATCTATGTGCTTCCCACGATGAGTACGCTTTTCTTTTTCTTCCTCTCAGCTCTCAGTGCCTATTCATCATCTAGATGTGCTCGAGATGCAAGCGATCAAGATCAGCCATCTGTAGAAGAGGAGGCGAATTCTCTTGCCACTCCACCCGTTCGTTTGCTCATTTTCTTGATGTCGCAGTTCTAATTTAGCTCTCCTCCAGACACGAAATCGTCGTGATGGTGAGGGCTGGTTGGACAAGTTTAAGCGGATTTTTTCTGGCGGCGACTCTGGAAAACCATACGAAGATTTCGTCCCTTTGGAAAAGAAGGGCTTATTGTATTCGACCAATGTAAGTTTATCACGTAGGCTGTTGTCCCACTGATGAGCTGCTGCTCTGTTAATCACTTTGTTTAGATATCAATCCGTTTTCCTTATGCTCTCCGTGGAAAGTACCACTTTATTTATCATAATTGTTTCAACTACCGCGCGCATGGTTACAGGTGCCTGTCATGTTTTTTACCTATCTCATGTATTTGCTAAATCTCAAAATTCAGTGATCGTGTCGCTGTGGACTTTACAGTGTGGATCGTTGAGCGAAATATTGGCTCATTCCTTTCCGCCGGCGACATCCCCAAACCGCAGCTCTTTTTATATGTGTCGCTGGCTTTTGTGCTTTCCGCCGCTCTTTGGTGTAGACTCCTGTGTCTGTCCAGGTATCTATTTTATGACGTTAGTTATACCGTGATTTGAACCAAATCGTTATTCGAGCTTTGCAGCTCTTTTATTTGTGGGTTGGCACTTTATTGATCAAATCTTTTCCGAGCTATTTTTCGATCTCGCATCGCGATATTTTTTCATTACAAATTTCTTCACCTTCTTTCAGCCGTACAAATGTTTATCGCGTTCATGGGCTTATGACTGCTCTCGTGTTCCTCAAAGCTGCTTCGTTGTTTTTCCATGGTGTCAACTTTTTCTTTATTAGCAAATATGGACAGCAAAGTGAACTATGGGCAGTTGTCTACTACATAACTCACCTGTACGAACTTGCCATTGCCTGGTAATCGCGTCTCAACTTCTTTATTTAGATTAAAAGGAGCCCTTCTTTTCGGTACAATCATCCTTATTGGTACTGGATACACATTTTTCAAAAACTTTTTAACCGAACGCGATAGGAAAGTCTTCATGGTGGTGCTGCCTTTACAGGTAACTTTCATCAAAACATGCCTCGTTCACCTCATTTCCATAATTCGTCGGGTTGTTCCATGTGTTATTTTGACTAGAATCTATCTATCAAATATATTTCTGCTAGAATCCACTTATTTTTTTGTTTGCCGTCGATCTCATCGGTGTCCATGTTTTGTCGCTTCCAAGGGTTGCCATGTGCTCTGACTGCAATGCTTTAAAATTCTATTTTTTATTCACTCCAATTCTGCAAATTGGCGCGGCTCACTTCGTCCTGCGTCTGCCCTTTAAACGGGTTAAATCGAAATCGCTCATTCTACGTTGCAGCTTCAGTTGTCTTTACTCCTTGCGTGTATATTTGTTAGGGGTTGTTGTTATACTGTCAAAACGCAGTACTGTATTAGGTATTATGTCTTATCTGCCTACTTGATATCTAGTCGTATTATATTATATGCGAAGCAAATTCGATCAGCTACTGTTGACAGATTGTGGACAATATCGCGATGGTTATTTTGGAGGAAAGTGAGTTTGGACAGCAAGGGTATCAGCTTTGGTTTGAGATGTTTGTATTCATCGATATGATCTGCTGTTTCCTTATCATATTCCCCATTATATGGTGGGTTTGCATGTCTTCAGTATTGATTTTTAGCAGCAAATTTTTCCATTGTGAAAACGCCCTTTGTAGGTCCATGCATCATCTGTCGGAGGGTGCGCGAAGTGATGGAAAAGCTGCCTTCAACCTCGAAAAACTTCGACTTTTCCGGCATTTTTACATAATTGTGATATCGTACGTGTATCTAACGAGGGTAATCAAGTTATTGCTGCAGGTAATTTTCATTGTCTTATGTCCTAGCTACTTTTACTAAAAGCTTTAGTATGCCTTGCCTTTTGATCAAGAATGGGTGACAGATGCAATTGTTGAGTGCTCCACACTCATATTCTTTATACTGGTCGGAATATTGTTCCGCCCGCAACCGGCGAACCCCTACCTAAAGCTCAATCAGGACTCGGATGATGAAGAGGATATCTCGTAGGATTCCATTATATTTGAGTTATTTCTTCATGGAAAAAACCCTTGTAGGCTGACTCAAAATGGACTCTTGGAAGGAGTCGTCAACCGTGGATCATCGAATGCTCTCATTGCTCCTGAGATCGGTGCAAATGATCTAGATTGCCCAACATTGACTGTGGAAGACAACACAACTTCTTCGTTTGGACGCCGTCGTGTTGAAGGATTTGAAAAAACGCTCCTCTAGTATGTGCTGTGAGCTACAGCTTATAATCTGTTGTCAGTGGCTGCGGTCAAGCGATTATATGTTAAAAAGCGACTTTTTTTCGATATATGACGAATTTACTCTAGGCTTATAAACATCCTTTACATGAACATTTAATTCTGCTGCGCTTTCTGAGTGTTATGGGTCTTTTCGTACGTCTGGTAAAGCAATTGTGTCTTTTTTAGTGGTTTTTATAAAGCACAAGTTCATGCAAAAGGCGGAAAGCGCTAGCGGATCAGTTATTTTATGTGCATTCCTAACAATTCCAGAAATCTAACTGCGATCTTCTGCAGGTTTCGAGAAAATAATGATTTTTTTCAAATTACAACATCAATCTATATGATAATAATTGGTGCATGCACGTTGGCTTATCTCTGCGTCGCTTCTACTGGCCCGGTACTGCACCGCTATGGGTAACTTGTTGCACTTTCAATAGTGATTGATGGCTCAACAATACTTTTGATGTCTTTTTCTTTTGATCACGGCTGATTTTCTTTGCAAGAAGGCATGCTTTATTACTGTACTGTGATTACTTCTCCATAGAGTTAGTCTTGGTTCGAAATTGCCTCACCGAATATGTGGCAACTTATTGATTCCAGTCATTCAGTTGTGTGCTGCGATGATTTTCTCCAGCTTATCCAAAAATCATTTCATGTGTTCATGCCTGTACATTTAGAATTATGCGTTGAACGTACAACTGTTTACTTTTTCTTTACATATGCTTACGTAATATTTTTTTGTACTGGTCATAGAGCGGTTCTTGGTGTTTTAACTCTCTTGGATGAATTGTATATAGAATCATTTGCTCCGGTAATGAATTGATGCTGCTCTCTGGGGTTGTTTACAGTTTTTTATCTGGTCGTATACCGAACAAAACTATATGTGCATTATGCGCTCAGTTTCGTCAGTACATCTAACTAGCTTGCATAGAGACGCCTTGTGGTCAGACATCAGAAAAACGTTCGAGTGATTGATGCAGGATATCATCCTCAACGAGGTGGGCTTTTGCAGCATATTATTGGTGGTCGCTTCACATTTCTGTATTTTTTTTCTTATTATAACATTTATCATTGTCTAGACCACTGATGGAGAACGTAGCAGCATACGATCGTCAGAAGAAGGTGCTAGTGGATCTCCAGGTGGATTTGACCACGAAAGGCTTCGCCTTTTACAAAAAATAGATCTTGCAAGGGAGCGCCTAAAGGTCACCAGTTTGGAGAGAGAACGTGAGTTTTCGGGCAGCCCTTGCTTCTCCAATTTTTCTGAAGTTTACATATTGTTATAGGTGATGTTGAAGAGTTCCTTATGATGACTCATGGCTCAGAATGTCAAAAGGGTGCCGACAACCCTCAAATGGCTCGTCTCAAACAGCATTTTGAGAAGAAAAATAAACGACACACTAGCGAATTAGAACACCTTCAAGTAACCCTTTTTTTGCCAAATTTTCAAAGTTTGTGTCTCCTTCTTTACTGTCATCTGTTAGTAGCGATTGATTTAAGGAAGTGTCACTGAATTAATCATTTACTACAAATTTCTGTCGTCATTTTCAGAGGAAATTGGCGAATTATGAACAACGTTTAGCAGAGATTGAAAATGGGTTGGGCGACCCAGGGAATCGTGCTACGGTGATCTCTACGGTCGGCCAGGGTATCAGGTGAGTCCCGAGATTCCAGCATTCGTGCTTTATACACAGATCTCAAAATAATCAGAATTTTGAATCTGTGTTTTTTTTTGTTGAATGAATGTGTTTATTCTAGAAGAACAGGTGCTAATCTGAAAGGAATGACGGAAACGGTCATCGCTGCTCCGCTCGAGTTAGCCCAACGGATCAAGAGCACATTTGGTTCCGCTGATAATGTTAATGAACCTGGAGAAGGTGAACTTGATTTGTTTGGAGTGCTCCAGAACATAATCGGATTTTCAGGTGCAACTTCGGACTTGCGCATTGGGCATTCAAAATTCTACGCTAGTTCTGACTATGGAAGCCCCAGAGAAGCTACGACTAGCAGGTGATACTTGCAATCATTGCTGTTAAAGGTGCAAAAGTGTATAATCTGCTGCCAGATGTTTAGATATAATTCGAGGAAGTCTGATTCCCTCCCTGCTCATGCATCGCTAATAAAAGTAACCACTCCTGCTAAAGGTCACGTCATTGATGGGGATGCGTCAGTCGCTGCTGACGATTCCGTATTAGCAAAAGCGGATGGAGTTGAAGCGGTAACTCGTATTTGCGCATCCTTTTGCAAGTGAATGATCATCCTTTCGTTACGTGAATGATTGTGTTTGAAATTCAGGCTAATGACTCCGTACTTCTCTCACCGTTCGCGCTTTCGGGAGACTCTTCAGAATTATCTCCGCAGGTTCTGGAAGACCTTAGAGGTTTGCGGTATCTTATGACCAAAATGGGAGACCAGATTAATCGGATCGAGGTTTGACAAAACTGGATTTCTTTTTCTTCGATGTGTACGCATGCTAATTTAGACTCGGTTGGACTCAGAGTTGGCATACGTGACCCGAGCACTGGAAGAGGAACGCGGGAAGTACATGGTGGGTGGGTCCGCAAAAACTGCAATTAGAAAACCCTCAGAAAATTATGTCCGCTATGACTTTTGTATTCATAATGTTTATTTTTGTCGTTCTCTTTTTATGCTGATAAGCTTTTTTTTTTCAGAAATTGGAAACCACTATGAACGAAACGATTGAGCTGCACCAAGCCGAATTCCAGGTATCTCATCTTTCTGGGATTTTTTTCTAGAAGACTGGTAGTGAATGTTCTTCAGGCTTTGAAACAAGAGCAGAAAGGCATTGCAAATCGACTTGACTATCAATACAACGACCGTTTTAAACGTGTGGAGGAAAGTGTGGAATCTGTACAGAACCATGTAAGCAGCATTTAGGCTATGTATAAACCTAGTTTTAACTTCTTTAGATGGTTCGCATGGAGAATTCAATAAAAGACACATTAGACATACGCTTGTCGGGTCCCGCTTGGGGAAATGCAGTTTTTCTTTCAAGCGCAAACATTGTGGTAAGTATTGAAAAATTCCTATTACTTGTTTTTGCAAAACAGTCATTTATTTTTTTTCAGGTGGAGTTCCTGAAAATAGTTTTATATCTTGTGGCAACGGTTCTTGACCTTTTCCTACCGTATTTTGGATCACGGTTAGTTGCATCTCAAAGCTTGTGAATCCATTTGTTCATCTTTTCTTCAAACACTTCGCACATTTATTACAGGAACAAAGCGGGTGTCTTTGTATGTTGTCTCATTGCTGTACTCGTGGTTTTCCAAAACCTCCATGGTTACCAGTTCATTTATGATCTTTTCACGCGCACGAAGAATTCGACGCTGGAATAACCCCTTTTGAACGACACTTAGTTGTTCATAACCACACGAACATGCATGCTGGTTCATTCATAACGTGCACTCTCCTCAATATTCCTTCTGTTTTTCTCAGGATACAGATATTGCGGTAGCTTCAAAGTAGATGCGGCTCGTATTCTCTATTTATTATTGCACAAATTTTGCTTCACCGGTACTTCGAAGTTCTTTCAACCTACATCCAAATATTGCTAACAATAAGTAGTCGTCGATGTGGCAAAATATCTTTGCTTTGAAGCACTTAATGGTTTTATCGAATGTTGCAATGTCTTATTGTCAATGTTAATACCTCTACTTAGTCATTATAATAAGTTTGCCTCTATAATATCTTGTACGTAATGTTTATGAAGCTTCAGTTGGCTTCTTTATTCTCGTCATATTAGGCCCAACCATTCATATGTACCCTGTCAAGTTGCTTGCCGGTCAATAGTGCTAAAATTTACGCTGAAGTTGTGAGTTGCCATTGTAGGTGTGTAATAATCTAATACGGCTTGTACATGTAATCGTCCTCTAGGTTTTCTGCTAGTTTTATCAGAAATAAATTATTCAAGCTTCACTTAACATACTCTACAACTCTCTGCTCCCACTATGCTCTGCGCACTGAGCATCCAAGCTGAAAGTTTTGATATTAATTTGTGGAATCAAAAACCACCTACTATTGCTATGCTGGAGTAATTCAAAGACCTTTTGGCCAAGGCTCAGTCGTTTCTATATATATTCAATTTTTTATTATTGTTTGTATTTCACTTGAACATCTGAGAACCAGAGCCAGTAACAATACTGCAACCGCTTTGAAAAAGTCTATTTCTAAAACCCATGTACATACATAGCCTGAGTTACCAATGATTGTTTCACACCATTTCTTTTTTTAGATATGGAGACTTTTCAAAGACCTCATCTTCATCGTCAGAATTGCCTGCAAAATTTGGATTCGGAAACGAAGGAGCTGGCGTCGGTGGTGGCGGAGGCTGGACGTCGCTAGGGCTAGGCTGTACAAGAACAGGGAGCTGAAATGATAGGAGTCTGTCAGTTGTTCTCGCCATGACACTGGAGATGATAGGAAATGGCGTGTATTTTCGCTTACTTGCTCATGTCGTGCAGACTTCCTCGTCCTCTTCATGTTCATGAAGTCAAAATACTGATAAGTGGACAGTGCTATGACTAGGAACCAAGCACCAACAAATGTGAAGCCTCCAGCAATAATCACAGCAATAATCACTGCAAAGGGGAAAGGCTTGGGTCTTTGATCAGTGATTATAATCTGATAGTTTGGAAATAAGGTCTACCGCCGGTAGAAAACGCAAAAGTTAGATGCGCGAATGCGCTTCTATTAGCCGCAGAGCGCAGGGTTCACAGTGGTGAAATACACGAATTAAATATACAATGCCGCTCAACTACCCTAATTTCACGCGTACAAGGCGCTGGGGTTTTTTTCCAAAATCGACCAGCCCAAATACACCAAAGAACTTCGCAACCAAAGGACCCTATGCCTTGCTGTACATTGCTCAAGAGAATCGTACGGCATAAGGATCGCTTTCCGAAATAATTTAAAGCAGTTGAGGGCCTTAGTCGAAAAATCGAAAAAGGTGCACCTTGTACGCGTGAAATTAGGGTGATATTGCTTTTTGCGCCTTCGTTTGGCAGCAGACTTTATAGCAGTTAATTACAGATATATAGGCTACTGCATGATGAAGGCGTAATATCTTAGGGGCTAACGCGGCATTTTTAGCCGCAAAGCGCATAAGGTGCAGGGTTTGGAACGGTGAAGATATTTACGCGCGCGCGCCGCGTTCGCGCCCGCTCAACTAATACAGCTTCTGCGTCTTCGTCCTGCAGCAGCCTTTACCTCACTGGTGCGTGGAGAATGGCAGTGAGTTCCCGCTTCAGTGTATAAAAGTGTTATTTCTCTGTTACGCGTCGATCGTTTGTAAGCAAGTAATTGGTAAGTTATGAAGTTGCAGTTGACTTCTTAAACACGCTCTTTTCCATTGTTCAGCTTCAGATGCTTGAAGATGAGCTCTGCACGGCCATTTTCTACGGCGCACATGAACTGGCACTGACAACTGGCACTACAGTCGTATCATTTGTTAGGGAAATAGTGGATTCCGCGAGACTCGATAACTGTTCAGTTCCAATTAGCTAGTGAAATCGACTTGGTGCATACAAATTTACGAGAAATACACGCCTTCAAAATATGGCAGCTACATACACGCAAAGGGTTGAATGGACGAACCACAAGCACACATGTCGTGAAGTGGCGCGCATGGTGTGCAACGCACGGATTTAGTCACAGATGACTCGACTGTATTCTTCAGTTTACCAGATTGCAGATGAAACGATTGCAGTAATCGCTTCAGCAGTAGAAAAAATCATAAAACCTACAATGTACTTCCCTGTCCGCAAGCGAGTAATGCGCTTTCTCAAACTCCACAAACATCTGCTCAGCTGTAGATGAATATGGTGCAAATATACAGAATATTATATGGCATAGGAACATGAACATCAAGGTGACCACTACAAACTGAAATCAGCGATAAGGTTAACCATAGTTGATTGAAAAAGCTTATATGGTTTTTGCAGTAAATCTTGGATAAAAAGAATTTTCTGCAAAAGAAGAAAAGAAGCAAACTATTATATATGCTAAGTAGATCTGATATTCACCATTTGAACAATGTAGGGAAGCATCAGCAAAGTACTTTCTTGTATAAACGCTAATACCATCGTAACCGTCACGATATATTCCCATATCTGTAAATGAAAAGTAAGATATAACCTCATGGATTTGACACAATATGGCGTTCTTGCGTTGCCGACAACAGTTAGGCGTAAATAATGACCATGAGCTGCAGAGTCTGCGAATGTGCGCTTTGACCGCATCTTTTACGCACATCTGCTGTCAACAGTGCAAGCATTACTATTTTCTGAATCAGAAATCCTATAGAGGAAATGAGACTCACCTCTAGTGTATAAGTGATGAAAGAAGATGTTTTGATGGTGCCTTTTATATAATGAAATGTTTCTACTGTTTCAGCAAAAACCGTCAATAGAATTATTATGCCAAATGCTAGCTAAAATAATTCTGATATTTAGATCTCAATGTGAAAAAAAACTTCCCTCACTTTTACATGCAGCTTTCCACAGCAGGTGAAAAAACGTCGCTGAGTGTTGTTAAGTTTGAACAAGTTGACCATACTGAAATCGAATTTGAACGATATGTCAGGTCTTAAAGAGGTTATCGTGGAATACAAAACAAGAAAAGAGAAAACATCGCTATAGTGTAGCCTAAGTTGGCTACTTATAGTGATAACAATAAGAGCTCTGAAAAGCCAAAGTGCTAAAGAATTCTACCAATATGTACATAACATATAATTTTCACTTGCGATCAATAAGAATTCGTCGATAAGGGACATGGCTCTTATCTCAGACATAAACAAGCAATAGGACATTGCCCAATTATCTGTTCAAATAGTTCAGGTTCAGCTATCGTTATAAGACAGGTTGTGTGTTTTACTCAATCTATCAGACCGAACAATGAAGTACTAAAACAAGTTCGTTTGTTTGTCAAACCAAATACTCTAAAGAAACTGAGGTGTTCAAAAATTATTCGCTTTTTGTTTGGTTTATTGAACTGCGATTGATGGAGAAATTATATCTGAGTCATTCCTTGTCAAGAAGTCACACATAGAGTATTCTAGTCATCTGTGCACTGGATTCCAAAGTTGATTGCAGTATAAATAATCAAAATCATAATGTAATTCTCTTTAGCTAGGCTAAAATGTGTTCGAAGCATCTATAAACCAAGAAAATATCTTATAATACATAAAACATCGCAAGCAACGGGTCGGTAAAGCTTTACACAAAAAATTTTCTTTAAATCATATTCGAGCTTCTGTGCACATTCTTTTCTTGATTTATCGTAAAATCCAATTCTGACGGTTGGAAGGAGATTATTCCTCTGTGTGGAGTTTTTTCAATGCGAAGAATGCATTTGTCATAGCTCTGATTTAACTGTTCTGTCAATCACAGAAACAGTCACTGATTTCATTTGCGAAATTATTATATCGCTGTGGCAGGACTGTTTGGGGACTTTGTACTTTATCAAGTAGGAGAAAACACTAAGAAAATTGTGACAAACTGGCTGAATCAAAGGTAAATGGAAAATTCTGAGTTTTTGATGCAATGGCTCCCTTAATATTTTGTAATCATAATGTTCAAAGAAAAAGAATGCTACCAAAGAATCTTTTAAACTATGTGAGGATCTAAATACAACTGATAACCATTGAAACAATAACTTGTGTTAACTGAAAGTCATGCACAATAGGTAGCAATCTCCCGAAATTTCCAGCCTTTCGAGAATTACACAAAAATCAATAATTGCCAGTTCATTCTTGAAAATTATGTTACTCATCTCTACCACCGTCCCCTCCGTCTAAGGATAGGAACGGAACGGAACATATGGAATATTAATCGACCAATATATAGCTCATTATTTACCATATTTGGTTGATACATAAGTCTTGCACCGAATCTGACTTCGTAAACTTTCCCACTTTCACTTTGACATATGCTAAATAAGGAAAACCTTGCATTTTTCAAAAGTAAATAAGACAAAATGTATTATTTTCAAATCGCGATGATACAAGTTGGTAAAGAAAAAAAAGGTTTTTTCAAAGTTTTGCTCTCTAAAAGTACCAAAATGTATACCAAATTCTCATTCTAATTTTTTTGGTTCACGAGAAGCTTTTCATCTGGGAGAAGCCCGTGCCGGTCGGATTGCTACGAATAGTTTTGGCGCTTTCATTCAAAACTTTTCTAGTCGAAAACATTGAGTTATAGTAATACAAACTCAAAGGATTCAAAAATTCATAACTTCTGAATTTTCAACCGATTGGAACGCTCTTATTTTTGTATGAAAGCGTAAGTCATGCTCCTTATAATGACATCTTAGATGCTTGCTAATACTCATCTGTTGCATAGATAGGAGCGATAGAAGAAAAATAGTCAAAATGCGAATTTTCTGTGTAGGGTCATAAAAAATCGGAAACTAGCAACAAAAATCGGAGAAGTCGGTATTGTGAGTTTTTTCACCAGCTCTTTCTAGCAGTGCAAGGTTTGCGCCAATTGAATGTCTCTATGAAAAGTTACGATTTTCCTGAGAAAGCCAAATTAGATCAAATTCGCCCTTTTGTATTACTTGCTCGAAAATCGTAACTTTTCATAGAAAGGCTCAATTGGCGCAAATTTTGCACTCTTAGAAAGAGCTGGTGAAAGCACCTACAATACGCACTGCTCCGATTTTTGTTGCAAGTTTCCGATTTTTTATGAGCCTACACAGGAAATTCGAATTTTTGCTAATTTTCTTTTCCCGCTCCTATCTATGCAACAAATGATCATTAGCAAGCACCTAAGATGCCACTATAAAGAGCATGACTTTCTCTTTCATAAGAAAATAAGAGCGGTCCAATCGGTTAAATTCAGAAGTTGTGAATTTTTGAATTTGGTGCGAAAGAACTTTCGGTTCAACATAATATTAGTTGTCCCATAATTCTTTTCATATTCACAGATATTTCTCAAAAACTATGGCATCTAGAAAGATGCAGATTTGGGGGAGTATTCTTGAGTGAATAAGCCTTGTAATCACATATTTGCAAGGAGCATAGACCCTTTGCAGGAAAGTTTAAAAATTGAGCGCATTATTTTTTCTCGAAGTTTAGCCATCAGAAAAATGCAGAAAGTGTATATATAAGCTGGTGGGTGCATTGTATGCGGAGTAAGTGGGAACTTCGCTGAATGCTTTTGAACTGAGATTCGATTACTTTTGTGTTTTCGGGTTTTTGGATTTTTTCCATTTTGTCTTGAAAATCGATGCGGACCAAGCCTGGTACGATGAAACTCATGTTGTAGTGCATGCTTTGATCTTTCCCCTCGCTTAATTAGAAATCTAAAAAGAGTAGACTTATGCTGGTGAAAATTCAGATATGAAAAAACTTATGAGATAACCTAATATCCTTAGAGCCTTAAAGCTTACACAAATTCACATTTAAATTCCTTTCGAAGTGGATCCTAGCCAATTCCATCCAGTTACGCATTGTTTTCGGCTTGCTACACTTCTAATCTTACCCAATCCCTTCCTCCCCCCCCCCCCCCTGCGCGGCTCGTGCTCTATTATGCAGACACGAAAGTTCGCAGATAATCCTATCTTCGCCAGCCGCGTATAAGTTACAATGAGATGGCGACTCCATTAGGATACTGTCGCTCAATCAGCGTACAATGGGGAATTGTGGTTAGGGATTCATCCATCCAATTTTCCTATGAATACCACCAATCGACGCATGAAGCGTGTAAGAAGAGGTCAACCATTAAGTTTTTGTCGAGCTCTTCGATTTGCAGCATTTGCAATCAAGTTTTATGATAATGTTTTATGTTAACTTGAAATACAGGGTGTTCCAAAAAAAATGTATCGAACGTTTGATCGTTAATATCTCTCTTCTAAAAAAGTCTTTTCCGTTGCATCAGGTACCAATCTGTAGAGCTGGCTTCAACTTAGATTCGCATTATAGAAAGAATCACTCATCTCTCTTCACTACTGTAGGATTACGGTAGAAACTTCAAAGAGGGTTTTAAGCAATGAAAGGCCATATTTTGCCCCAGAAAGGAAACAAAACAGCCTGAAAGCTTCTACACTAGGCTAATTAGAGCTGCTGATTCTAACTGTAAAGTTCACAACTTATTATGATGCTTCATTGAAGAGTTATGCCAGGTAAGAGGTAGCGGCCATTTTTCCAATGTTCCTAAAAAGTGCAGTTACACCGTTTAGAAAGTTTCATAATCCTGTGAATAGTTGAGTGTTGAACTCAGCGTCCATAAAAACCCTATTACAAAAGTTTTCACATTTTTTTGAAAAATTCTGAAACGGCACCTTTTTTTACATTGACAACATATGTTTCAAGTTTCTACCGTAATCCTGCAGTAACGAAGAAAGATGAGTAATTCGTTCTATAATGCAAATCTAATTTGAAGCTAGCTCTACAAAACGGTGCCTGAAGCAAGGCAAAAGACTTCTTGGGGAGAGAGATATTAACGATCAAACGTTCGATACATTTTTTTGGGACACCCTGTATAAGTATTGCATCAGTATTTGTGAAACTTTAATCCCCTCCAAGATTCAATAGATCCGTTTGTGATATACTTTAGATAGAAAAATCGTGTTCTTTCTGAAAAGGTTTGAAGTAAAATTATATCACGTCAATAAAATGGTTGAAAAGTAGCACAAAGATCAAATTTTCTTAACCTCTGATTTCTAGAAATGCTAAAAATGCAGCAACTTTTGCATTGCACCATTTAGGGTTTTGTCTTATACTTATATTATTACTTATATTATATTACTTATTACTTATATTATTATATTTAATGCTACAAATTTTACATAGTTTCTACTTAAGTATTGTAGTTAACCATGATATAAAGATGTTTTATAAATACCAACTTTTTAGCTGATGCCGAGTCTTCCTTACTGAGGAGTTCCGGGGAAGGCTTAGAAATCAAGTCAAATTCCGTCTAAGGGAAGGAACGAAACGGAGTGAAAACGTAGCACATACAATTTACCTTTTATTATAACCTATAATCTTTCCAAATTCAAGATTTAAGATCGAACGTCTCCAAGGAAAGTTGTCTCTCGAGCTTTCGAATTTCGATACTCCTAAAATTTTGAGTATATACGATGAAATTTCTACATTTATCATATCATATATAAGAATATTCCTATACAGGTTGTAACGATTTTCTGAGCTATTCAAACGCATTTTAGAAGTTTTCTAGCGCAATGCTTATATCCAACTCAATGCATTTACTGGAGATTTGCGATATTCATAAAATACTTCATACTAATCTACATCACTCACATATTGTAAATATTACAAAGACAAGAAGAAGTCAGTATCCGTTCGTTTATATAATCGCTTTGAAAACTTTGTTAACAGCGGCAAGTGTCAGAGGATGTTGGTAAATAATGTTTTGTGTGAAAATTGATAGCTTGCTAAAATTTGATCGTTCTTTAAGTTCAGCTTCATCTATAGCTACTGTATAGATTGAATAATTGTTACAATTATAGCAGAGTTCTGTAATAGTAGATTTTCACACTGAGTTCTACAGTGATTAGCGAAAATTTGTGCGCGGTTGTATCCAAATCTAAAAAATGGCAAATGCGAAGAGTAAAGATTCTGTTTTCAGGATAACATCCTTGCACGAAGATATAACGACATGTTCAGTTCACATCTCATGAATCGGAGGAAAATTTCCCGATTAACTATTAGTCAAGAAAAAGGAAAGCCATGCGAAATCGCCGTAAATTGAGATACTGGAAGTAACACTGAAATATCTTAAACTGATAAATAAGTTTGTTAATTGAACTCTGCCTACTACACGGGACTGTGACTTCACTTTAATCTACTTCTGAACAAATTTTTTCAATGAAAATTTGTCCAGAATGACAGAAATCTGATTTTCTTCTGGCACCTTTGTGTGTAAGCAAATAAACAAATAAAGTTATAAAATCAGAACAGACCTAATTTAAGCTCCACATCGAATTAATACAGGTTTTTTTCGTATCCTCTCCCTCCCTCCCCCCATCACACATTATTAGAAACTCTGGTTGCATGATTACAGTATGAAATCATAATTAATTACAGTTTACATTACTGGATTACCTATTCAAATACCTCTTCATCCTGCTGTGGTCCTGCAGTGTCTTTTTTTTTCGCAACATCCCACTGTTTTAGCTCTTTCCAGCTTTCTCCATAGTCTTTCTGTAAAGAATTGAGAAATATCCCTTATCCACCTCAAGACAGAAAGTCTGTTGGCTTTTCCAGTAGCTCGTCTCCTCAATTCTCTTGCGTTGCGACAGTTTTTCAATCCAATTGGCGCACGGAAACATTTTACTGATTATTAACTTCTGAACTGTGATGATATATCCAAAAACTCAGTGTGGGTTGCAGGTTCAATTGCTTTCAGTACAAGTAACATACGCGAATAACAATGTGCCATAGTTGTTCAAAAGGGCGTTCATAACTCTTAGAAATTTGAGAGATCTATTGTCGATGAAAACAAAAATATTAGTGGAATTGAGATTATTTGACAAATATAGGGTTTTGTTGCTGACTCCAAAAAATGATCCCTCATTTTTATATATATCTCTATGAGTAACAGGTTTGATATTTGGCCCCATAATAGACAGTAATTAGAATGACTCAAACCTTCAAGACTTTCTTCTCCTTCATGATGGAGTTCATGTATCGAGACCGTCTTTAGCAAAATTGTTGCGCTTTTAGCTTGCTGGAACCAATGTCGCTTTCTTACTTTCAGTAATATTGGGTCGTTTGATAAATAATTTCGTTTTGACATGGCTTTATAAAAATGCAGAAATTTCCCATTTCATGGTTATTATGAGTAGGTTGTTTCAACTCTGTATTATCACATATCTTTCAATCCAGTTCGATCAGGAAACACGTTTTGAAGTCATTATTCTCTTTCTAAGTTTAGTCTTCAAGCTGTAGTAAGGCGAGTAAATTTCGGTGGTTAGATACACAAAACAAATTTGTCGGCAACAAATACGCATTCTAAACCGAGTTTCTGTACGTTTTTTTTGAAGCACGGCTTTTGAATTTGATGAAAATCTGACTACTGTACTTTCCTGCTTAATTTCGTGGCCAAAATAGTGATTATTGCTCAATGTAATAAGCAATCTGATGCCAGCCAACATAAACGATAGACTGTACCAGCCGCACGGTCAAACCTTTCCCACATTCTATACTTATGCTATGGTGTTGTAAAAATTAGAAAAGAGGAAAGATTTGGAGCTTAGTGGGGTCTAATTCTTACTCTTACACCTTTTCGATTACGTAAAGAATATTGCTCCAAAAGCGACTATGCGCGGCATATTGACAACCGTAGGACTACAGTATGCTTGTGTAGCTATCGTTCATCTTGGCACCCATCCTCTGGTTCTCCTTGAATAACTCTTTCCGATGATATTGTATTCACACGTAAATTTTTTTATTTATACATTTTTACAAAGCGTTAGGACCAATTTTCAGCGGGTGTATATCAAGAGGTGCGATTTTTATTGCCAGCTGGACTTCAGATTTCCCTTTTCAGTGGTTAATAACATTCTAGAGCCCCCTCAGATTTCTGAGAAGATATATAGATAGTTGCATGAGTTGTTTCATCTTATCATCTCAAAATAGATTCAAAACATGAATTTCGGAGGTCAAAAATTCATGAAAATGAAACTAATGGCAATTTCGTGAATATTTCGTTCATTTTTGCAGCAAAAGCTGTGAAATTTAACAAATGGTAATTTTATACAGCTAGTAAGCTGAACCACTTTGTCTGGAATTCCTTCGAAATTAGCGCAGCACAGAAATGGACCTTCAAATTGGTGACAGCCAGAAAAAATCGCGCCTCTTGACCGTTTCCCTTTAAGCACTCTCAAACCCAACCTTATTCAGTGAACCTAATATTTGCTCGCTATATTGTGAAGAGATCAGGGTAATAAGTTCTTATTGTGACTCCTTGTCAGATCTCCTCATCAACGTCCGTCGAAGAGCACGAACAATGCTCAAGGTGTCGAAGTTGTGACGCTGGAGCGTGGCTTAGCCGTTGGCTACGAATGTTCTCCCAACGTCTGAAGTGAGCGCAGTGCTCCAAATGGCAAATGTGAAAGCGGCAGTGCTCAGCGTTCCTGATGACTTGTGGATACAAAAACCTCAACCAATCTAGACAGTATGAGTGGCGTGTCAGCACAATTATGTGCCAATTAAGAACTCACAAAAGGACCCGGGTACATTTGCGAGCTCATTGTGGATGCACAATACCACTCTCAAACCCATCCAACCATCACTGGCTTTTTGTGAACTATTATTGAAAGGAGAAGTTCTTCAAATACAGGAAAGGTAATGCAACACATACACAGCACTGCTGTGTGCGTGTGCCCGTGTGTGTATGTGTGTGATTCATGCTATTCGTCATTATTTGCTTTTGATTTGAGTACTCAGGCAATTATGTATGGATAACGATCACTCGAACACGCTGTTCCCACCAAACTGCTAATCTGCGTAATGAAGTGGTCCCTATCAATTACAAGTCACTTGATTGGTATCACAGGTAAACATCTGAGCACAGTAGGGCGGAAAAGGTGTGTTCATATTACACGAAGTTGGATTTATTCTGTAGGATCTCAAAGTTTAAGACTCCCGTGCGTCTTAGAAAAGATTGGAAGGAGGAGGAGTATATAATGCGAGAATAATCATACTATTTTAAAAAAATTACCACAATCTTGAGCCACTGTCTTCCCAAACCCAGATTACATTCTTGAATAATGACACTTTTGTAGCCTATAGCTAAAGCCAAGATTGTTAGCTAGATTTATTCGGCTTACGGTTTCCGGTTTCAATTACAATTTTTTGGGCTTTGAAATGGACCATAAAATTTGTTGGAATACTTCAAAACCAGAACGTGCCATCACTAACTTATAACAAAGACAAAAATTAGTCTTCCTTAGTCACTTATAATCCTCCAATGCCTTTCCGCATTCGCAATTGTCCCTAAATCCTGTTAACACTAAACGCTTATGAGCAGCTAATTGGACATCTCGCATAATCATAGATGAGGATCCTAAAGGGATTGTGTGGCGGAAATGCGCTCATTAGAAAACCTCCACCAAATAAAAGTTCTCACTTTTGTGTCAATGCGGACACTTGAGTAGCCATTTACCAAGAACGAGCGAAAAAGCGATCGTGTTTCCCAAGAGCGCTGTTTTCTTGTCGTAGTTTCGGGTAGAATATACAAGGCACTTGGCCACAAAGTGCAGAAAACGTAAAAAAGAAACCACTCGCTAGTTGAAAAGAAGGTGGCCGGAAAAGCTGAGTAGCAGCCGTCTATTTTTGGCACATTTTTTGGTGATTCTAAGTCTAGAAAATGTCTCGAAATTAGCGCTTAATTTGCCAATATAATTATTGAGACTACATTGTGCTAAAGCCTAATATTCAACCATTCTTCCATTGTTGTCGAAATCCTTGTCAAAGAATAGACACATGGTGTGTAGTGGAAGATGAAGAACAACCTTCTTTCTGTATGTAGAAGGCATAGTGTAACCAATTTAGAGGCAGCGGGCGCTTTTCTCACTTGAACAAAGTGGATTATATCCAGCTGATTGGGTGCTGCATTTGAATGCTCACGCTTCGATTGGTTCTTCTCGCAATAATAAGACCTCCAATTCTACACGCCTCAACGGTGGAAGTTAGCCCGCATATATATTCTCGAACAACACCATTTACTCTACTTGACTGCTATATTTGCGCATTTATCCGGGCTAGATTTGGGGGTGGAAATCATTGGCTTTGGGGCAGATTTTTGGAATCAGATGGGTTTGATTCCGAGGTTCTGACTAGTTCAAAAGGTAGTTTGAATTCTTATACAGATAACCGCTACCAAAAGGGTTTCATATGAAGAAGCCAAGTTCCCACTCGCTGGCTTTGTTTTCACAAATGCGCCAATGGCGAAACGCAATCATTTCGACGCGCGGCCATTACCGTAATCCAAGCATAGCTCCGCCTAACTCCGCCCCGTATCATGTTTGCCAGCGAACAGTGCCTCACAAAGAAACAGGCGCAACGAGTGCCGGTTCTTACTTTGCTTTTCTTGTTTTCCTTACCACAAGTGTTCCTCGATTGCCTTACACTTACGTTTTGTGGCACCTTCGCACATTTCTAACGCTTTCATAAATTCACATTCAGCCCATTCACTTCTAAAATTTCTCGCGTTTTCGTCTCGTGTTTATCCTTTGCTAATACTTACTCAATACTTCCTAATTCACTGCAGATATGAACGGTATATCGTTACTATATCCAGCCTGTATTCCTGGTAATTCATCTGTTAAACTGATTGATGATGATGAGACTGCTTCCGTGTCATCGGGAGTGTCTCCAGCACCTTCAGCACAAGATTCCAAATCTCCTACGGACAGCCATGTTAAACGCCCAATGAACGCATTTATGGTATGGAGTCGTGGGCAAAGGCGTAAAATGGCTCAGGTAAAGCGTTCGAAGCATTAGTAGTAAAGATTTGAATGGTGAAGAACTGCGCTTCTTCGGAGCAAAGTGGCATTTGCATACGTTATTAGGAATTCGCATTCTTTTAGGATAACCCCAAAATGCACAATTCGGAAATCAGCAAGCGTCTTGGAGCAGAGTGGAAACAGTTATCTGACAAAGACAAACGTCCATTCATTGATGAAGCAAAAAGGTTGCGCTCTATTCATATGAAGGTGAGGACTTTTTGGGAAGGTTTACAATAGCTCAATTCTTTGTCTTATAATCTGCTATTTTAGGAACATCCCGACTACAAATACCGCCCACGACGTAAGCCAAAATCAGCTGTGAAGACTTCAAATCGCTTGCCGCTCGGAATCACATTGCCTCCGTTCGCAACCCAGGCGCTGTTCGCAAATTACGGTCCACTCGACGGGATCAAAGCGCCTGACTTTACCAGTTATTACTCGTCATTCTTCCCGAACAGTATGCTGTCTTCGTCCTATTCTCCCTATAACGTGATGGCCGCTTATGCTCGGCAAGCAGCTGCAGTCGCAGCGGCTTCACAACCCTCTCACTCGACGAATTCGTTGCCCCAGACTTGACTCATCTAGGTGGGCTGTTATAAGCTTCTTTGTTTTTTTTTCTGTCCATATATCAGTGAGAGTTTTGCGCTTGGATCTATCAAAACGGTGTGAATAAGCTGAGTGTTCAAGAAGTGTGAAGAGATGCAGGAACTAGTTCACTTTCGTATTCTCCCAAGCGCTATTTGTTGGGAAGGCGGAAAGATCATTCCCAACCGCTTGAATCCGCTTTTTTTTGCGCGACAAGACCTTTTCCTGACAGAGCGAATGCGCGCTATTGTTCCTTTATTTACCTACTTCGATCTGGAATTCGGCATGCGTTTTGTCCCGATACCCTCACCAGTTTCGCTCTCTTCCGCACCTCCACACAAAGGCATCTTGCGAGTCGGCACCAGGGGGATGAGAGTTTTGCAAAATTACTACTGCTCGCCTCAACTCGCCATCTGTTCCAGGCACGCGGCGGCCATATAAAAACACTATCCCGACGAATCTCGTACGTCATCTTGTGGACGTAGCCAACTCAGCTTTTTGTACGAGTTCCCCCATGTAATCTCTCTCTCGACTTCCGGTCACAGCAGCAGCAATGTTTCGTGCAGTGCGTGTCATTATGCTTGTATCTATGTGTATCTATAAGTTTGTGGCGAGTGTGTTGTGCGTGGCAGTCGGGCATCGCCATCCGCTCTCGCCATCCGCTCTTGTTTCTTCCGTCTTCCTCTTCAGTGTTTCGCATATATGATTGTCCGGAGATTATGTTTGCTATGTGAATAAACGCTATTGAATGAGAATTCTGGAAAGAAAGTATGCGCGTTGCCCGGTCCCAAAACAAACACACAATGCCTTTGAATTGTTTATTCTGCAATACGACAAAATCGGAACTGGCGGTGCAAATACACACGTTTGCCGTCGCATTAAAGCTCAGCTTTGTTCTAACCGATACCGCACCTTGTGCACCACTCAATCAGCCCATCCTTCGTGTGTCTAGCAATCCTCACAACCCAACGCACCCCCCAACCCCACTACTGCCATCTGCCGATTATAACTCAATTTGTTCAGTTCCGTCAATTGCTCGTTCGTCATTGTGAGTTCATTCAAGGCCGCTTTTGTTCAGCGACCAGCGAGGAGCATCTCACAATACACACCAAAGGAGAACCAGAAAAAATTAGCAAATATCGATTGACGTGCATAAAACGTGTTTTCTTCTGCGTGTGCAGTGCAGTAACTGCTCCACGGCAACTTACCCTTACTCGTGAATGACCTGTAGCTGTTGCACGAAACGCTGAGTTGTTTTCCTCAGAGAAATTGCGAAGGTTCCAGCTGAGACGAACATATAGTCGAGTTTGTGTATGTCACCAGACAAACTTCAAAACCTTCATCCAAGCTTGGGACGTGAGCATCCGATAAAATATTCAGCCATTTTTGGAAAAACTTACACAGCTCAAAAATAGAAACTAGGTAAGTGGGGGATGAAGTCAACTTCGAAAGTAAGTGCCACAATCTTTTTCACATGATGAATTTGTTTGTCTATCAGTTTTGCACTCTAAGAATGATGCTCAAAAAATTTCTAACTTAATTCCGTTGTTTATGCTGCAATTTTAAGACCCTAATAATAGAGAAATGTGCCTTATTTAGACGAGAAGCAGTAAGCACAAAACTGGTTCCTACAATGGTCATAATGTTCGTGCAAAAACGAGCTTTCTTTCTCTCGCTATAAATAAGCTTACTTACTTGTTGTGGCTATTGGTCGAAATATTTGAAGAAGTAAGTAAGATCTTACGCGCGCTAAATTGCCTTATATTACTCTCGCCAAATTGCGCCAAACGATAATTATCACTAAATTGCCAATGTGATGTCAAAATGGGGTTAAAATACAATGTTTTCTGGATTTCATATATTTACTTTCATACCGTATCAGTTTAGGGGAGTCATGAGTATAAATTACACGATGCTAGGAGAAAATATATGGAGTGACTATGTGGTTGGCCCATGCATATTTTTTACTCTTAGCAACATTTTAAGGCAGCTGGGGAACAAAGCAGTCCATTGCATTGCGAAAAATTATATTTCGCAATTATAGCAGCTTAGTCAACACAATCAGCAAATGAAGTCGTTAGAATGTAGTCTGATGTACTTATCGACTGAATGAGGATATGTTCAGAGGGGTTAAGAGCTGAACAATTTTCTGGCAAGTTAAGCATTTCTTTTGAGTATCTGACTTTTTTAAATTGAAAAAATCAAAAATTAAGTCTCAGTTCATTCTCGATATATAGTCTACAACGTCAGTCTTGTTCAGGTTTTCTAAGAGCAAAAGATGGCGAATTAATTTCGTAAAATGTGTCAAATAGTTCTAATAAGCTGAACAATTTTTCTTGGCAAGTTGGGCATATCTATACCTATGTACGATTTTTTTGAAGTTAAAAAATCAAAAATTAACTTTAAGTCCATTCTCATTTACATTTGGTCTTCAACGCCAGTCTTGTTTAGATTTTCTGGAAGCAAAAAATCAACTTTCGTAAAAAATCAAATGTAAAAGAAGCTTTTGAAATTGTTATTCATTCTTCCGGTAAAAAATGACTTTGCATCCATGATTGTTAGTTAACCAACCGCTTCTTGTTGAACATCTGTAATTCTGTTTTGCAAATCTCTAAATGGCAGCTGCGACCAGTCATTTTCGTACTCAAGCTATCGGGCTGATTCTTTGTTAAGAATTTTGCAAAAAAAAGGGCAGATTCTTACTGAATCACACATTAGATGACGTTATCATTGAACTGAGAAAAAACGAAAATCAAAATGATATAGGAGAGTCCTTCTGATACACGATTTCTTTCTACATTTTGCAAGTTTTAGAATTATTAACATCTTCGTGGCAAGATTGCTGTGCAAAAATTTAAGGGTTTTTTTTCTGAATCTACTTTGCACCCCTTTTTTCTTGTTAGTAGTTTTATTTGGTTTATTTCGTTGATGTTATAGTTTCCATGCATCCAAAATACCTAACAACAGACTGTGACCAAATAAAATTACTGACAGGAAAAAAGAGAGTGCTAAAGTTGTTAAAAGGCTGACTCTAAGGTGCCTCAAAGTCAAATTTCTACTTTACAATTTTTTTGCGCAGCTTCCTGAACTGAATGAGACCAAGAAAGAATCTTCATTTTGAAAATAGTATTTTTTAGATTTTGAACAACAGGACAGAAATTAATATTCAAAAAGCAGTTCTTTGCGATCACCAAAAAATTTCTCGCTAGGTCAGACCAGATTTTCTTCTCACACTTCTTGCCTTAGAAGTGTAGAACAACAGAAGCGTAATCATTCATTACGTAATGTGGGAGTTACGCAGCAGGAAGTCGAGTGGACGATCAGGTCGGACAAATCCTAAGAGCGGCACATTTGAAGCTCTACAATCTACAAACATTACCTGTTGTGTGAGTTAAGTAGAAAATCAACAAGTTCGAATGCTGCCGTTGTTCTAATAACACCGCCTTTGTTGGCTACTGGGAATAATAGCGAAAATATTTTAAAAAAACATGAAGACGATGAACAAACTTAGCAAAAACTACTGTGTGACCAGAAGGGTTACGATAACCAGTAAATGATGTGAAAATAGGTATTTTGTATTTCGTATAATGCTTGGCTTTTTTATACGTTATCAGCATAATTTGCATAGAAAAATTTTAGCGCGGAAACGCCGAATTTATTTTATTTTTTTGTAGTTTGGAATGGATGGCTCATACACTCCGCTTTAAATAAATCGACAAACAAATATTTTATGTGAATTAGTCCAGCTTCTTTGTTTTTCACATAGGAGGAGCTAAACTCCCCCCCCCTCTTCTCACACCTGTTTTTGGTCTCTTTTTCACTTATGCTATAACTAACTTCTGTTTGAGTCAGCATGTTAGTAAATAAACTGGTTAGATCTTTATATTTCGGCAGATTACAATATTGGTTCAGAATTGTGGTCTGCAAAAAGTGTGTCCTAAAATCCGGTAGCTACAGAAAATGTCAGCATGTATTTGACTCATCATGCTCGATAAAGTAGAGAAATGCGATTTTTTTTGGAATTTTTTGTGGTAAATTAAGTTTAGATTTTTTTCCAGTGGTTCCTCTGCTGTAGTGATTACAAATCTTTTTACATATGCTGCTTTTTGTAAATTTCAGATTTGGAACGGCAAACTCCTTACTAAGCATTGTTAACGTAGTTATAGGATTTTTGCAGTAAAACAACTTTGAGAGTTCTGGAAGCTGGACGTGAGCTGTTTTGGATGTTTTTTTTGTTTTGTTTATTAATGTGCAGGTTCTGAGTGTTTTCTTCTTCCTTGGTCCTAATGAGGCCGTCTTGCATGTTAGAATAAATAAATAAGTGATAAATAACTTGCAAATGTGGTTTTCCCACAGTCTAGCAGATTTCCCGTGAAAAGCGCGACCTCGTCTCAAGTCTCGAACGTTCTCGCCGCCAATTGTTCTCACACTATCAACTAAATATTGTCATTGAGATGGAGTAGTCCGGGATCTCAAACGTCGAAAAAAACGGTTCTCAGTTCGTCTAATCGGAGTGCGTTGATGCGCGCACTTTTTTTGTGGCCAGGGAATCTTTTGAGTTTCTCATAATTGTTGAATCAGAACGTGTGGTGTGGTTCGCGAACAAAGGACGTTGACGCGTAGCAGTGAGGGCTGAATGGATGCATGTGCTAGACCTCGGCACACAACAGAGAAAAGAGCCAAATACAAGAGCGTAGCGAATTCTCTTCACGTCATGCGATCCTATTAGCGACAGTCGCGGTCTGCAGCGATTCACCATCGCGATTCGCGCTCAACTGTTCCTCTTGGTACACTGCCAGCGATTTCACTAATGAGGCTGACACCGTCACTTTTGACGCCGAGGTGACATTTGTTGCGATGTTAATAATCCCCTAAGCACATGTCTACAGTCAACGGACAAAGCAACATTGTTTTGTGAGCCTGGGTTAATCACGAATCTGCGCAGAAGTTTCAAAAGACGACGAAAAGCACTCTTTTGCACGCTGTCAGCTGTTCTTCTCTCCGCATTGTGGAATTCATATAACCGGAATTTTTTTGTCTGCCTTTTCCAAGATGTTGTCTGATTTCCTTACAAATCAAACGTTCTTCTTAACTCCTAACTATCAAAAATGATTAAATGCTTGAATACAACAGACCATTTGCTCTTTCTTTGTTCCCATTCCTTTTCACTGTCTTCTCAGGCTTCATAGCTCCGCCTTGAAATGGCTAACAGGTAATGTATTGAAAAAGTTGGCAAGCAATTTGAATCCACAGAAAATTGCAAAATAATATTGATTTCTGAGGATATGTGCTGGATTGTTCAGATGGAGTGTCGCGGATGCTGAATTAAAAAATCATTTTGCATCTGATTTTCCCTTTTTTCGTGCCTTGCAGTAATATCAATAGCTTTCTCCATGATTTCTGGTCCTACTATAATCTCAGTTTTTTGGCGAAGGTGTAGTTAAAATCAAATTCGTTTATTTTATTTATCACAAGGGTATCAAAGCCCACTACTGTTTTGGCTTCTGAGTTCCTTATCTGAATAATGGCCATTACAAGTGAAGCTTCTAGTCTCTGATGCTCCAAAGTGTTGTAGCAGATCCGTTTGCTTTCACGGTAACCGAGCTGGAGCACTTAATTAGTCAAGAGATGTGGTCAGCAAATAGGCGCTCCACTGTGGACACGGGCGCCGATACGAATATCGGTTGCGATACGGTATCAGCGTAATAATGGTTCGAAGTCACAAAGGGTTAAGATATAAGTTACTTCACACCACATGAGAAATTGTTTATCATAGAGTATAGCTAATAGGGGAATAATTGTTTGATCTGCATTTTCGTTCGTCTGCAAGTGAAAACTCAACAACGTAAGCATCATTTGCTAAATACACTTATTTATTTTTTCGACCTCCCCTCACAGATTCGAAAAATGCAAGTGAAATGCTAGTTTTCGCGCACTTTGTGCATAAAATATGTGCGGTCGTTCTCCTTCTATTTCTATGTATTCTCTATTGACAATTTCTAAAAGAGTGCTTCTGATAAGAAAAACTTATATCATCTTCGAGACTCGAAATTAGCAGCTTGGCTTGATGGAGAACCCAGCTTTTGATTGAAAAGGAAATTTTGAAGATTTTGAAGGAATGTTGCCATTCTCTTATCAAAACTGGAAATATTCAGAGCAAATTTCCTCGACAGATGCCGTCTACAAGAAAACTCTTCTGCGATATTGACGAAACCATATTCGAATAAAACTTCACCACAGCCTGCATCCTGCGCAACTTTTCCAAATTTACACAAAAAATCTTAGAAAAAAAGAAAACAGATGAAACTTGTGTCAGACGATGTGTGGTTTGTCCGTAACATTGTTGCTCATGTTGTGTTTGGGCACCGTAACTTCATAGAGAATGACAAATTGAGGTGTCGTAAATCATCAAATGAGGCGGTGCGGAAGGAGGCGGCTGACCCGCTAGAACAACGGTTGTCACATAACGGAATTAATGGGCCGCGAATAGGCGCGCTCGTTCCACAGTACAGTAGGCAAAACATTAACATAGACGCCATTGACAGCTTTGTTTCTTCGATAAATGATGAATTTCATCAATTCTGCAATGGAAACTTGGATTCGATAAAAGCTATTGGGCAATGCATATAGTAGAACGAACATAAAAATCAGAATCTCGAAACTATGTGACATGGAGTCGATAATGCAAAGATGCAGTCAAGCAACTGTGATCAAAAAATTAGTGCACGGGTTACCCTGATGCTTGAAAAAGAAATCGTTGCTGTTCACTATGAACGTCCAGAAATAAAAAAAACGCTTCAAATCTCTTTGCTCCAATTTCATGAGATGGCTGATTGTAAGCAAACGTAAAAAGTTGTATATAGCTCTGCTACTCACATGTTATTTTCGAAGCGTTCCGAGACTTGTCAAGAAGTTCTTGTTTAGCTCCTTGCCATTCCTTAAAACTGCATTATGATCGAGTTTGTTCAGTAACTTCTCTGGAAATTAGGACAAAATGAGGAGTCTTTGGAAGAATTTTACTCATTTAAATCATTCTATGCAAGCTCATGACGTCCCTAAATTTTAACACTTATCCTTTTTTTGCTGTGATTATTGCATTTTACATCAACAAATTTAGAAAACATTAACAAGAAATCGAAGGAATATGAGGATACTATAAGATATGGGAGTTACTTATGTCGAGAAGGCAGAAGAGTACAGAAGATACTGTCCGAATGTGAATATGCAGCCGAGATGATATCACATTTCCTTACCAAGTTCGAAGTCCAAACAATAATTCACATATTGGTCCGTACGAGGCTGCTCACTACCGAGGAGCATGCAGTGAAGCTGACCAAATGCCGAAGCATTATCATCTATTACAAAAAATGCTAGCAAAAAAACTTATTACGAAATATTAGGCTGCTCCATAAGTTCTGCCCGACTTGAATTTTTTGAGTTCAAAATGTCATAACATCTTCCAAAGTCAACTTTTTTTCAAGATCTTAGTATCTATGTGTTGAGCAGTTCTTTGGCTATCAGATATATACTGAGACCTGCGAAAATTCTTGTTAAGGAAGAAGCAAGAACTCAAGAACTTCACAGCGTTTCTCTCTAAACCTGTCTTTTTTGACATGGCAATGCTCCCTTATGAGAATTGATGGGCATCTTATCTAACAATGATAGAGAAATTTTTGTAAATTATTTTGCAACATAAAAGAGCCTATAGGGTGTGCGTTACCGAGAGATTTTTTGACCGAGCAAAAAAGAAGCCACTTTTGGACCTCGCTTCAGCGCATGTGAGCATGCCTGTTTACGAATTATGAAAATTTTACAATCGACGTGAGCGCCGAAAAGAAATTGGTGTATGAGTCCTGCTAGCTCTTGCTTTACCCTAGCACCTCCTGCTTTGAACTCGATTACTTCTAGTAGCAGAAAGTTATTGCTTGTATTCGAAAATAAATTTCACTAGCAAGACGTTTTCTTCGTGGAACTGAGCTTTTGCATATACTAGCCTCCTTCACCCTTATTCAAAATTCCTCGCTAGGACATGCTTCGGTGAGAACGTACCTCGGCCAATTGAAGATTTTAGGCCTGAAATCTCCTTACACTAGGTAATCTATTAAAATTTGATATGCATTAGAAAGACCAAGAAGAGCGGTCTGTAATGACACTAACAATACCGCATTAAAGAAGAAATTCTCTTAGAACAGCTGCTTCGAACATAAGACAAAAAAGTCGGACAGAACTTATGCAGCAGCCTAATATTCACGAATGCCAGCCAAAATTTCAATCGGTTAAATTATGATGCCCTTCAAGAAACTTTCAACTAGACTTTCACAACTTTTCCATAGCTGAACAAGTTAGTTCGAAAAATTGCTTGTGACAATACTTCTGAGCCTGTCCAATTCTTTGAACTACAAACTCTCAAATCTCTCTTCTTAGGAGTGAAGGTGCATTAGCATAGTTTGTGGGATGTTGTCCTGTACCTCGATAAGATACTCGGAAGCGGTTGACCTCTACACCAGTTTTCAAAAAATTATCATAGTTTGCGCTGAGGCGGTTTCTTGATGTTCCAAAACATTTTCTATTCTACATACGCTGGCTATCCACTGCCCTAAAACAACTACATAGCTCCTGATCATCTGAGCCGAGAATCACACTTCGCTTTGGGTAATACAGATAAGGAAGATAGACTCCTCGGACACAATTACGCTCGTCCTGAACTTATGTCGCTATGTAGTTTGCTGGTGAACAAGTAAGCCAAGAATGCTTTTGATGTTAGAATTGCTCACTTTGGTTCGCATCAAAAGCTATCAAAGTCAGGCAGTAAGCATGCCTTATCACTAAAATCTTCAGAAAATAATTAATATAATTTTTAATACAAAGAATGAAACTGGGAGAGATATCGAGAGATGCAGAGTAGCTAAAGATGACATCCAAACTTCGTTCGTGTTATCGAATCGGTTTATGCAAGCATTCAAGGGGCAGGTAGCTAATATCAACACTCTGAGAAACCATTTTTCTAAATTATGATTACAGACGAGCGGAAGGTTGCTGAAATGAAGGCGGTTCTTTGAGAACTCTGATATTTCTCTACATTCTTATTCAGAAAATTTCGTGAAACTTGGTTGTGAAACTTCACATATAGTGAATATCTAATCTGGTTACTGTACCCATGATTGACAACCAGGGATGGTGTAGCTAAAGCTGTGCAATAATGCGCTGTGGGAGATGAATTAATACTTACGAGAATTTGGCTGACTGGTTATGATGTGTTATCGACGAAGTGATTCAAGTTTTAATCCCGTTCAAGAACTATTCAGTCATTTCCGTAATGTTAAAACTTACATTAGCAGTAAAGTTGTTTTAGAGGACGGAGTAACCCGCTCGAATTCCAGGTAGGCCCAGCAAGCCCTCGAAGTCTCTCACCGTCGCATGTTCTCAGCTATAAGAATGATATTATAGACACTGTAAATCAGGAACTTCTTTATTCTTGAATGTCTAACATCGGATGTGAAACAGTAGATGTCTTCTGAGAGCATCCGACAAGCGTTCTGAAACCAATAGACACAAATCGCTTTCTCAATATTCTATTGTATATGTATTAGGTTGTCCCATAAGTTTTTTCATATTCGGACCTTCAATTCGATTCTTCTCAGGAACTACAGCACCTAGTAAGCTGCAAATTTTTGGCAGTAATTCTGAGCGAATAAGCTATATAATCACCTACTTGCGGGGAATACAGAAGTGATACAGGCAAAGTTTGAAAATTGAGCGCATTATTTTTTTTCTTGTTTTCTAGCCATCAGAAAAGTGCAGCAAGTGCATTTATAAATACCCGATGAGGGGAGTATATGCATGAAAAAATAGGAAATTTGCAGAGCTGTTTTGAACTGAGATATGATGATTTTCGTTTTTTCGGAAGTTCGGAAAAATTTTTTATTTTGGTTTGGAGCATGTTGCGCATTGGACTTGGTGCGAACTTTTGAACGCCATCTTGTAGAGCTTACTTTGATCTGTCGAATGGTACCCTGCAATTTATCAGGAGTTCAAGAAGAACTGATTTATGTCGTTGAAAAATCAGGTATGAAAAGACTTATGGGACAACCTAATATATTATATTAGGTTGTCCCGAAAGTATTTTCGTTTTTTTCAAACAATCGCCACGGTCCGCAGAACAAAGATCCTTAAAAGACATTGGAAGCTTCGATGCAGCTTTTTATGCTCTTTCTTTCAGTTATCTTTATATTGCAGTTTAGCAAACGAGCTCTCAGAAAATTACCAAAAACTGCGACCCACACTTTTTACCAAGGTCAAGTTTCGCTATTTTTCTAAATTTTTGTACTGATTCTCCGAAGAAGCCCAAGTAACCCGCGGATAGAGCAAACCAAGTAGGATACAAAACAATTTCTTTCTCCTTCCAAGAGCCCTCCTTAATTTTTTGACAAATTTTCAAACAACACTATCGAATTTTAGCAGACCCATACCAGAAGAAGACTCGTCAAACTCTAAGAAATTCTCAGTTTTTGATATTCTCAAAGATAGATTGAGATTTGTTACTAATTTTACAAAACAAATGAGCGTTTCAGGGTTCGAAATATCAGATTTTGTATTTTTCGGGTACATCTTGGGGCGCCATCAAAAACATGAATTTTGTCGATTTTGTCCTCTAAAAGCTTACAAATCAGAAACGAAAAACATGCCTCTGAAAGAGGAGAAGTTGCTGCATCGAATAACACCTGAGTTGCTTCCCGAATGATGCTCTATGAGGTTTAAGTTGACGAAATATAGAATTTTATAGCATCAAAAAATATTTCTAAAAATCTTGTAAAGTAAGATTTGGAAGGGGCGAAAATTATTTTGTATCCTAGTTATTTTGCTCTATACGCAGGTTACTTAGGCTTCTTCGGAGGATCAGTACAAGAATTTAGAAAAATAGCGAAACTTGACCTTGGTAAAAAGCGTGGGTCGCAGTTTTTGGTTATTTTCTAAGAGCTCGTTAGTTAAACTGCAATTTGAAGATGACCATTTGAAAGAGCATAAAAAACTGCATCGAATGATTCTAAAATCTTTTGAGGATCTTTGTTCTGCGGACCGTGGCGATTGTTGAAAAAAGCGAAAATACTTTCGGGACGACCTAATATATCGTATACTCGCGACAATACAACTATCAGTGGTATCTGAAGATTCCTTTTTGACGTTACGGCAAGAAATTCTGGCGTATGGAGGAGTGGAGTGGGGATAGCAATATGGTCAGCCTGAGAAATTTTGGAAATATTTTGATTTTTTCATCTATTTATAAAAAGCTAGCCTTACATTCATGTGGTCATTGCCATATCTGAACATGAAATTTTTAAACCGTCACCTTCTTCCTTGTAAGCAAATTTTTTGATCTTTGTAAAAATCCAACATACCATATCATTACCGTCTCTAACAAGCAAGAAGGTTATAATCGCATTAATGAAAATCACAAAACGTTCACAAGATACCGTGGTTTGTCCGCTTGCGAAAGTTTACCGTAAACCTACCGTGCGGTAACGATAACCCAAGTCAACAGCTTCGGTCAGCCTTCAAGCTATATTCTGTACACATGTTGTTATATTTCACATACGTCTTCATTTTATAATTCTCAACATGTGGTAAGCTTGCCAAGCAGAAATAATTTATCCGCAATGACAGATATTTGAGAAGAGGTCTAATCATGCAATGTTTTGTCAGATCTTACCGTAATCTCACCCAACCTAATCCAAATTCGAATAGAACAAAAATAATAAGAGATGTAAGCAACTATTTCATTCACTTATACAGTGCTGGCCATAATTATTAGGCATAAGTAATGCAACTTTTTATATAACTTTTGTCTATTTGAACGTAGCGCATTCATTTTTTGGCAGTATAAGGAACATGATGTAAGCTTCTAATGCACACATTTTTGCCGAATTTTACCACCTTATGTGAGGATTACGGTAGGTTTACGGTACTATGGGAAAAATTTTAGAATGCATCAGATTATGCTGAAACTTGGCCTATAGGGCTTATTTGACATGCTGATCACAAAAATGAGATCCGTTTCGCATGAAAAGGCCTCGTTCGTGAGATCAAAAGATGAATTTCATTTTAGCGACAAATGATTATGATATTTGTGTTTACCGCATAGGATTACCACGTAGTGCAAAGTTATAGCGAATTCTGACTTTTCGCAGCTTAGTTATTGACAAATTGCCTTCAAAACTTGACGCATATGACTTGTTCAACTTCTCAAAGGCGCCCCACCTTAATTTGCGTTTAAATTTCATTTCTTTTTCACTGATTCCAATGTGCCAACTTCCAGCTACATGCTGCCTATAATTGCTTTTTCTTATGTTTGATTCAGGTTTCGTGAGGCTTCATGTTTGCCAAAAAATCGTGAAACCTCGATTTTCAGCAGTTTTCAAAAAATGCTTAAATTTTTTGTACTAGGTTATCAAAAATCGAACGGTTTGCGCAGACTTGCAGCTTACATCACGATCTACATGATGCCACAGAATGAGATTGCTACATAAAGTAGGAAAAAAGTTACGGGAAAAGTTGCAAAACTTATGTGCCAACCTAATATATAGCCACCCTAGAAATCGTCGTAATTTTCGTTCTTGTCAATGAATCTGTCTGAAACTTTGCTGTGTTGTGCGCATGTCAACCTACCATGACTATTCAAAACGGCTTCCAGTCTTGTTGAGTTTGAACGGAGAAAAACGTAAAAATTCGAAAAAGCCCTCTTTGAAAGCTGAACAAAATTATATAGCTACCTGGTTTTTCTAATCACTATCGCATTCGTTGACTCTCAAATTTTTTTGTACAATAACACCCCAAAATATGAAACATTTGCAACACCTAACTGCATTTTTTGCTTTCAAAAGCACCAAAAATCAGTTTGCTTCAACAAACAACTGGTTTGAAGAGTTTTCAAGCTCTTGTTCAATTCAAATGATAACCATGGAATCTACTAACCCTTCTGGATAGGTGAGGTGAAGAGCGCTTTCGTAAACTCTGCGTAATCGCTGATTTTGACGGACAGACTCCAGCCTCAACATAGGGTTGACGCACTTTTGCATCACAAAACTCAGTTTGCAATGCCCACAAAGTGCTGTACTTGATTTTATTGCACTGCATACATGGGGATGCAGCTTTTGCAACAACTTTCAGATTTTCACTAATGATGCGGTAGCAATTTAGACCTGAAATACCTTCCACGAAGATTCCCTGCGAGCAGAAGATTCAATATAACCCTAGATCTCCTTACTTTCCTCTGTGTTTCGCGTCATACTACATCCGATGAATGAGATTAGCTAAGATTTTGAAGTTTTAAGCGTCTCCGGTTTTATCTCGTGATCTGAGTTGGCTCTGATTGTGCAGGGTGCTCCACTCAACATTCAGTGGATGTCAACTGCGGCTGAACCAGAGTGCTCAATCCCGAAATTTTTTCCCAGTCACGCACACGAGTTCACTGTTGTATGGCTGTCGTAATGGCTACATTACAGTATTTTCTGTCGCTTGAAAATCGAGTTTCGTGGTGCAAAAGTGCGTCAACCCTATGGTGAGGTTGGAGTCTGTCCGTCAAAAACAGCGATTACGCAGAGTTTACGAAAGCGCTCTTCACCTCATCTATCCAGAAGGGTCAGTAGATTCCATGGTTGTCATTTATATTGAACAACAGCTTGAAAACTCTTCAAACCAGCTGTTTGTTGAAGCAAACTGATTTTGCAAAAAATGCAGTAATCGCTTCTACTTGAGTAGGATGAGAGGCCGTAGGTGTTGCAAATGTTTCATATTTTGAGGTATTATTGTACAAAAAAATTTGAGAGTCAACGAATGTGATAGTGATTAGAAAAACCAGGTGGCTATATAATTTTGTCCAGCTTTCAAAGAGGGCTTTTTCGAAATTTACGTTTTTCTCCGTTCAAACTCAACAAGACTGGAAGCCGTTTTGAGGAGTCATGGTAGGTTGACATGCACACAATACAGCAAAGTTTCAGACAGATTCATTGACAAGAACGAAAATTACGACGATTTCTAGGGTGGCTATATAATTATGGCCAGCACTGTAGTACGTACCGCAATTTGCTATGCTTGAGAACTGCGTTACGATAGAACGCGTCAAAATGAGTGAAAGTTTTGAGTGGAAAGGTTCTGGATTTTATACTCACATCTACAGACAGCGTCAGGCAAAAACTATACTCCCCGATCATTATTTGGACCTGAAATCAGCGAAGGTACTATCAAGCTCCGCCCATTCAGGTACTGGAAGCATTTTGTGCCTTCAGGATGAGCTAGCAACGGGTTTTTGAAAGTTTTGCACATTTTGCAATTCATGTCTGTAATCAGCAAAAACATGGAAGAGAAGATTTGGACGGATGCCCTTTAGTGCCTGGGCAAGATTACAATTGAGCTGGAGAAGAATGACACTCATTTCAAGTTGTTCCAATTTGTTACCCTGTAGCTGATGGCCATTTCAAAGCTAAGGTCTTACGGAATGGTCCACTATCTTCAATCTGCTATATAATGAGGGCAATGTTTTGTTCAAAACTGCGAAAAGAACAGAAAACGACCAATGCACCAGTTTACTAAGAATATTTTTGTTTCTCTTTGCCATTGCAGGTTCTGCTGATGGTTGCACTAGAGTCCAAAGTGTTCTTTCTGTCCCGTGCACGTGTGGCCTTTCATAGAGTTTATCTATAGATTTTCTATATGCCTGCACTCTGTCAATGCACTCTACGCCAACTCGCCAAATTTTTCGAATTCTCTATCTTTCCATGCACTTTTTTCTCATTTTAAATACCCGTAATCTGCGCGTAATCTGCTAAGGAATGTGCTACTTTCGCTTAAACCGTCAGTAACTTCTATACCGGAACATCAAAATAAGATTTTTGATCTCACTGTAAAGGTTACTCGAATCATACACTCTGTCGTTTGTAGGAAAAGGGGGAAGGAAACCCCTTAGAATCTATTTTTGTCCATACTTTTTGGCACTACGGTAGCGATATCTATCTGTAATCGTAAGATTTGTCACATTTGGTTAAGTTACTCTGCTTTTCTGCGTCAGTTCCACAATAAAAAAATTACAGCTGAAGATTGACAGATAGATAGTGTCCGATAAAAATATAGAATTCCTTTTTCGCTTATTGTCATTATGAAAATTGGAGTTCGAATAGTTTATTTAGGGGTGAAAATAGATAATTTTGTTGTTATATTATGAGTTGTTGTTGGTTCCACACTGTTTGGAAATATTTGTGATACATTCTGGTTCATTGCAAAACTCTCACTTTTCGCGGATACATTGGACTATCACAGATTTTTCTTTATGTTTTGGGAAAAGAAAATTTGAATCATATTGCCGATGCTGAGAGCACGTAGTTTCCCTCCAAAATTCCCAAGCTAAGCAAATTTGTTAACGGTAAAGGAAGTTAGGAGATCCCAAAAATAGGATCTCATGAATTTTGCGCCAAGCTAGTACACAAAATCAACTCTTGACTACGATGCTGCAAAAGAGAAAAGATGCCTTAATCTTCACGAAAATGCTGAAAGAGTAAATCCGAAAATTTTGTAGGAATTTAATGTGATAGCAAACCATTGCTTTATACAGAAAAAATGGGCCTCAATGAAGTATCTGCTTTGAAAGAATTGAACCCATATGTCTATAGAAAGTGAGGAAGATTTGTTCGCAAACATGTCGCAAACGTGGTTGTTGAAATTGAGAATAAAAGCTGTAAAAACTGTAATTCACACTTTTTCGCTCAGTCTCCTTATATTCTTTCTCGCTGCCTCGATCTCATCTTTGATTTCAATTTTGTTATTTTTGAAGCTTTCTTGGGAACTACTGACGAGGGGCACCAAGAAGGGTGCACTAACGGTATAGCCCCGAAACTGCATAGTGTAAAAAACAGGCAAAACCATTCAATTTTTTGTGTTATCTACTTTTAACATTTTTGTCAGCTGCCTTTTATCACAAAAACACAAAATCTATCTTATTGCTTCATGAAGTAAAAAATGAGCCTCAATGAAGTATCTGCTTTGAAAAGAACTGAACCCATATGCCTAGAGAAAGTGAGATAAATTTGTTCGCTTCCGTCGCGAACGTGATTGTTGAAATTCTAAAAAAAACTGCTTCTGCAAATCGTCATCAGTTGCAATCGTTCAATAAAAAGTAGACAATTGGGTATGGTCTTATCGGTTGATTTGCGCCATCACAGTCACAGACTATGCATTTATCGTTACTCATCTTTCGATTTGTGATCGATGAGCGTCGTATACGCAAGAGTATCCTTCAAGTAGATGTGCATTGCGGTTTCGATTCGTTTTCACTAGTTCTGATCAAATTGTGATGTTTCAAAAGCTATTAATTCTTGTAGAATGATAGCATAATTTTTTCTGAAATCCATTATCAATAATCTCAGAAGAAAAGTTCTGTCAGCGCTTAACTCAAGAAGCTACTATTTCATCTACTCGACATCAAACGATGTTTACAGCATCCAACGTCGTTCAAAGTGTAAGAAAGCGCGATCTTTTTGTTCTAGCAGATTGCTTTCCGTCTAACTGCTATTGCCAGGATATTTTTTAGTTCATCGATCATGACTCGTGTATCTCATCATTTTCTATCATTTCTCTTTGCTTTGTATATTTTGTCCCAAAAGAAGCGTATCAGATGTTTGGTCCTAGCAGTACTCTTGTCTCAGCTTTCGCGACTGTTAAGTAACATGCCATAGAGTGGGCTGGCTTAAGTTCGGATTTATAATATAAAATAAATCAAGTGTCATTTTATCTATAGTGCTTTGCGTGTGTAAAGCTGTTCAAGTGCTGTACGTCTTGATAACTTTTAAGAAAGCTGGTCAAAGTATATCTGTCGTGAATTTTAAAATAGAAAATAAGGTGAAGCGAAAAGCTCATTTGTGGAATCAGCGATGTTTGTCAACCTAATACCAGAGTTTCCAGCTCTTCCGGATGATTTTTTAGTTCAAAACGTATGATTTCGTTAGCACAAAACTCTTTTGAAGTTCAACCCTAATCCTACAGTGATGAAGACGAATTGGGATCCGCTTTCTATAGTTGAAGTACGATATGAGGCCTGATGTTAAGAGAAAACTCAGACAATAGTTATCAGCGATCAAACGTACGATACCGATTTCAAGACTCTAGGAAAGTAATTTATAGGTAAGTCATGGCTGAGGAGGAGAAAATGCCCGAGGACGGGAACCCGACCGATGAGGGTAAAACCGACGAAGGGAATCCCACCGATGAGGGTAACCCTACTGACGAGGGTAACCCTACCGACGAGGGTAAAACTACAAACGAGGGTAAAACCGATGGTGGAAACCCGACCGATGAGGGAAAAACGAACGAAGGGGGTAAAACCCCCGAAGAATGCTCATGTACATCTGAAAAAGTTATGCAGTTCTTACAAAAGATGGCTAAGGTAAGTTTCTGTATTTAAACTCATCTTAACCATCAAATTTTCGTGGTTATATGTTTTGTGTGATTTTTGAGAAATTTGATTGCTATTTCAGGAAAGTGGCACCGAAGACTTGACCGATCCAGCACTTGCGGAATTTCTCTCAAAAAGTGATGGCCTGAAACACGTCAGAGATCAATTCTACTATCCAAAATGTGGCACTCTTCCAGAAGGTAAGCATATATTTTAACTTATTTATTCTATATAAAAAGATGAATATTTCACATTATACGGCTGGGGTTTTACCTTATCATATAAATTGTAATTATGCAGCTGCTTAGTTTTTTTACAGTGATTTTTGACAAATACATCTAGATCTGCCTCAGCTATGTGATATGCACTAGAATATCCAACAAATTTCATACTAATCATTCCTCTAAAATTTCTTGATTATTCTACGACTTTCACATTTCTGTAAGATCTTCGATTTCGATCCAATGGGGATCACTTGACCAAATATTGAACTTATATGGTCTCCTATTCATTATCATCAGTGATCATTGATATCATCCCTATAAATGACGAAATGCCTGAATATGACCATGAAAAATGTTTTATACTATTATTAGTAGCCTTGTCTAATCATGTGTTCCTTCCATTAGTTCGCCGATCATAACTCGCATAAACTTTCCTTATATTTACTGTGCAAACATTTTTGTAGCACAATCATGTATGGTTAGAAAAATACATTGAAGTGTTAGTTTCAAGAGCGCACTAAAACAGGTTTTGAATAGAATTTTGTGGTGCCAAATTGTTGAATTGCTGCAGTAGAACAACGCTAACATTTCAAACATCATGTACTTTACCTTACAGAAAAGTTAATTTTTGGAAAATTAAAATTTTACAATGACAAATAATTTCAGCCGATCCATCTCTCTGCGATCCAGAATCTGATTCCATATATCTATGCGGAAATTCACTTGGATTGATGCCAAAAGCTACGGAGCGAATCATGCACGAACAACTTGATAAATGGGCTAAGATGTATGCTTACTATTTATATTATATGCTCTAAAGATGTTCGTTTCTATTAAGGGGAGTTTTCGGGCATACAAAAGGAGAAATTCCATGGGCTCATTGTGACGAACATGCCTTGGAAGGTGTAGCTCATTTAGTCGGTGCAAAACCTGAAGAAGTTGCTTTGTGTAACGGTCTCACTGTCAACATTCATGTGCTACTAGTAGGTCGTTATTCTTTTAGAAATGAAGAAGCCGGAATGGTCACAATTTATTTTAGGCCGCTTTCTATAAACCAACCGAAACCCGCCATAAGATTTTGTTGGAAACAAAGGCATTCCCCTCAGACCATTATGCAATCGAATCTCAAATCAGATTGCATGGAAGAACAGTAGAAGAGAGCATGGTAAGGCTATCCCAGCGGATTTTTGGGCTCCAAAGCTAGATCCAAATCCCTGAAATTGCTCCTCCTTTTCTAAGGAAATCTAACTATATTATCACAGGTCTGCCTTCCACCTCGTGAAGGTGAGGTATGCTTGCGAAAAGAAGACATTCTTTCTTACATAGAAGAGCATGGAGAAGAGATTGCGATTATTTTTCTGCCTGGCATACAATACTACACAGGACAGCTGTTCGATATCCATGCTATAACCACTGCTGGTAAACAAAAGGTACGTCATGACAGAGTGCATTCATCAAGAAGCCTGACTTTAGCATTCACTGGTATTTTACAACGTCTGCAATGATTCAAAAATATGATATCGCAATTATGAAGAATTCGAACATAGTTGCCAGCTGAATGAAATTTGTGTAATTGCACATCGGTGGCATACGTACAGGATGTGTCAATGGCATGCTCCCTTTCCTGCAGGCGCGGATTTGCAGAACCGCACCGCGATTCCTCTGGGCCACGTACGCGGGCTTATGAGCTGGCGTTTTGCCGACTTCCGCTTGATGATATGTTTGAGACTTATATCCTTCCTTTTCTTCCAAAAACTTCTTCTTCACTGTTTCTTGCCTCGCGCATGCACGACGCGGATGCGCAGGTGCTATGAAAAAGTGAGCTCGTGATTGACACAGGCTTTAGATGGGAGTGGAGGGTGGAGGGGTGGAGACAAGGAGGGAGGGAAGGGCGCGCAATTCATGAAATCTGCCTTTACGAATTATAAGATTGTCTATCTGCCTTTACGAGTTACAAGATTGTCTAAGTGCCTTTTTCTACCTGCAAATAGTTCAATACGTTCAAAAATTTTGGGTTCGTAATTCTCTCCCTCCTGCCTCCCCTTTACTCCCCCTGAGAAAAAAATTACTTCAACAACCTATTGTGCATAGAGGAAAATCATGAGTTTTTTAACTATCGAGTGAGTCGAATTACTTTCTTCATACAAATGCAGCAACTGTGTAATTGCAAACTTCTAGCCACACGGCGGGTGGAGGACTATATCTCGTCGGATCTGGAAGAGTCCCGCGCGGATTTCCTGCAGGAACGCATGTCCGCGCATGTACGGGTGCGGATTTGTCGCAAATGACCGCGGGGACCACCCTTTTTCGGCGACATATAGTCCTCTACCCCCACAGGGCTAATGTACTGTGGCATAGTAGGTAACTGTAACAAATTCCGTCTCCATAAATATGTGTTGAATCAAATCGAATATCGGCTAGAATTTGAACTCCTAAAACCGAGTTCTACTGCAGTTTTTCCCAGTTTCTCCATTTCGAGGGACTCATTATTACTTAAGAAATGCTACAATTTTCGAGCTATAACTTTCCCACTATTCATTGTATCCTTCTGCCAACTCGTTCAATTTAGAATGCCAAATAGTGATACACAATAAAGTAGACTCACTGAAGCTTTTTTCACTTCAAGGGATGCTTAGTCGGGTGGGACCTGGCTCACGCTGTCGCAAACGTTCCGCTCCATCTACACTACTGGGATGTAGATTTTGCTGCTTGGTGCTCTTACAAGTACATGTGTACCGGTGCTGGAGGACTTGCAGGACTCTTTGTCCATGAGAGGTCGAGATCTTTACATTTTCGATAATATGGTCCAGATATTGGTTTGCTACAGATTTAAGACCGATCATAGAGATCGCATGTTGGGATGGTGGAGTCATCGAATGGAAACTCGTTTCAATATGGATAATGGTGATTTCGTTCATACGTTTTCTCAAGCACCAAAAATACATTTGTTTTTTAGTGATGGATCTTGATGACGGTGCAGCTGGCTATAGAATAAGTAATCCACCCATTCATCTTGTAGTTCCTGTGATGGGAATGTTGGAGGTAAGTCAAATTCTATACACTTCGTTTAGTCTTTTAGAGGGGTAATAAGGAACTCTGCAGGTGTTCAAAACTGTAAAGCTAGAGGATCTTAGGACGAGATCATGTTATCTGACCGGATATCTCGAGTTCCTTGTCAAGCACTTCTTCGATGAAGCTTCTGAGCACAAGTGAGTAAATTTTTGAACTTTTCATGACCACTTCACTGTTATTCTTTTCTCTAAAAAGATGCAGACACCAGTGGCCGTATTCATCAACGAACCCTTGAGGGTTTACCGAGGTTAAGCCTACCCTGTGCTTCGTGAGTACGGGTTTTATGCTTTTTGGAGTGATTACTCCTAAGGGTAAGGCTTAGACTCAGGATTCGTTGATGAGTACGGCCACAGTACTTTTGAAAAATTAACTAGCTACTCACTTGTGATGTTGAAAAATGAAACAATGTTCTTGCATTATTAAGAACTATATATGAATTCTTAAGGATATTTTTATTTTTTAGCAAAACCAGTACGAATGTGTTTCGTAGAAGAATTCTCTGTAATACAAAATATACCATCATCAGCACTCGCTAGTGAGCATTTTGTTTTCAGAAGCTCAAAAATAACGTGCAAGATAATTACACCACCAGAATTTCACGAGAGGGGATGTCAGCTTTCTCTGCAATTTTCTGTGTCCATCGATGTCATCTACAAAGAGCTTGTAAAACGCGGTGTTGCGGTAAGTAGAGTTCTTTTCCATCTTTTTTTGTTAAAAATAAAGTTACCATTGCAGTGTGACAAAAGATATCCGGATGTGATACGTGTCACCCCTGTGCATCTCTACAACAACTATGTCGATTGTCGACGCTTCATCACTGCACTGCAGGAAGCCTGTGCCGTCGCAGAATCATCTCTCTAAATTTTTTTGTAGTTAAGGTGTTGTCAAGAACTCACAAAGATAAATGAATCTGAAGCATTTCATTCTTTACCTGCTTACCAGTTGCGGTCGCAGAAAGTTTTGTGGGAGAGCGAAGGTCTTTCTAAAATGTTTTACGGGTGCTCCTGGTGTGAGTTTCATCACGAAGATATTTGATTCTCAAAGTGCTAAAGTTATTTTGATAATACAAGCCATGCAAGCTGATTGAGCATTCAAAGCTTATAACAGGCCAATTTCAAAAATCTTATGACTCATTCTTTTCGGAGGGAGAGAAGTGTACCGTTTAAGTTGCCGTCTAGGCGCGCTCAGTTAAGTCCCTGACACTAGGTTTATATAGGGGTCCAAAAATGGTCCATGCAGGCCCTCGTAAAAGTGGGACTTCATATTTTCCATATTTCAAAACAAAAAACATAGCGAAGCGTGAATTTTCTGAATGATTCAGATTATCCCTTCATTAATTCCTTCAACGAGTCTGTCATTGATGTTGCTTGAAAAGTGAATGATGTCATCTGAGAAGTTATATGAGACGGAGAAAACCATGAAATAGTAAGCCACCTTGTTCCCAGTGACTTCATCCCAGTGACTTCATCAATTTGTCGAGGCAAGACCTTTGTGAAAAGCCTCAGCGCTCTTTTTAAACTCCCCCCCCCCCTTCCCCTCCCCCGCCTGCTTATATGGGTAACCAGGGACAATAAACAGCCAAATTTGCTTCAAAGCATCTACAGTATTCTGCCGATATAATTAGGCTTGTCCTCCTGTTGGTTGGTATCTCTTACTAATGATAGAAGAAGGCGGGGTGTGTTTCATTGCGGTTACCTGTGAAATCAGCTTCTATTTGAGAATGCACTTCATCTCCGTGTCATGCGGCAAGACTGCTTTATTTAGAAACTTAAACAGTGCGTACTAGGAAGATGCGATCTTCCCGTTACTTTTTCTTCGGTGAAACGATAGTGCAGGATGTCCCAAAAGTAAGTGCACACTTTTTGATCGTTAATAAATTTCTTCACACTTAGTCTTTTCCTTTAGGGTAAACTGAATTATATAGGGCGTCCCAAAAAATGTACCTACTGTTTGATTGTGAATAACTCTCTTGTAATGAAGTGTTTCGAGAAGTTTTAGGCATCATTTTATAGAGCGAGGTTAATCTTAGATTTACAGTATAGAGCGAATCATCTATCGCTCTTCACTACTGTAGGATTACTGCATGAACTTCGACAAGGATTTCAGATTATTGGAGGATAAATTCTGCCTCGCAACAAAACCAAAAAAGCCAAAAACTACGGTAATGGAGCCGCTGATTTCGAATTTGAAACTCCCATTTTACTATGATGCTTCTTTCCTAAATTATCCCCGGTAAATTGTCATAAGTCAGTTCTTAGCATTTGTCAGAAATGTAATAATACCGTCAAAAAAAAACAGAAAACACTAGTAAAAAGTTGTTAGTTGGAATCAGCATGCGCGAAAATCCTAGTACGCGAAAACCCTAGTAGTAGTTTTTCAGATTTAAAAAAGAAATTCTGTCAGGTGGTATATTTCACAATGCTTCCATATGCTGGAAGTTCTTACCGTAATCCTACAGTAATGAGGAGCTATCGATGATTTGCTCCATACCGTAAATCTAAGTTTAACCTCGCTCTACAAAATGGTACCTAAAGCTTCTCGAAACACTTCATTACAAAAGAGTTATTCACAATCAAACAGAAGCTACATTTTTTGGGACACTCTGTATATTGATAATCAGCGACACAGTTTAGCTTGATGTAAAGTTTTCGGTTCATTGATCTGTTCTAGGGGCAATATGTAGCCACTAATGGCTCAAAACCCTCTTCAGAGTTCTTACCGTAATCCCACAGTAATGAAGAGAGCTGGTTGATCTGCTCCATACTGTAGATCTAGGTTGAATCCTTCTTTATCAATGTTACAAAGCTGAAGAAAAGCCTCAGCGAGTAGAGAGTACTAACGATTAAAAAGTGTGTACTTACTTTTGGGACTCTGTATTTGAAACTCTCTACTAACTGGAAAGAAATGATAGGAAGAGCGACATTCTCAAGTGGGCTATGCCCTTTAGCTTGTAGAACTCGACAGGAGGGTGAGCAGAGATATGGGGCTTTACAATGTGTTAATGAGCAGGAAAACTTTCTATAAAAAGCCTTCGCAATAGATTCGATCCTGTTTCGAAAGACTTCTGAATCCAGCGCACATGGAAGCCTTGTGGCACTTCTATAGACTTCGCCTTTTACTTTCAGAATTTTCTTGCCTTTTCTTCTCCCGACTTTTGAAAATACTCTCATCATAGGCACAAAACAATACAGCCACCTTCTGAAAGAAATTGGATGTACCTCAATTCATTTCAGGACTATGTTCACTAACAGACATCACAAGAAAAAAGTTTATGAGTTGGTTCCAGTGATCCTTTGCTTTGAGTATCTCCTTTATTTACCCACTCAAGCAAAGCAGCTCTGATCGTGATACCAAAAAACTTGATACGCACCTTTGTTAGAACAAAGTAAGCACATTTTTGCTAAGTCAATTTTTATTTCTAAACAGTGAGTATACAAATTTTTTGCAAGATCTTTTTTGATGGGTACTTTTGGGAGTGAAATCGATGACACAGGTTTCAAAAGTTTTAAGTTTGTGAGTAGATATGTTTTATATAAGTTTCCTGGATGGAATGCATTCACGGCAGAATTTCTTTTTGCTGCAAGATTTTGTTTTTGAGCACTAAAATTGTGACCGCACTCTATTGTATTCATACGGAAAATTCATTGCAGCTAACATCGCTTTAGTTCGTTCTTTAGTTCGTTTTCAACTAAATGTCATGTTCAGTTGAATGCCAATATGAATTTGCGTCTGATGATTTTCACATCGATCATCTGAACATTGCCATAAGCTTTTGCTCTGGTAATGATTAATATAAAAATGGCATCAAAAGAAAAATTTGCAAATAAATACGCACTACTAGGAAATGTCCTTTTAGGAATGTCTGATTTTTTTTCTATATGTTCATCGATAGCTCTTTAAAGATAAGATTGTGTAGACCACTTCTCGAAGAACAAGAAAAAAAGGAGAGTGTATCGAATACGCGTTGCCTAGAAGTAGAACGACAGTTTGAGATAAAAATCTTTCTTATTCAGAGTACATTAAGCTTTTTATACCAAAGATTATAATCAAGAATTGAAGTAGAAACAGGGAAGTTCAATTCAGGAAAATTTTTCCGAAATGCACTCAAGCACACAAAAAAAACTTAGTTTTTATGCCTGGAGCAGGTTTACTGAGGATGTCCCGAAACTACTGGGGATTCCTAATTTGGTTCCCATGTGACGTTCATAATGAAAATTCCCCCGCTTTTTCTGAGGTCGTTTGTCTTAAATCTTCCATAAAACCTAGTGAGTCTTTCATAGTTTCTCATCTATACTTCACATCTGCTTAATTAATCTTCGAGTATTGTGCAGATATGCATGCGATGATGTCGGTGTTCTACAGTTAATCGCTTCCCAAAGCGGTTTTTACACATTGGGAAATCAAATAAACATGTTTTCTACATTTCCGCGTGCTATTGCTTATTCAGTGATTTAATTATGACTTTATCAAGGAATGAACTTCAGCGATCTTTAGGTGAAAAAATTCTATAATTTTAACTCTACAGAAAAAATCTCGACTTTTTAGATCATTTCGCTGACTCTGCGAAGTCAGATCGATGAACTGTGCAGGGTCCGGCACAGATTGTATGGAAAAAGCTAAACTTCGTTTTTGGGGCGAAAAAGCAAAGGGAATATCGTTTTCTTGGCCAAAAAGATGCAAAAAATTGCGACGTTTATTAAGTCGACGTTTCGCTTTTTAGGGTTTTTTACAGATATGGTTTGGGGTCAAAGGGGACTTCGTAAAATTCGACGAAAGTCATGGGGGCATCGTTTTCAAAAAGCCTAGATACGGGCTTATGCCGGGCATTGGAGCTGTGCCAAAGGTCGATATTAACAAAAGTTTTTCGAAAGTAAATTTACATTTGAAACTCAACCAAAGGCGGGCCTTTTCCGAAGAAAATACTTCTTATCTTTTCCAGAAAATTATCTGGTGCATATGCTACAAAAACTGTTACCAAATTTTCTTGGAACTGATTGGCCTCGAACCGTATTTCGACTTCGTTCCCAGCAAATTACTGTAACTAAGCGATCACAGAGTTCAGCTTATCTTACAAAACCCAGACTGCGAAAGTCCTTGGACGAAATCTTCGTTAGAAAATTCTGTACATTGTTTTTGCGAAGCATATGTTGTGGAAAAAATGACTAACATCAATTCGAAATGAATGATCGTCTTTTTTTTCTTTCGCATGGTGAGGCATACAACACAAAAGCCTCTGATGATGAATTGGCCGACTGTGTATAATAGTTTTGTGGAGCAAAAGTGACTTTCTGATTGGAAATATTTATCGATAGGATTTGAGAGTGGAAATTATTCATTTACTCAATTATTTGGTCATTCTACACCCTCTCAGGCGTGATAGAGAAATCAAGGTTAGACATGCACCCAGAAACAATATATCTCTTGAAAGAAAGAAAAAAAATGAATGTACAGCAAAGAGTCATGAAGACTAATTATTTAAGGCTAATTTGATGATAATACAAATTACTAAGGTGCCTGATTAGACTATGCCTAGAAGATGTGATTCAATGAAGTTGGTACCCGAGCCATTTCCAGCAAAAACGACCTTACAAAATTGTATAGAAGCATGTCGGAAGTTCCGAAAGAGGTCTACTGGTTCACAGATGCTGGAAAGAGTGCCAAACTCGATAATAATAGAAAAAACTTTGAATTTATTTTGGAGCCGGAAATGGACAGTGACTATAGGGATGAGTAGCGCACTTCAGTTATGAGTAGCTTGAAAAGCTGAAAATTTTCAGAATTCCAAAATTTTGAATAGAGATTGTTTTCGGCATACCCTTGATGGTGCTCTTAGAAAAATTCCAAACCGTGTTCTGCTCTGAACGTTCTGTGGATCCATACAGAACTCTCAGCCCCTTCCATTTCCTCGCATGGGGGATAGTGGAGTGACATCGATTTTTGCGGTAAGGTGTTGTTGTTCCCGATCAGTTCCCGATTGGTGACCACCCACCCCCCGCTCCCCGTCGACGCAAACACCCCCGGTCAAACGCCGTTCTCACGCGCCCGTGGCCACCAGCGAGAAGCGTCGGGTTCAGCGCCGTGGCCTTCAGGCGGGTCAGCATCTCCAAAGCGATCGGCACCACCCGGACTGAAAGTGATAGCCCCCCCCCCCACCCCTCGACGAACTGACGGTTCGGTAGAGCACATCGGTCAGCACAGGGGCGGCTCCTGCACATTGATCGTGTAGCTACATCACATGCCTGGCGAAGTCCGTCCGTGGCGGTGGCGATTTGCTTGTTGTGTCCACTAGACTTGAGCCACGATGATCTTCTCCACCTATTTCCGGCTAAACACCCGAGGTGTAAGCCGGCTGTTCTCGTCCAGTATCGCCGGCATTCCATATAAGCAGCTGACTGTGTCTGCACTTAAGGAAACCTTCGATGGTGAGTTCTGCTTGAACTATTCCCTTTGTGGCTTCTTGTGGTGAGGTGAACTATTGCCAGAAAGGGCATTTGCCCTTAGTTCACCTCTCCACCTCTTTTTAGCTCTCTCTTTGTCCAAATAAGACTATGCAAAGTTATTATTATTAATTTATTGCTCAGAAAATTCCTATTCATGTTACAGTCAGCAAGGTCGAGATTACTATCAAACACAACAACTAAAAACAACATTTTATATAGTCAAATCAGAACTAACAGATGGAAGAGGTTAGGCCGAAGTAAATAGTTTTTGGAAAGACTTATGAAGTCGGTAAGCTGAAAGTATATTTCCTTCTCGTATTTTTCGTAGTTTATAAGTTCATCTAGATTACTGCTAATGTCATTTGTAAATCTTCCCTTCACATTTCTCCCTGGTCTTGGTACCATTTTTCGTAGGTCTCCTAAACTTATAGGTTCTATCTCAGGATTTCACAGAAACCCATACAACTACATCCTAATTTCTTTGCTTCCACATTTATCAGTGCCAAAATTTCTAGATAACAGCTCTTCAGCATACAACACATGACATTTTCTTATTTTCCAGTTTTGCATTCTGAATCAGGCACATTTGCCCCTCATTGCTAATTGAGGGGTATCTTTTTGCCTATTACCTGTTTCCAGTTCCTCCATTTTCGATCTTGAGAGAGGCTATTTTTCCATTTTTCTGGAAATCGCCCTCTAAATCAACGGTCACTTTAGTCACTCTTAACAACTGCCTTTTTTTATAGTACCTCTAATTACATGCTACGGACTTTGTTCCCCGAAATACCATTGATCATTATAATACTAATAAGAAAGAACTTCTTTCGGTTCGATCTTTGACTTGTATAAGTGGTTATAGAGGGAAAGAAGCATGCCTTGAATTCTCAAACCAGGTCAAGGTATAAGAGAATCAAAGACAACTCTAGCTTCTTGCGCAAAATGTAATGAAGATTTTCGAAATGTTAGGTTGGAACAACAGCCTTGCACTACAAATTCCAAAACAAAAGATTATTTAAAAGTGTTTAGACAACACTTTCAATCTTCGATTTATATTTCTGCGAAATACGATATATGTAATGTTTCATCATGCATTCAAGAAACTCTGATCCAAATGAAACATCAAAGTTTGAAAAAAGTAATTTGAAAATCACAACTTTTTGCAGAGAAATCCACATGGCACAAATTCATCTCAACAAAAAGGATAACTCTTGAAGTTTGAACTAGCGAATAGAGGTTGCTAGACCTTAGAGCTTAATTAGAGATCAAACACCAAAAAACAAAGTTTGGAAGTTTGTGTTCATCGGTTTTGTCGCCGCTACGTAATGACAGAAATCCTAGTTCTGAACACTAACAGAACCCGCTTGAATCTTCGCTTTTTATTTTACCTCCATCTTACATCTTATTGAACTGATTAGTTAAATTTGTAGAAACTTACGGATTTTCCAAAAATTTTGGTTCATGTTTATATTTCAAACCATTACATCCTATAGTTGTGCATCGCACGTTCATGGCCAAGACATAATATTTGAATCGAATATTTTTTCGAATATTCTACTCGAATGATTTATTCGAACTAGAAAAGTGGACTATTCAGGAAAGTGCACATTCCAATATTCTAAAAATTTCGAATAAGTTGTTTTTTCGATTCGTCGATTAAACAGATATTCGTATAAAGGTCTTTTTCATTTACTCGAATATTTGTATAACCAAGTGAATGTGCCTTCCTCAATATTCGAGTTTTCAGTTCGAATATATCATTCAAATGGTTCTAACTATAGTAAATATTGCACCGTTCTAGATGAAATTTCAAATTCTCTCTATCTACTCACTTCATAATTTAAGGTGAGCGACGAGTTGCTCTTAGTCCCGCAGCTGTTAAAGTGCTTTGCAACAAAGGATTCAATGTGCAGGTAATGTTAGAGACTCCCAACTCTCACGTTTATCATCGCCATTTGTTCCTCCTAATCAGACTTGCAGATTCTCTGAATTCGTTTTTTCCTACATCTTGTGTGTAATGTAATGAAGCGTGGTTTCTTCCTGCACAAAGCTCTCATTGCGGTCTTTTGATTTATTTTTTGTCCGCTCTCAATGTCAAGAGTATGTCTGAGATATCGGTGTCTGTTATTCGATGTGTAAGCGGATACAGAACAAAAGATTTAGGTGTTGGAAGGGGAGTAGGGGGGGGGGGAAACAGAAATCTTTTAACACGGCTAAATCAGCTTGAATAGCAGATACCCCATTCCGAATACTCTTCTATAAAATCTATAGTAACGCACTAGATCGACTTGAAGTTCGTAAAGAAAAGAAACAAGAAACGAAACTCTTATAAAAACTCTCAACAGATCACGTCTTTGATCGAAAGATGTTCCTACAAGATAGATATAAGAACAGGTTCTTCTAAAAAGCAAATTTTGTAGTCTCTAGAAATTTCGATCTAGAAAAACTGGCGAGCATAGATACAGTTATTCAATCATCAGCTATGAATAAAAATATCATAATTAGAGTTTTTTTACCACTTTAGTATTCACTCCAATTGCAAAACTTTCGTTCTTATCGCAAAAAAAAAACACCAACACTGCATGCTCCTTTTGTTTACTAACCTTTTGATAAGCCACTCAATGAAAATGCACAAAAAGTTTGATAAACAATCAGTATTGAATTTTATCTGCTCTGTGCATGCCACTGAAAAAAGACGGAAGTCGGTTGACCATTGAATTACATAACTGATAACACTTTTTCCTATCTTTAAGATCGCTTGTATTTAATTCCTTCGTTGGGTTTGGGGTAAAAGACAAAAGCAAGAGACAAAAAGGTTGTTTTCTTGGACTTTTCCACATCAGGGTGTTTTCCGCAAACCTCCACTGTCTGAAACTGACAATTTAACTATTGAGGAGTGAAAAACTAAACAATATTAAGCTTGCTACTAACAGTGTGAGTCTCATTTAGGTAACAATAAGCATGTGCAAAAGCGATAATTTAGACTGTTACTCAATTACTGGTACGCGGTGTTGATCCTGAGTCCTGCACCGAAAAAATATTATGAACTCAGCTAAAAATGTTTGAAGCAATATCTTAAACTATAATAGATATTTTTCATAACACATAACACGTGTCTTCTTTTACTATGCGGACTGGAGGTTTTATACGAAACAAAATCAAAATGTCGACTTGAAGTCGAAACTTTTAATTCGTAAGAATCTGCACAGAATTTTTAGCAATTGAAAAGAAATCCGCAAAACCATAAACAAAATCAAAATCAAAATCTTTAGAAGTTTTTAGCATTTTTAACGACCAAAATCCACAAACCTATGACCTGAGTGCTTCCCTTTACCAGCCTGTATCGTTGAGATGCCAGCGCTAATTTTCTTCGAGAAATACTAAAAATTGCAAGTATTTCCCTTTCCAATCATATTCGATTAAGCGAATTGATTGCAACCAGAAAAAAACCCCGATCTACAAAATTTTCGGTGCAAGACGTATGGATCAAGCAAATATTTGATCCGCGATCGAACCCGGCACTCAATGTCTCCTCTGCATTTGCGTCAAACACATTTATTTCAGTTTTTCTTACCTACATACATCAATGAGAGCAAAGTCTGACAAAGCAAATGTCAGTATTTCTTTTCCCTTTATCACATGAGGACCGGATGTTATAAATTAATTTTGGGCCTTTCGAAAATTTATCAGGATTGCGACGCAATATCAATTGGAAATGATTGTAAAAAAACTGATTCCTAAGAGAAATGAATAATTTCTCCGCATTGTAAACTGGAGTCTGGTAATGAATGCTGAGGTACGTGTTCGATTTTTTTCCACACTGATTCCTCGAAAAATTACGGTCGATAAACTTATGGCTACCTAAGATTGATTAATGAAAAAGAATGAACGTGACCAATACAGTGGTGATGGATACCATCGAATTACGTAGTTGCGAGACATTTGCCGCAACAACACACAAATTTTTTCTTTACAGCTGTTCACTATTACGTTTGAGTTTGCTAGAACAAAATGTATTAGGTTGATGCACAATTCTTGCACCAGGAAATAGAAGAATTGTTTTGAAAATGCTCAAGCAAAGTAATCAACTTACAGGATATGCTTCTCGTTATGCATATCAATTTCAATTGTAGAATTTTGTAGTACATCATTTTATAAAATCAGTGGGAAACAAAGTCAATAACTCAGTTCAAATAAATCAAAATTCTTAACTATTCGCAGGGACATTCAATCACTACCACCTTCTCTTAGTTAATTAAAGCATGTCGTGAACTTAGATTAAGGATAAATTCAAATTTAGTAGATGTTTCAGCAATTTTAATGACCAAAAATCGAAAAACCACTTCTTGGGTATTTCTCTTATTCACCTTATATCGTTGTCACATGCCTTCAAGGAATTTTGACACATGCGCCCTCAGAAAGCGCAAGATTTGTTCTCTTTTTTATATATCATACCGAAAGATTTCATCGAAGCTGGATGAAGTAACAGAATTTCAAAGATTTTGGTGCAAGAAATATACATCATCCTGATACTAAAGTTTTACCTTTCTGAACAGTAGTCGATATCTGTTTACGTTAAGAGGAGGTTTTTGATATGATTATGAGACTAGAGTAAGAAAATGCGCGGTGCCGTTTAGACTTCACAGAAATCATTGAGTAAGGTGTAAGTTTATCTGGTGCAGAGGTTCAAAAACATTCAGACTACTTTCGATTCATATAAAGAATACTACAAAAGAACAGAGGGAATTCTGGTTGAAGTATCATTGTTGTTTAGTAACTCCAGGCATTTCAAGCAAAAGTTGAAAGTGAGTGACGGTTTGTCAGGATCATGGGTCACAAGATCCCCTTTGATTTCAAGCATATAGTTAGCTTGGAGAAGAACATCTCTTTATTTTTATTATCCTCAGCTTTAGTGTTATCATAGTCTGCATCCTCAGAGCCAGTTTCAAATTCCGTTTATGTCTATTACTATTCAACAGAGATTTCACACAAATCACGTGGGCTTCCTTTACACCAATGACAGCATGAATTAAATCTTCACAAGTCGTACCTTCCCCTTTGTTTGCCTCTATTAAGTACATTGCATTCGTACTAGTCTTGTACTATGAGTAGTCGAAAACACCAGTGGGCCCAGGTTGCTGAATTCTATTTCAAAGAAACGTAAAGTATTTGTATGGAGGGCAACAATGTACCCGCAAAATGGGAGAAACCTTGTAGAAAGGTGTGAACGGGTTTAAATGGCTTACGATAGGGTTATAGATTTTTTTCGATCCTACTACTAGAGTAAGTTAGTCATGATCATTGCCAATAAAAATTTTCGTATCACTTTACTGTGGGTTCTTGAGTCAAATTAAATACAATGTATTAGGTTGTTGCAAATGGCCGTAGATTATGGGTTGTTGAAGCTAAAAGTGACTTTTCTTAAGAATCAATGCAGATACCAGGCTGAAATTGTACAGACATGCTTGCGAGTCTTTATGGTACACAATACCTGAATTGTAGGAAAGGGGCGGAGTTAGAGGCGGAGTTTGCCATTTCGATTTTCGTTTCTCATGCTCTAAGTGAGAATTACGGCAACTGCATAAATGAACATTATGATGTGTCTACTATGTGATGACCAGTTGGGAGTGTCCAAATGCTCTCAGCTTCTGGCATCAGACTTCACGTAGACTAAAGGTTTATGTAGATTCTAAGGCTTTGTTGAGCTTGCTTCGTTCTATCAAATGGTACGTCATTCGTAAATATCTATATTCACATGCTTTGGTAGTGTATGCTATGGGCGCTATTTTTGCATCAACCTAAAAAGTATTGGGTTGATTGAGTTTTGCACCAAAAAAAAATTAGAAAATCACTTTAAAAAGTTTAGAGTATTTACGTTTTGCAACAGTAACGAACAATACGTAATAGAGGTTTTGTCGACTCAAAACAAAAGTTGAAAAAAAATTCGACAGTCATGAGTATTCGTAGAAACGTCCAGCATCATATTATAGTATGTTATGAAGCCAAAGCAAAACTAAAATGAGAACTCAGTAGAGGTTCTATTTCCCTTCTTGTTCACATGTTTTGAACAAACATAACCATTCCGTATTACTGCTCGCTTTTCTGTGGTGTAATTAGATGCCTTAGAATTTTTTATTGAAGTGATCACAAACTTCACACTTGGTAGGCTCATTGATAAACGTTATAAGAATGAAGGTATGAGTCCACTTTGACGACGTTATAGATTCGTGTATATTTCAATACATATCGCTTATCAGATGCTGGTGCTCTCGCTGCGAAGCGTCTTTTTTAGTTTCCCCGTTTTTTTGTTGAAGACTCACTACAGACATTAACAAGTGATGTGCTTACAACTGATGTGTTTCAGATAGAGAAAGGTGCAGGTGTTGGAGCGAAGTGGAGCGATGAAGAATACGCCAAAGAGGGAGCAAAACTCGTCACAAACGAGGATGCTTATAAAGCTGATATCTTGCTTAAGGTACGTAACGTAGGGTTAGCAAAGGTCCGGACCACAAAATTTTCTGTTTAAGGTCCGGCCACCATCACTTACAGAGGCCGCACTATTGAAGGATAACTCCACATTGATCTCGTTTCTGTATCCCGCTACAAATAAAGAGCTAGTAGATAAGTTAGCAAAAAAGAAGCTGAACGCTATTGCTATGGATTGTGTGCCCAGAATTTCACGAGCACAGGTACATTGTTCTTTTTGATGGGGAAAATTCCGAAAAGTAAATGTTCAGGTGTTCGATGCGCTGTCGTCTATGGCGAATATTGCTGGATATCGAGCTGTGATCGAGGCTGCTCATCATTTTGGTCGATTTTTCACAGGGCAAATAACTGCAGCTGGAAAGGTTCATTTGATAACTTTCTAGCCTCAAGTACTCCAAATGCGAATCCAAATTCTGTTTTTGCTATATATGTTCGCTAAACCTAGAGACTACTGAACTAACAAGAAAATTCTTTTGAGACACTCTGAAAAACTTTAAGCAGCCAATTTTTCCGGCTTCATCAAAGAAGAGGGAAAATGCGTTTTTTGATTTGTTCTGATTTCTTAAACGGCGGAAAACGGACCCTAGTCTACATATTCTTTATATAATAAAAGTTCTGCAGCAGCTTGCAGACAAGAATTTCTCGTCGCTAAATTACGGCAGACAGTGCAGTTTACGTTGAGATTTTTTTAGTTCGAAAATTTTTGGGAGCCTTAATTTGATGTGTATTTGTAGCACAACCTTCTACTCCTCGTTCTGTTCCTTTCACAAAAATTTTGCATGCTTGGAAGTTTCTAAAGAAAGAAATATAAGAAATTTCGGTGCTGAAATTTTTGGCGAGAAAATCTCGAAACTGGGTCTTTTGTTTTTCAAGGTTCGGTATCTCAAAATCAATTTCTACTTCGTAGCAAGCATTTTAGGGAAAGAGGCAGGGAAACCTATATTGATGCTATTTCAACCAAATAAAAAGTGAATTACTACAGTGGTGGTTTTTAGGTTTGATGGGCACAATAAAACAAAAAAAAAAACGGGTCAAAATTTAAAAGGAAATACTTTAGGCAAAGTACTTTTCAAACACTCTGTATGTTGAACTTCTAAAAGAACCAACTCTAAATCATAAAACATCCTTCAGTCGATTTTAATTGAGTGCCCTCTTGTAGGTTCCTCCAGCTAAAGTTCTGGTCATAGGAGGTGGCGTTGCCGGTCTTAGTTCAATCGGAACTGCCAAAAGCATGGTCAGTGATTGATTACCCTTAGTAGTTACAGTATCCCAATCAAGCCCAGCAAAAATCTTTAGGGTGCCATTGTTCGTGGTTTTGACACCCGCTCGGCTGTCAAAGAACAAATTCAGTCACTAGGAGGAGAGTTTCTTACAGTTTCGATAAAGGAAGAAGGTGAAGGAACTGGCGGATATGCGAAAGAAATGAGCAAAGAATTCATTGATGTAGGTTTTATCAATTGTTTCGGTCTTTACGGTTCTGGAAGAAACACTTTGCAGGCTGAGATGGCATTGTTTGCAAAACAGTGCAAAGATGTTGATATTATAATTTCTACTGCTTTAATACCTGGAAAACGTGCTCCAGTTCTTATCACGGAGGTACGACCTAACCAGTGCTTTCTTTAACTGATTAGTAAAATTTAGGAAATGATAAAAACGATGAAGCCTGGTAGCGTTGTAGTAGATTTGGCAGCTGAAGCTGGTGGAAATATTGAGACCACGAAACCTGGACAATGTTATATCAATCATGGCGTAACTCATATCGGATATGTTGATCTACCGTCAAGGTGCTTTATTTGTTTCGAATCCTTATTTTCAGCAAAACCAAGACTCAACAGTGTAGCTTAACTACTACACATGATAAACTTACAGAACAAGGAACTATTCAGTCCCTGAAGATAATGTAACAATATTCTGAACGCATACGACCTTTTGGCAATTGAGTCTCGAATGAATTGGTGCAGCCTAAACTTTTACACCTTTTTGGTCCCCTCTGTGATCAGTTTCCTCATTCCATCAAAAATTCTTGAAATTTATCATATGATCCTCGCACCTCTATGTACTTGTTATTTTCTAAGCGAATTCGGCTGCTCATATCAATACTAAGGGAATATTCGCCAGATTCTGAATGTGACGCACTTCAAACCTCACCAGCTAGTGATATTTTTTGCTCATACCATTTTGTTTTTCCTTAGTATGTAGAATAAGTTTCTAATTCGGCATTGCTCTAGGTTACCAACTCAGTCGAGTACGCTCTATGCTAACAACATATCCAAACTGCTTCTGTATATGGGTGAAAAGGAGACGTTCAAACTGAACATGGAGGATGAGGTATTTTACAGCGTTTGAGCAAAATACAGTAAAATTAAGAATTAATTGTAGGTCGTGCGTGGAGCCACCGTTCTTCATCAGGGAAAGCTAATGTGGCCTCCTCCACCAGTGACTCCATCACCGACGCCGCCGAAAGCTCCTGAGAAGGTGAGAGACCTTATGACTTTTTTTGCAAACTTATATGAATTCTGCAATCTCAGACAGTTGCTGAATTGACTGCTGAAGCTGAACCGACTCCGTTTGCTAAAACTGCTCGCCATGCTGGTTTGATCACTGCAGGACTGGGAAGTCTTCCCGTACTGGGAGTAGTTCTACCCAGTCTAGACTTTGCCGCCATGACGACAACATTTGCCCTTGCTGGAATCGTTGGTATGTTTCCGCTTTGTGCAAAAGTTCCTTGTCGGGTGAATTGTTTATATTTTGGGTTATCACACTGTCTGGGAAGTAACGCCAGCATTGCATTCGCCACTAATGTCTGTCACGAATGCGATTTCTGGAACAACAGCTGCCGGAGCCCTTTGTCTCATGGGAGGTGCGCAAATTCTATTTCCTGGAACTTTTGGATAAATGAAATTCTTTTCCCAGGTGGACTATTACCACAAACGGAAGCACAAATGCTTGCATTGGGAGCCGCTTTTATATCTTCGATAAACATAGGTGGTGGTTTTCTAATTACCCAAAGAATGCTGGACATGTTCAAGCGACCAGGTATAATTTCATTGAATTTGGTAAAAAAAAGTTGATGAATAATTGTCTCCTAGGTGATCCGCCCGAATACAACTATATGTATGCTATACCTGCAGCTGTGTTCCTTGGCGGATACTTCTATGGACTGCATACGGTAAAGAAATTTTTGATTAGAAATCTAAGAATATTGAGAAATTGTTTTAGGGTGCGCCATGTGCCCATTCTCTCGCTTATCTTGGATCTTCGCTATGTTGTGTCGGTGCTTTAGCAGGACTTTCTAGTCAAAAAACATCTCGTGTAGGAAACGCTCTAGGTTCGTTGGCTTTATCATTGGAAAAGGTATTGGATCAGCGGAGAAATAATTTTTACAGTCAGTCTGCCAGAACTTTTTTAATGCATTGGACATAAAAGCGCAGTAAATAGGCGCACTAATAAAGAAATTCTTTTTTTTTGAGTTGGACCTCTTCGTTCCCCCTGAGTGGCGTAGTTGTTTCACTATAACCGTGTTTTTCTGAATAGTTAGACAACATCTACACGATTCAGTCTTTCCTTATACTTTGTAACTTTGATACTTGCTCTTTACAGGTATGACGGGTGTAGCTGGAGGCATAGCCTCGACGTTAGGAATTCTAAACCCTGACCACGATACACTCATACAAATGGGAAGTGCAATGGGTTTAGGCTCCCTGATTGGCTTAGCAATCGCTCACAGGATTAAGGTTTTTCAAATTTTAGTCTTGACATTTTTTTCCACATAAAAAATTTGCTTTTAAGGTGTCCGACCTTCCTCAACTAGTAGCTGCTTTTCATTCGTTCGTAGGTTTGGCAGCAACATTAACATGCTTGGCAGACTTTATCGTCGAATATCCGCATTTCCTTGCTGACCCGAGTGGTAAGAGCGAAGAGATAAAAAGGGTATGAGTAGGAAATTTGAATTAATTGATTTAGCCACGGCAGCCGCAAAAACCTCGCTTTTCCTTGGCGCCTTCATCGGTGGTGTGACATTCACAGGAAGTTTGATGGCTTACGGGAAGCTGCAAGGTACAGTTTAGTAAATTGTGGCATTGCAGTGTGTTTGCGGTAAAGACAACATTTGCGCGTCATGGTCATAGAGCACAGTTTGCGTGGCGCTACTGCTCCTCCTACGCGCAAGTGCTGTCGGCTTCACAACTTACGCATTTTTTTCGCGCAAGTGTTGTCAGCACCGCAAACGCACTGTATAAACCGCTGAACTTGCAGGGCCATAGGCTTGTGCTATTTTTCCTTATATGATTCATAGTCACTTTCACATCCAGGCATCCTAAACTCTGCGGCCGTTCACCTTCCCGGACGCCATGTGCTCAACAGCGCCCTTCTAGCCGGAAACGTTGCTGCCTTGGGCCTGTACATGACAAATCCCGATTTCACTACAGGCTTGAGTATGCTGGGAGCCACGGCTGGTCTGAGCAGTATCATGGGAGTCACGTTGACCATGGCAATTGGAGGTGGGAACGACGCAATATGACAGGTTTTGACATCTGGGTCCTTTCAGGTGCTGACATGCCTGTTGTCATAACGGTGCTAAACAGCTACTCTGGATGGGCTCTATGTGCCGAAGGCTTCATGCTCAACAACGATCTGCTGACCATCGTTGGTGCACTGATTGGAAGCTCTGGTGCTATCCTATCCTATATTATGTGTAGGGTAAGCCCCATTTTAATATTCATAAATTCGTTCTAATATGGATGCATTTGAGGCCATGAACCGCTCACTGATGAACGTTATTCTTGGCGGTATGGGCACAAAATCACAAGGAACGGGAAAAGCGAAGGCTATCGAAGGAACGGCAACGAAAACAACTGTGCCTGAGGTAAGCAAAGTTGGACGAAGGTTATATATCATCAAGTTCTGGAAAAATAATGCTAAACGATGGGGCAGCCTTTTTGAACCTTTTCTATAGCACTATGTCTGTGATTGGTCAGCACGTCAACGCGATTTTTCAGATTCTAAGCAGAGCGGAGCAAGCGTGGCGATGAGCGAGTTGTCGCGCAAGCAGCTCGCTAACTTTTGTACATCTATGACTAATACGATTGTAGATTAACAAATGATGTACTGAACGCTTCAAACCATAAAACTATTTGACTCTTCCACCTTTCAGCGGCCCGTATGCGATAAAATGAGCATCGCAGGCAAATTATTTAGAAGGGCCTTCATCCCTATACGATCATAAAGTTTATGTTTTGGGGAGAGTTTCCTCTATGCAGGCACAAACATGTAATTTATGGTGAAAATGTCCCCGATTCGAATAACCAAATTAGCTTGTTTGTGAAGCTTCGGGAATGTCATGTAGTTGAGAAAATGTGTAAGGACATGCCATAGTGCAGTTTCCAGATTTAGCTAGAAACATGATATTGTAAGTGCATTCACTTTATATGTAGAATGAGGAGGAACTAATGGGTTGATCTTGAAGGAAAACATTACTGAAAGAATCCTGTATTGCGCATGTATAGCTGAGAGTGTATAATGTCTGCATTTGCACATTCTGATTTCTACAGTATCGCTAGTTTGTTAGTTTGTTGCTTGCTCTAAGGCATCGCTTATGATAAGCCTTTATTTGTATGAAATTGGATTCCAGTATAAATTACCGTAATCAGTAGCCAAAAATGTGCGCGTAAGATTTACCCACTGTCGTTGCAAATGGTGTGCGCTTACGACTAATATCTACTGAAGAGATTTTTTTCGGAATGTTTCGAACATCAGCTAATGAGTGGAATGTTTCGAATATATTTTGTTCAGACAGTCGACTGGCTATCAAACGCCGAATCCATCATTATCGTGCCAGGATACGGATTATGCGCAGCTCAGGCACAGTATCCTATCGCTCAACTTGCCAAGGAATTGAGCGAACGTGGAATTCGTGTTCGATTTGCTGTGCATCCTGTGGCAGGTAAAAACTCTTTCTAGGACGAGTTCCTTCAAAATTCTGTCGTCTATAGGTCGCATGCCCGGACAACTCAATGTCCTCTTGGCTGAAGCTGGCGTTCCCTACGATATCGTAGAGGAGATGGACGATATCAATGATGACTTTGACTCAACCGACATCGCACTTGTCATAGGTAAGTAGATTACTGTAGCTTCATTGCTCGAACTGTGTAAGAAATATCAAATTCCTAACCTTTCAATTTTTAAGGTGCAAATGATACGGTAAACTCAGCCGCTGAAGACGACCCCAACAGTTCAATTGCTGGCATGCCTGTTTTGCGAGTATGGCGCTCGAAGAAGGTTTGTATCTTACTTGATTATATCTCTCCTTTCAACATGGTAATTGAATTTGTGACGCTTGTGAGGGTCCTTCAGATACACATACTCGATGCGTAATTGAATAATAGCGTATCTTTTTGAGATAACCATTGATCAGGATGTTCAGAGTATAATTTTTTGGGCATAAGTATCCATTATGTCTTCGATGTAATTGCTCTAATAAAAAGTAGAGCTGTAAAAGTGGTACTGAATGAGACACAAGTACCCTTTTCATAATCTAAAAGTCCAAGAGAGAAATGATGATATGCCAGTTACAAAATTACAGGTAACAGTCGGGGATTTTTGAGTTGAACAGAACTACATCTTTTTGTGTTATAAGATAATTGAATAATATAACTGTTTTGATGAGAAGTAATAAAAATTGGAGATGATATTACAAACGAGAGAACCGTTATGAATAAACTTCGTCAAATCATAAATTCATTTCTTCGAACTTCTTTGATTTTTTTCGCATAGTCGTCTGAAAGTGAACATATTGAAAAGTAACAAACCCGGAAATCAGGCAGTATCACAACCATTATCTTGAAACTTATTGAGTGAAAATAATTTTGACGCACCGGTAATCAACATCTGTTCATTGAAAATATGTATTCACACCTTCAATTTGTAAAGTTCTATGCACTTGTTCAGTCCCTCGAAATATTTTTTTGAAATGAAGTAACCTAACATAAGTTGTACTTGCAGTGCTTACGGCTCAAATAAGAACAATGAAAATTTGCCTTTTTGACCTATTAGGTTGTAACAAAATTAATGCAGGTTTTGAATTCCAACCGCAAGAAGTCACACACTTCTCATTTCTAAGTAGGTTCCAAAAAACCATTCGATAGAGCAAAGCAATCTCTACAAGGTGGCAATCTTGCTTTAGCAACAACTCTGATCCACCACGAGTTTCGAACCAAAAACTAAAAAGATTCAACTGTCCGAAAAATTGAGAAAAATCGTAACGCTCCTAAAAACCTACAAAAATTCTAACTTGCTCACGTAAACACTACTCACATAAGACATCTATATAGGCCTTTGCCACATTTTTTTCCCTGTTAGAAATCAAGTGAACGGAAATTTTCGTGCGTTTGCCAAAGTGATGCTGTGCCGTTCCCACATAAGTAGTTGTATACTACAAACCTGTGGAAGTACAAACGTAAATTTCCAGCTCTCTACAAGCTTTAGTTCTCGAGAAGTCTGAATTTTAGCTTGGACCACATGACTAGCGAAAACTATATTCGATATTTTTCGAGAACTAAAGCTTAGAGAGCTGAAAATTTGCGTTAATACTTCTATAGGTCTGTAGTATACAACTACCTATGTGGAAAGGGCACAGCATTACTTTGGCAAACGCACGAAAATTTCCGTTTACTTGATTTCTAACAGAGAAAAAATTACGGCAAAGGCCTATATAGATGTCTTATGTGAATAGTGTTTACGTGAGCAAGTTAGAATTTTTGTAGGTTTTTTAGGAGCTGAGTTACGATTTTTCTCAATTCTTCGGACAGTTGAATCTTTTTAGTTTTTGGTTCGAAACTCGTGGTGGATCAGAGTTGTTGCTAAAGCAAGATTGCCACCTTGTAGAGATTGCTTTGCTCTATCGAATGGTGTTTTGCAACCTACTTAGAAATGAGAAGTGTATAACTTATTGCGGTTGGAATTCAAAACCTGCATTAATTCTGTTACAACCTAATATTTGGTGTACAAGTACAGTGTATTTTCGAAAAGAGAGTGGGTGGTCATATAAGCAAAGTGACGCAAACGCGGCGCGCAGGTGATTGTTAGTTTTGGAGCATTGCTTTCGCGCTCGATTGTTAATGCGTACTCCGTCGCTGCTTTTACGGCTTAGCTTACAGTCTGCCCCAATCCCAACCAAGCCAAAATTGGCATGGCTGGAGTCCGCGTGACGGGGGTTTTGCGTCACGTTCACGGCTAGCTAGCCTGCTCTCTCCTCTATCTCTTCTCTCCTTGCGACAGCGCGCGTATGCAGCGCAAACCTTAGCGTTGCGGGCGCGCAAATCAGCCCATGGTTCGGCCTGATCCCGATTGGGGCAGACTTGGGACCAGATTCAGTTTTATTTTTTAAGTTAGATAAGGACTATAAATTTTCAGGTTGTGATAATGAAGAGGACATTGGGCGTTGGCTATGCGGCCGTCGACAACCCGGTGTTCTTCAACGAGAACACCGCGATGCTGCTCGGCGACGCGAAGAAGATGTGCGATCAACTGCTGACGGGCGTGCAGGCGCTACCCAAAGAAAGCTCATAATGTTATGCCTTTTGAATTGCTTCTGCCATTTTTAGAAACTGATTCGCATTTGTGTTCTATTCCTCATTGTATTCACTTTAATTGTCGTGAGTGATATAACCTCTAACTAGTCTTATAGGCCTTACTTTAGCTGTAATTTTCGGGTGCCTTACTCGGGTACCCTGAACATTTTTCTAACTGGGATGTTCTAAAACAAAGCTCAGTTTTGTTTATAGATTCATAGAGACAGATAAATAAATTGTAATATGATGTTCTGTATAGAATTACGCTCTGGCAGATCTCAAGTACATACCTGCCTCCAAGTCTCTTTTACAAGTAGTCTACTCTTATCTACTTATCTACTCTGCTACGTCAGCTTAAATAATTTTGACTTTTTCTTCTTTGAAAAGCTATAATTTATATAAGTAATCAATGGTTACCAGTTTAGTCTTTTTCCTCAGTGATCCAAAAATACTGCAACAAGGTTGAGGAACTTTGGAATATTGCTTAGCACAAACATAATGGAATACAACCCCTTTTTTTCACCAAATTCGCCGCAAATGGGAAAAATGAAAATTTCTGAAATAAGATTTCCTTACTATAGATAAGCAGGTGAATCTCGTTTGCGTGGTGGAATAGGTGCTGTTAGACATAAGTTTTTCTAAACGAATCTTCCGCTGACATATATGATGCTGTAAAAACAGTTTTTTCTACTTTAATAGGTAGTAAAATTCATGTTCTGTCATTTTTGCGGTGGAGGAAAGATTACTGTCTGATTTTGTGAACTCCGTTTACAGCTATGAATTTTGAACATGCAAAAAAGAGTTACATGAAACGGCTAGAGAGCTTAAAATATCTCTTATTTGTTTATTCTTCTTTCAGACTTTTGTTTGGCTAAGAATGAGATCGGTCTTCCCAGCGTGATATCAAGTTACAAGTTTGTTTGTGAGCAATCAGTCCGCTAAAAGTTTGTTTTCTATAGAATAGCAGCTTGATAATAGATTTCACAACTTTAAACTTGCTCAACAAATAGCTTGCTCTGTTCCAAAATAGTTGTGTTCGAGTTTCCTAAAAATGTGGGATTCCACTTCAATTGCAGCGAAATTTTGTAAGTGGATGGCTAGAGGGGTTTCCCACAGCTAGAATTTTAATCTTTAACAATTACCAAATTCAGAACAAATTAAGAGGCAAATTCCAAAAAATATTCAGGCTGCCAAATTTGTTTTTTTGTTCTTCTGTATCTCTAAAACTTTTCAAACAAGAAATTGTCTGTCGTAATGCTCTAATTTTCTTCTGCTGATTCTTGGTCACCCAATTTATGTCAAAAATTCAATAACGATGAGGGCCAAGTACTATTGTGATCTTGAATCTTCTCAATCGATGATGGCCGTTTCGCGATGTTTTATAGGTTAAGCTGTTGCTGATAAGTGTCAAATTCTATTATCAGCTCTTGTCAAGTTTAGTGCCTCCATTTGCATTAGTGAAAAGGAATTAATTCTGTAAAGCGCTTCCAAATCCTCTTTCTTTCGGTTTTTCAAGCTAGAATAAAATAGTGAGGAAATGCATTTATTATTTTCGTAGCTAAGCGCTAAAAACCACTTCTGCTAGCAAGACATTTTTTTTTGCAGCGTCTTGTCTTCATCCTTATTTTCTTTTCCTTCTTGTTTGAACATAGACATTTCTTATATAGAGATGTAAGTTTCAAGGTCAAAGTTCAAGTATATTCGTTATTTATTTACGTTTCGTCGTCTGACCGCCAATTTTTAGGCTCCACTTTATCTCAAAAAAATGATGCATGTTTTGTATGTATATGCAACCAATGTTTTTTTTTGCTGGACATTTGTTTTTAAAATGATTCATGTCAAAGCCAGATGGCACGAAGATATGAAGAATATCTTCCTCGAGACAAGCAGGAAATATTTCTTGTTTACATCTCATATCAATTTTTACTTGAGAAATTTCTCTATAGAGACAAACACTAATTTTTTCTTGATTATACTTGTATCGGTTTTCATTCATTTCATGGAAATGCAGAATTTTCGTTCTGACATCCAATTTTTCTGAGGTAATGTCAGGTACTTCATATTCAGGGTGGTCATTAAGAACTTGTTCTAGAAAATTTGAGACAGAAATATTTTTAGCACACACACAGTCTTGTCTTTGGCCAAGTATGAAAAATTATATGCCTCTTTTGTCACGAATCTCCGAGAGAAAAACAAATTTCCTTACCAATTCCCACAGCTGTGACCTCGTTTATAAAAATTTATTTTGGAGAACGGAACTTATTTTTTGAGCTTCGTTTGGAATTCTGGATGATTAAGTAAATTAGAAAACTTTTTTAATGTCTATAAATGTGATATTTAACGAAAGAGCGTATAAAGGTACATAGTTCACTTGCAGATGTTTACTATTTTCTCAGAAAAGAAGATAAATCGATGTTTACGTGGTTTAACGCCGGAAATGAGTAGTTCTTGTTAAGAAATGCCGAGAAAATCAAAGAATTCTATGAGAATTCGGGTCCGGTGTAGGCGTATCCGTACGCCAGAGGTTATATGTATGCTCGCATCATCCGTAGGCTCCTCAAATTTCTCTCGCCAATCGATAACGCCACCCGTAGCTTCCGTCCTATGTTTACACTTTTCAAGCCTTTGATATGGTTTACTTTGAGCTTCTTGTGCATCTTACGGCCTTGTTTTCATTCAGTTCTTGCTGTTCTATGCGTGGATTTTGCGTTTTTCTCGTTTTTCTGGTTGAAAGTGGCTAATTCTTTCACTTAATCACCGCGGATGCGAGATAAAATTCTTATGATTCCCCCTTTGAAATCTTATTCTCTTCTCACTCAAAATTTCGAATGTAGCGTTCATTTCTGGTCTTCCTAGGTTTTCTTCCTCTGCTTTTTTTCACCCCTCAGAGAAGCTTTGCAAATGCCTCACAATTTATCTTCAAGCCTTGGAACTTCATTTCTTGCAAAGTTCAAACATGTTTGCACAATCCCCCATCTTATCATTGCGAAATCCGTTGTGTATATATTTGCCTTTTCCCCGATGTAGTTTTTTTTCTGGTTCTGTCCCCCCCCCCCCCGTCTCCAAACAGTACATCTGCAGTAATTATTTTTACTCCCGTTACACACAGCTTATTTGATAGTACAAACATCTTAAGCATTCTCTCACTCCCTCCCAAGTGATCTTCAGTCTTACCCAGCACACTGAGTAAACAATTCGTTTGACTTGCAGAAGCGCTTTTTTCCGGATACTCAGCTTTCGTCAAGCTATTTTTGTCTGAATATATCTGACTTATAGAAGCCATGAACTCATTGCTCAGTTCATTTCTCGTCATTGTCGGGATTAGTCTTGTAAGGTATGCTTTCCTCTGTCTTTATTCTGCAAAATGGCCCGTGAGTGCGGGAGATCTGCGGTTTTAGGTCTAGATTTATGTCTACTAAAATGATTTTGTATAAGCGATCAGGGTGCAGTGATTTGCAGAGCAGCTCTTATCACTTTTTTGCCAAGTGCTTTTATTTCGTTTATATGATTTTCTCACATAAAAGACGGAATAATGCTTTTCTTTCTTATACGGTCATTTTGGTCTTTTGAATCAACGTTTATATTGGAAAAACTCTGTTAAGTATGTTTATAAATTCTCAATAATTAATATCGTGAAAAAAAATTTCCTTTTTCCTTGCATATCGGCATAGCAAGCAGATCGTATTCTTATCAAATCAAAATTTTGGAAATTCCATCATCCATGAACGGAAAGTCGTAGTTTTTTATTCCCAGCTGACGTTTCTTCCATTTTTGGCAGATTTAATGCTCCAATCGATCATTTTATGGCCGAACTCATTGTAAATTGAAGAGTAACGGCCCTTCTGGTTTAGATAAAAATAAATCTAGCTTGTGTCATTTCTCAAATGACCCTGCTGTTTGCTTTACTCCTCGTTCTTTGCTTCTGGTGAAAAAGCCTCGGAGAAATTTAGAAGCTGTAAACCCGTTATCTTTTCTTTTCATTGTCTAACAAGGCTATTAAGTGTCTGTACAACGCTATGAATAGCGCTATCAATTCGTTTAGTTGACCTTGTCGCTATGTGATGATAAGCGCGAAAGTTTTCATAAGAATCTCTTACGCCAATAAACATGTGGTGTTTTCTAAGATGGGCAAGATAAATCGTAGAATTATTGTATATTTTACTGATTTCATTATATCAAAAGTGTGCGAAGATAACAACTGGTTTTTCTCACACTAATACAGGGTGTCCCAAAAGTATGTATCGAACGTTTGATCGTTAATATCTCTCTTCCCAAGAAGTCTTTTGCCTTGCTTCAGGTACCGTTTTGTAGAGCTGGCTTCAACTTAGATTTGCATTGTAGAACGAATCACTCCTCTCTCTTCATTACTGTAGGATTACGGTAGAAACTTCAAAGAGGGTTTTGAGCCACGAAAGGCCATATTTTGCCACAGAAAGGAAACAAAACAGTTTGAAAACTTTTATGCTAGGCTAATTAGAGTTGCTGATTATAACTGTAAAGTTCCCAACTTATTATGATGCTTCATTGAAGAGTTAGGCCAGGTAAGAGCTAGCGGCCATTTTTTCAATGTTACTAAAAAGTGCGGTTACACCGTTTAGAAAGCTTCGTAATCTTGTGAATAGTTAATTATTGAACTCAGCGTCCATAAAAACCCTATTACACAAGTTTTCACGATTTTTTGAAAAATTTTGAAACGGCAGCTTTTTTCACATTAACACCATATGTTTCAAGTTTCTACCGTAATCCTACAGTAATGAAGAGAGATGAATGATTCGTTCTATAGTGCAAATCTAAGTTGAAGCCAGCTCTACAAAACGGCCCCTGAAGCAAGGCAAAAGACTTCTTGGGAAGAGAGATATTAACGATCAAACGTTCGATACATACTTTTGGGACACCCTGTATATGGAAGAGGTTCGAGTTCCTCACTTCTCTGTTTTATCATGAATGGGGACGCTTTTTAACTCACTGTGGGCTAGGAATTTCTCAAAGAGCGTAAAAAAAATTGACTGCGTATGCGAAACTGAGATAAATAAAGGTAATCCTATTCTCTATTGAAAGCCAAATTTTTTGAATCATTTTGAGAGTTTCTGTCTCCCTGATCTTGCTCTATTAGCTGGTATGTATATTAGAACAATTCATAGTGAAGCTTGGATTATCCAGGCCATAGCAGAGAAATATTTTTAGTTTCTGCTTGTTTTGAGTTCTTTATCCTGCTCGCAAAATCATTAGCTGTAAAAACGTGCTCAGGTCTTTTTGATATCTCGTTTTCTATCATACTCTACAATTTAAACCCAATACTTTATTTCTTTTTGCATTGCTGCGAAAACAGGTATAGCTGACCAATGTTCTTCGATTCTCATTTCTCGAAAAGCCTGCTTAATAAAGAGCTGAACATGATTTCAATATTCAGCTTTATATTAAAGTTCTTTATAAAAAAAGCTGAATAAGGGCCACCACCGCGCTTATAAACTTTATTATGTATTCCGAAAGCAGAGGATACTTTCGCGCATCTCATCTTCCATCAATTTCTAACGGATTATAGTAGGAAACAAATTTACTAAACCCACAGTTTTTATAAATTTAAGTGAACGACTTAAACAGACATTCTTTGAACTGGGTGGCAGAACTTTTTGTCAAATTTTTGCGAGTGTAATATGAATTGTAAGGCAATGATGCATTGCAAGAAACCTGCAGTAATGGCAAATCTGCTTAGTGTCCTTTTTCAAACATTTGAACAGATTATCAGTTCCTTTTCCATCAGAAAAATTTGCAGCTTAGCCCTTATCAAAGTTTTTGTCTGGACGATAGTGGCAGTTGTGATCCGCTAGAAGTCTACTTAGAACGGCTGATGCTGCTTTTTGATGAGCAGATTTGGAACTAAACTGCAAGAATAATGAATTTGTTGATAAAGGGTTTGGTAGGCCTATGTATCTAGGAGCTTTACCTTTGCTATTAGTTGATAGAAATACTGTCTACGGAATCAACTTTGAAAACTAGTGTTAGAAACCAAATGCTAACGAAATTTCACGATTTTCAACAATTTTCATGGAAATATCATACTTGCTTATTCGAATCATATTTTTTAGCTCCAAATATTCATGTTATCAATGCGTATCTACTAGCGATAATGAGGGAGACTGTAGTGAGAACGATCTCGAGAAATTGGCCCCGTTCAATAAGGTTGTTTTCATACACGTTTCTTTCATCTAAAGAATTTATTTACTTTATTTTGTTTAGCCATGCCCTACCCTAGAAGAAGGCACATACAAGGGCTCAGAAGCTAAAGGTTGTCGAAAAATAATCCAGGTGGGATTAAATGCCCTTCTTGCATAAAAATATGTATCTAAATTTTCCAGACCGTAGAAGCAAAGAAATCAGTCATTCGTGAGTGTGCATATACTGGAGAGACTGTAGATGGACAAAAGAAGACCGGTAACTGGGGTATCAATATGTACTACTATCAATGTGAAAATTCGGTGGGTTTCAGTTGGCGAAGTGCCAAGCACTATTTCATTCGGCTCCTTTTTTTACCATTAGTTTACTAATACTTGCTAGTCGTGAAATAGTTTTTGCTAAAGTTCTCAGTCACATAACGATAAATTTATAGTCGCTGCTATATAAAAAAACGTTTGAAAATTATTAGAATGGCGGGTTGTTTCTATTTTTCCTTTTTATCCTGTATGTAAAAATGCACAAGCTTACTGGAAGCCTCAAAATTCCTACATGCTCAATAAATGACAGGGTCTCTCCGCCGGTATGATATATGCCGCAAATGCACAATTGCCAGCAAATTTGCGATAGCCAGCAAACATATCGCAGTTTTTTCTTTAGATTTTCTCTCTTCCCCTCCTCGTGCTTTTTTTTGGCACTGCATCTCCTTTGACAGCAGTCTGAGCTTCAGGATCTTAAGTACGGGAGGTGAAGAACACTTCAAAGTCTCAAATTTGAAAATTTTTCCCTTAATACTTTTTGAAAAAACTGATACAAATAAGATGTTTCCTTCTTAGAATATAGTTTGAATACCAAGGTGTAAAAAGATTATCCGCCAATCTAATATCCAAAATCATTTTACGAGTTTTTTTCTCAAGTAAGGCTCTCTCACCCCATAGAACGCGCCTTTTGCCTGCCTTTCTCAACCTTCAAAAAGTGATAGAGAGCCGAAAATGCCCTTGGGAATGCATTTAGAAACTCAGCTCTACTTTGCCAAAAACGCATTTTTATAGGAATGTCTGCTGTGCAATGTTTTTAGTAGGAAACAAAGCACTTGTCGTCATCCACTCTTCGACCGACAGCTCTCCCCTTGGGTAAACCAGGCATAAAAGAATGTTTAGGGCTTTCATGTTATCAAAACGGAAATGTTGAAGACTTTGCGAATAAGCAGTCTTTTAAGGTTTTGGTCTTTTGAGTCCCTATAAACACACAATTCTGCAACTTCCTTGGCGGAGCTTTTTCGTCAGCTTTCGACTTTCATAATCTTTCTACTGGGAATTAAAAGTCTGTCTTGCGAAGTTACATGCGCCGCCAGCCATAGATCATTGGGCATAAAGACCTTCTCTAATGGTAGTTATCAGAATGCTGTGTGAAAATCTACCACAGTTCGAAAGATGTATCGAATTAAGAAAGGAGTCGAAAGGAAGTTTTAAGGTTGATTTTCTACGCTATACTAGACACATTTTGCTAGTATTCATATTGATATGGTTTTGGTATGTAAGCGAATGACAAAATATGCTCCACGTGATTGCAAATTCTTGCTTAGTTAGCTTGTTATACGAATATTAAACCTTTATACTCTTCAAATAAGGCTTCATCCTTAGCATAGGAGTAGTACGTGAATCCGGAGTCAGTAATGTAAGAATAAATTTTCCAGATAAAAGCCTGCTCGAGAAGATGAAAGTAAGAGAGCTACAGATGTCCATTCATCCCATAATTTTATAGAGGTTCAGTCAAATGAAATTGTAGTTACATGGAGTCAGTCGTTAGGTCATTATATGATTTGATATATTTCAAGGAAGATTTTTTAAATTCTCGAAAAACGTTTTTTTTAAATTACGTGGAGGATTGTAGCTTCTCGAGATATGCATGACACACGTAAAAAGTCCAATTTCTGAATTTTAAGGGATAAAATTTTCGATCATCCTGGAAAGAGCTGGTGAAGTAAGCTTGATTTCCTCTTCCTGACTCAACATGCGGAGTTTGAATGTATGACGAACTACCAATTTTAAGCATGAATACCTTTTTTTTCAAAAAAACGATCTAGTTGAGAAAATGCTAAAAGCAAACAACGGTGGTGAAACTAAATAACTCATACTACAAAAGTAGGAGCCGAGGTGAGACTGCAACTTATTATATTTGAAATGTTCAGGATATGCGTGCATAAATTTCATATTAGCAATACCTTTTTTCGCAAAATTTCCAATTCACTGTGTTATAATATTGAAATCTCAGCAAACCTATCTTGGTTAAGAATCTCAAAACTGAATGATTCTAGGAAAGTACAAGTTTATGTCTCGCACCGGAAATTTTGTATGATTTGGGAACGGACATGCATTTTTTGAGTTTTCTCTAATCTGAAAAATTTTGACCGCTTTTTGATTAATCTTACCTTTTAGTTGAAAATGGTCAGCTTTTGACTGATTGTTTTTCAGTCTAGTTCGCTTGAATCACAATTTTTGTGAAAATGATTCTTGAAAATTATGTGGTTATGCTATATCATATAGTAGAAAAATTCCAAAAATACGATTTTGATTAAGAACAAGCATAAAGACCCTGATCAGACAATCATCGTTTCACTAGACATTGAAACAAAAAGAACTGCGTCCCATGATAATTTATCTATTTATCAAGGTTTTAGATGCTGTTTAGAGCTTTTCACCAAGAATGCTCTGAAATTCCGGTTTCAAGAGCAACGTATCTGTTGAGGCGCCGTATGTCTTTGGTCAGTGGACATGGTGATAGAAGTTCAGAAGACAAGAAAAAAGATTGGTGATAAGGAGTGATGATGTTCTAAGTCGAGATGCCTTACTTTTTTTAGTCGAAACCCATTTGCATGTTTCTATACTCTTGACGAATTTTCAACTAGGATCACGAAGAAGCTCAAATTTGCTACCTGCCTTCGTATAAGCACCAATGCTTTAGAAATCTGTAAAAGAAATGGCAAGTGAGAGCGATTTCAAGAAATAAAGAAAATATGGATGGGTGCCGTTGAAGAATCTCGAGTTTTCCAGGGAAGACGAAGAAAAAGTAACAAGATTCATTGTTACCCTCATACACTCACAATCATGTCTATTTTCATAGTTATGAGTAAAATCAATGACTTGCCTGACTTCTAATTTGAGTTTGAAGGTTTTTTATTTATGGTTTAGTATCATGAAACCACGATTAAACTTTTTAGTAAATTTACTATAATTTCAGGGTAAAGAACCATGCAACAGCTCTCGACAAACATTGGCTAGCGCACTCTCATTGCTGCTAAGCTTGACGGCTCTGCTCTTTCTCTAGGACAGAGCCCAAATTTGAATCTGCTAGGAATCGTCTTCGTAGTGATCTTCTCGAAATTGTTGAACATTTTGTTTATACAAAAGAGAGCAGGTGATCGATGATATTGAAAGTGCCCAATATCGATTTGCATTTGTTTTTCCTTTATGTTTCTATGAAATTATCATTGTTTGTTGCATCTTCATCTCTTTTCATTTTCTAGATTATAGCTATAGTAATGAGCAGATAAAGAGTCATATATTATAGCAGATAATTTTCAAATGTAATAAAAGTAGGTGTTTGTTTTGTGACAGAAATGTGTAAGAGAATGGATAATCGACTTTGGTGAATAAGTAAATTATGCTTAACACTTCATTCGAAGAGTAGTTTACAGAGTTCAAAGGGTTTTAAGAACTGCATCAATACAACATTATAGAAATGAAATGTATTGTTTGTTTGTTTTGAAATTCCGAAAATTCAAAACTTCAGTCTCATTTGTAGGATTTTTGAACACAACCGGTTTAAATCACTCGAAAAGAAGTGCAGAGATGCACCTAACCGCGCTGGGTGGTCTAGTGGTCACAATCTTAGTCCTAGGATTTTTTGACAAGAGGTTCGGATCACATAAGATTTGAATTTTTAGCGCAACAAAACATCCTAAGCTAAGTAATGACCAAAATACCAGAGCATGTCGATTTGGCCGAATGGATAGTGGGAAGGGTTATCAGGGGAGAGGTGGTGTGTTCGGTGCCAGTCCGAGCAAAGTTAGTTCACAATTGGGTGTTAATTCTGCTGTAATTTTTGCTCATAATAAAACATTGTGGGCTAAATAATGATCAAATAAGGGCTTTAGACCAACAGGCCGTGTAGTCGAGTGGATAGTGCTGCAGATTACTGGAGTGGAGGTAGAGTGTTCAATGCCCGACCGCAGCGAGGTTAGTTGGTTATCATTTCAATGATGGTGCGGTTCTGGGTGGTGCTTGGCGGATGGCCAACGCTTTCGGGGTGGGGGTGGTTGGCCCCAATTCGGTCTCGCTTCCAACGGATTTTGCGGCTTCTTGGTGGAAAAGGGTATTTTTGCACCACATCTTCTTCTTTGGATCCTTGGGTTCTACTCTTCGCGGGTCCTTTCCTTGCCCTCCTGGCCCCTGATGGCCTTCCCCCTGGTTCTCCTTCGCCTCTTTCCCCTCCCCTGGTCGCTTGCGGCTGCTTCTTCCTTCCCTTGTGCCTCTGCTGCCCCTGGGTGCCCCTCTCTTTGCTTGGGTTGCCCTAGCTCACTCAACTCACTTTGATTTTTTCTTAACAACCCTTTTGCTTGCTTCGTATTTCACGCATTTTCGACTAAGGCGTAAAGTGTAGTGAAACACACCTCCCAACGTGTACAAATTTACCATAAATTTCTCCTTCACTGATAAAAGCATGCATACAACACACCTGGACAGGATGCGAACAGAACGCAGGTATCAGTGCAATCCAATGACTTACCACTGAACTACTCAGCACGTTTTCGAACTGAGAAAATCCATCTTGTCAAGCTAAATTCTATCACAATTATGTGATAAAGATAATCCCTGATGATAACATGCACGCTATTCTCGGTTTAGTTACCCAAGTTTGAGGTACTTTTGGTATTTTTTTGCAATAGAATGAGGGGCCGCAAAGCCAGTGCCCTCGACAAGATTCGAACCCCGACCACTAATGTCGGCCTCCTTTTCAACCAAATGCGCCATACAACACACTTTTCTATGGCTCCATTTTGCCCATTTATAAGTGAATTTTTGCGAGATCCAACTGTATACTCTATTATGTTGACTTTGGTGTTCTGTCTCTGAATGTCATCGCTCACATCCACTAAAGCTTAAACATTTGATATGGACAACATCCACATTTCATTTCCACGATTTCTTTCACAGCAAGGCACAGTTTATCACAGTTTTTCGCATCGACAGCTTTACAACATTCCACATCAGCATACGGGGATACCTAGTCGAGAATCCATAGCCACAGATAATTCAGACTTTTGTGGAATTCTCTGGCCGTATTCATCAACGAACCCTGAGAGTAAACGCTACCCTCATAAGTAAGGTTTATGAATCCTGAGAAGCGATTAACCCGTATTCATCAACGGACCCTGAGGGTGAAACCATATCATTGAAGGTAAAACTTACCTCTGAAAGCTATTAACCCGTAATCATGAACGTGGCTCATCAAGGTAAGTTTAATCATAGCATAGACTAATGTTAGACTTACTTAACACTTTGTACAAACAAGTATTGATCGCTTGATGCATCAGCCAGTCCCAACGATACTTTGAGAACGAACACATATTCAAAATTAAAATGATTCCAAAATTTCTATTTAAAATTTTGCAGCCTCTTACAGAAATTAGGATAAAATTTTCTAGCATTTATTTATCGTCGATCAAAGTGTAGAAATTAACCTCATGGTTCGTTATGAATACGGCCACAGGATGCTAGAGGAAAAGTCTATAAAGTTACAAAAAACTTTCTGCACTACTGCAGCTCAATAGAATAGGACAAAGCCCTCAAACGTCAGAACGAGTTAGAGTCATCTGCTCCGTACAACATGCATTCACAATTTCCTGTCTCCATAAAAAAAAGTCAAGCAGCTGCAGCGCTACACAATCTATAGGTGATTTATCTGTCGTACGGACATCTTGCAAATGCAGACATCTCTGACCCCTCTCTGATCACACGCACTCTAATCTGCCTCGTCGTCTGCCGTCTCTTGCGAACGCAAACTATGAAAAGATCCTAGTCTTTATTGTATACAAATCAATCAAGGTAGAATATTATAATTTATATAACTATGAGCGCAATCACAAACTACTTAAGTAAATCTTGTTCCAAACGGTCCAAAATCAGCACGATGGCGAGCCACTATGGTAAGTCTCGGTGAGACCATGTCTGCCCTCTCCTCATTCTCTTCAATCTCTGGTTAGCAGAAATTAAGTGTTTTAATGGAGTCAGACTAATTGTACGGATCTTACAGCTTTAGCATCGTTCTCCACCGGAAGTTCAGAGACAACAACACTCCAGCTGCTTGCCGGACATCTGACACAAATCATGCATTTTTACACTCAATGTCTACCAGTTGTCCGCCTCGTTGGTGCTGCCGCGTGAAGAGCACATGGTACGTCTGTGAAGAGGAATTAAGCAGATCTATATATAGAACAAGTGGTGTAAAATATGAAATTCTTTTTTGTTTTGCAAAGAAAGCATATTCTTTAAGACCAGTATTTTGAATGTCGGATTGATTGAGTTAAATAACTTGAAATTCTTCGAGTAAGGAAAACGGAAGAATTTATAATCTTTCTTATAATAGAGATCGTACGCATTAATGACTCATAAATAATGTTTTCATTATAAGAAACATCTGCAAGCTGACAAAAATGCAACTTTTGGAATAAACACAAAGATTAATCAATGGAAGTGCTCACAGATGTTCCTCATGGAAGAACAATAATTGGCACGACGAAATGATAGGAAGAAAAAAAAAGCATATAAGAAACGAGTAGCATCACATTTGATAAACGTCAAGCAGCATTTAAGCGCACAAGGTTGAGCTTAATCAGACAGTCTACGGCGGGAGGAGAGGGGAACGACAGTGACAATAACGATAACAGATGACAATTCAGGACAATCCATTTCGTAGAGGGAAGTTATAAATGCGGAGGAGGAGTAGGAAACTGAGGAGACAAATAGAAAACAAATCATATGATCGGGACAAGTTCAGTTGTCAAAAGTTGAATAAAGCAGATTGTCATTGTCAAATGTTGACAGACAGACAATGTCAGAACATGATGGCAGCTAATGTCAGTCATTGGAGTGCTCTTTGACAAGTTTAAGGTCCGGTCGCGACCTGAACCGTGACTGTGTCCGGCTGATCGCTGCTCTCCGATATTGACTGCGATATCGACTGCGATAGCGATTGTGATTGCGGCGATGAGCCGGCGGCTTGTTCTTCTTCAAAATCTCCGAGCATTGCCTGGAAAAGCATCAATAATACAAAGGATTGTGTTTTTATTTTTTTTCTTCCTTAAGTTTTCACTTCTGGAAGTAATTTCTAAAAAAACCCGTTCGTTTGCGCGATTCTAGCCGCTACGCGATTCAAGATTTGCTTGCTGTCTCGGTTTTACAGGCACATTTTTTTCTAATGACAGGCCAGTTCGCAATCTCTAATTTCAAAAGTTTGTGATAAGCAATAAGCAATTGGCATACTGCCAAGTATGCCAACTGCTTATTGCAGTATTACTCCCTAACGCAGGAAGGCCCCTGACTGGCATTGTCTTGAGATATTTCTCAACTATCGCAGCTGTCTTAGTCGCAATCAACTTGTCATAGTTTTTTCTTCTGCAAAGATATTTCTTTCAAAATGAGGCAAGAGTCTTTGGCACTGTGCTAGCAAAATAGCAATAAGAAGATGAAATGTGTCAATCAAGCTTACGTAAAACAACGAGCAGCAGAGATCCACTTTTTACGAATTTTTGCAAGTCTGCAACTTTGCGTTGACAAGGCAAGTCAAGTAGCCTTAAACTTTCAAAGATTTGATAAGAATTTTTTGGAATATCAACATTTCCACTTTGCTAAACAAATCATGAGGGAGAGGGCGGGAGCGAAATATGTATATATTAGCAACAGACAGAGGTAAATTTTGGAAGAACGTCTACATAAACTTTGATTCAACTGAATTGGCGGCTGGAAGGCGGGACTTTGTAAACTAATTAAGGCCACTCGCGCCCACGACGCAGTCTGCGTCTCTCTCGCTCTCGTGCTCTCTGATCATTCTCTAGCCTTAACTAGGTCACGAAGCCCCGCTTTCCAGCCGCTAATCTAGTTGAGTCAAAGGGTAAGTTGGTGTGAAGGTGATTGTTTTTACCTGAGAACAAACTTGTCTGAGACTCAAAGTTTATGGGCATTTCTGTTGCCCTCCCCCCTCCCCTCCCTACCAATAATTTCTTGGACCGCAAATATGGATTGTTTGAAATTGTAATCCATGATTTTTTGTTGGTTCCCACAAAGTTTCCCAAGAAATTTATGATATTTCAACAATGAAAAATTGGAATTCTCCGCAATTTTCCAGACATCTAAATTAAATTCGAAATCAAGGCCAGCGAACGTTCAGAGGTCGAAAACGGTGACTCAAGAATCCGGAAATTGCGTAATTTCAAAAATGTCGCATGCTTGAAGGGCACGCAATTTGCTCACCCTCTAATCTAGCCAGCCTTCCTTACACACTTTTTTTTGCAAAATACTCCCTAGGGCACTAAGTGCGGAGCCAAAATTACACATTAAGCGTCGCTTTAAGTGCATGGGTGGCACGCACGGAATGAGTAAGCGACGAGGTCCGTGCACGACAAGAACGCGTTCGGCTCAATCAGCTTCTGTTCTTTGTTCTATGCTCGACGAGAATGTAATCTGACAAGCGTCTCAAGCTCTTGCGGTCACTCGTACATCGCAGTTCGGAGGGGGGGGGGAGCAGATAAATAATTTAGCACATTAATTTAGCCAAGCTGGAGAGAAAATTTTTAATTGCCACCTCCTCAAGAAACAAGGCGCTTTTCGTATATGTCGGTTTTTCCAAGATCTTTGAAGAAGAAATTCGAGTAAACGTCCCCCGCTTGCTGGGAAGCCGTTTTATTTTTATTTTTGATTCATTTTATTTTTATTTTTTGATTTATTTTATTTTCTACTATTGATCGAAACAGAAATTGAAACTTTGTTTATTTATGCTCATTTTGTTTTTAGTTCTTTTTCGTGCAATAGCAGGAAAACAGCAGAAAGGTTGTTAGATTCAGTACTCGATTCCACATTTATACAAAGAGTTCTGACATTGAAAAAAAAATGCTGTCAAAGCTTGTAATGTAACGCTTTTAAAACAACTGTACATCATAAGATATTCAGAATTTCGGGTAGAAAATAGTCGACTATCAAATTGCAATTTTCTTGCATGTTTTGATAAGCCAGAGCAAAGTAAATTTTTTGAGAGTCTAATAATTGCAAAACATATTGCATTTCATTTTGAGGTAACACTGAGACATTCTACACCTTTATTTTAACCATGGCTCAGTTACAGCTATCTAAAAAAAATTAGCACATTTTCCCTCAGCTGAAAGAAGTATTAGTCGAAAAAACGCTCTCTCTATGAAAAAAGCACTTCGATATCAAATTACTTTTTCAAGTGAAAAAAAAATTTCGGCCTTTTCTATAGTACAAGTGCTAGGCACTTTGTCCTTTTGCTTACACTAATGTATGACCACAGATAGTGCAAGGCTCTAAGGAAAGCTTCAAATATGAATGCTTATAACGAGTTTTAGCACTTTGTCAATTTAGTTCAACAAGCTCCAGAAGGAACATGTTCTTCCGAAGGGCAACTACTCAAATAATTCGTTGAAATGTACTATTTCGTCTTTTAGTGCACAAGTATAGTTCCTTTGTTCGCTCCTAATTTTTGAAAAAATGCCATCATTCGTGATGGGCGACCTCTTGTTTAGGTCTAGGAACTTTTGAATTAGCTCAAATTGGAGCCGGTAAATAATGAAAAATTGACAGGAATATGTAACAAGAAGCCAAAAATCACCATATTCCTAGACTGCAACTCATAAAAGGAAAAAATAGAAGCACATATTTCCAGGCTGATGCATTCACCCTGAATAATTTTGCATTCACATAAGAGCAAAGAGAGCTAAGTATAGTTTTTGAATTTACTTATTGTTTTCTCCTTTTTCCGGAAGCATTTCTAATGCAGAAATTGCCTTAGTTGTAGAAAAGATGAAAGTAAAAAAGCAAACACCAAGAGTTTTTCAGGAAATGATAATCCATCCAGTTTTAGGCCAAAAGATTTTGTGAGAAAAAAATAGCTGACTCACTTTTAATCCTAGAATTTCGCCTCTGACGACGAGAAGTTGAGGGAGATTTCGGAAATCTTCGAGCACTTCGTAATTTCGGCAACCATGCACGATCACCTAAAGTTGGATTTGAGCGCTTTGATTTTGAATTGAAATAAAATTTTAAAAATTGTCAAAATCAGTCTTTGCACTACGACGACACGACAACTGTTGCGCTCTTTTGCAGACGAAGCCGGAAGAGCGGATAAAGGGCGACATCTTACGTCAGTGCTGGCTTTGTCGATTCGATTCTTGCATGGCAACACTTTAGAAAGTACATACAAGTACGTAAACTCGTCCAGAGATCTGGCTATTTTGGACAACACCAGAACAAACTAGAAATTTGCTGTGGAGAAAACCAGAAAAAAAAGAAAACTAGCTCATTTTCTGGATATTTTTTGGACCTAGCGACGTCACTCAAGCTCCCAAGAGCCTGTGCTGGTGCAAAAATGCGTAAGCGCATTTTCACAACATAAACAGCTTTACACGCACATCCTGGTACGTCAATCCTTGTCAAGACGGACTGCGTCATCAGTGTAAAATCAAAATTCGGCGGAAATAGAGGAAAAATGTAGGGCATCTTTTAGTTCATAGGAGGAAGTACTTGAATTAAATGGCCCTTTCGGAAAATTCTTGGATCCAAACAGCTTTCAAAAGAGAAGGACACATAAACATACATACTTGATGCTTGAATTAGAAAGTCAAAGCTCTGCTATAAATCTTCTAACCACATTTTTCACTGAAGACCGAGTGCTGGAGGTCGCCTAATCTTTAGCCATTTATTATTTTGAATTTTGAGCCAACTACTGGGGCAGTTATTAAGCACTTTTGGCTGGAGCTGGATTTTTGAGATTTTTGAACAAGTAAAAACTCTCACCTTTTTCAAAGTGCTGTGATTAGCCAAGTCGACAACCGTAGCTCGATTAATCTTCTCTAAATCCAGTTCACGCAAGTAAATAAACTGTAAAGAATTTGAATAGCTTGAAAATATTTTCAAATGAGAACCTACCTGCAATTTTGGCATGCACTTAGCCATATAAGAAAAGATAGAATCTGGCAAGAACGGGTAGTCCACAGGGCGATCTACAAGGCACATACGCTCGACTCTTTGCTCGAATTTGCTCAAAATCGCCATCAATGGTCCCTATAAAATTGACGTAGGACGTATACATCCTAAGATTTCAATTTTCGCGCCATCTTGTATTTGCTTCGTTTAAGCCGCTTATAAGATTTTTTTCTATAGGGGATGAGCTGTCCGCATTCAATGCGACCAGTTGCGAATGAAATTTTATGGCTCAGCGCAGCACATCTGCTCTTCTTTTTGGCTCAAGCCTACAGCTCAGCTCGACGTAAACTAAAAATTCATTGAATTTCGATGACCAGAGTCTGTTGCGTTTTATGCGTTGGATTTGAGACGGGCTCAGATTTCTTTTCGCACACAGTACTGGATCCAATAGCACTCTCGTATATGTTTATTCAATCATCTCCAAGGCTTGGTGTGAAATTACCCCACACTTAAATTGCAGTTTGCAATAATCGTAGAAGTGTCTGTAATTTCAGAATTACATCTTTTATATGTTTATATCCGATCTCCCACGAAGGCTGTGAAATTGCTCCCAAAGTTGAAATGCAGTTTGCAACAAAAGTAAAAAGTCTGTAATTTCAGAATCCATCTTTTATGAGTTTATTTGATACTCCCACAGTTGCAATGCAGTTTGCAGCTATCGAAAAAAGTCTGTAACTTCAGAACTACATCTTTTATATGTTTGTTTGAAGTCATCTCCCCAAACTTGGAGCAAAAGTAAAAGGTATGTAATTTCAGAATCACATCTTTTATAGGTTTATTTAAGCATCCACAATTTAGACGCAATTTGCAGCAATTGTAAAAAGAGACTGTAATTTAAGAATTACATCTTTTATATGTTTGTTTGAGATTATCTTCCACGCGGTGGGATGTTACTTCCACATTTAAAATGCAGTTTGAGCTCTCGAAAAAAGTCTGTAATCTCAGAACTACGTCTTTTTATGTCGGCTTCAGCAAATAATTGCCTCTTTGGAGATTTTTCGTTGCTCTTTCTGTACACAAAACCAAAAGTCGCATGAGTGGATTCAGCTTTCATTTGCAAAATAACGATGTCCGCTCGTTGGCAAGCTTTAGCGCTCGGCGAGCGCTGCTAAAACGGGCTGTATAATTGCGTCCAGAGCCAGATTTGTCCGAGGAGAGTAATAACAGCAAAGCTAAAGTGCTTCTCTGGAAGAATATAATTCAAGAAATGAGAATATGAAATTTATAGAGCAGAACATATTTTGTTTTTATGCCTACTTTATAGCAAAAATTCTCCTGACATAAAGGGAGATATTGCAAATGAAAGCCTTTTCATTTTCGTTTTTGTTTGGCGTTGTTGCCGCTTAATTGACCTTCCAGAAAAGAATTCAATTACACAAAGGGCATACTTAGCTACAGAAGGGTTGTGCCAAATAAAGTAAGTCCATTAGTGGAGGAGAATGCTTAATGCAGAGAACACAAGAAAATGGCTGCAAAACGAGCCTTTCTTTGTTTCCAGTAAAAAAAAAACTTTAATCTCCAAGCTACAAGATACTCAGCTATACCCTGAACATGTCTCAAGGCGAGGGTCAAGATTTGTTTACAGTAGTCATCTGGGAACGTTATGAAAGATGCGGCCGAAGCGATGTGAACGGCCAAAACATGGTTATTAGGAGAAAAAGAAGCTTTGTGGACTATATGAGTTATCCATCAAGGCGTTAAAAGCTGCTTTGAACTCACTTCATGTTCATCAAAATGGCAAGAACAGCAATAGATATAGGCAACTTGACGATTCCAGAAAATCGGTCCATCAAAGCTGATATTGACAGTCATTTTTTCGTGACCTGTAACCACACAGATATGGTTTTATAATTTACAAAAAATGTTGAGAATGTTATTCTGAATTAGTATACCCTTACCTGAGCAATGATTCTTCCGAAAAATGACATAAACCCAGACCGGCTTCGTTTCGCTTCTTGTCGCCTCCATTGCTATAGACCGCCAAAGCGTACTCACTCGCTCACAGCTGTAAGCACTTATTTGTGATTTCGTGAAGGCGGGTACGGCTTTAGCGAAAGAAAATCCTCCAAAAGCTTTCAACAACAGGGCTCAACACGCTGTATATTTCCGTCAGAAAGGCAGTGAACTTTGAGTGTAACATGAGAAATGCAAACAAACAAAAAGTGCTTGACTTAGTAGGGCAGCATACGTGCTCGGCAACAAACGTGTATGCGCAGATCTATGCACTAAAAATGCAGGAGATAACTCGTACAAAGCTGGGCCGAGCGGCTCAAGCCGAGCATTCGAGCATTGTTTAGAGCCGAAGGCAACGACAGCACATTAAAAGCGGACGGATTATGAATGCGTGTGTGTGTCTGTGGTGTGACGCACCGAGTTCTGTCCCTCAGCGATAGCAGTCCGAGGACTTTTCGTGCGAGTGTCCGAGGCAGTGCCCCCAGGGGGTCCGCCCCCATTCTGCGTCTCCGCCGAGGCTAGCGCTGCCACAGCCGCCGGCTCGCTTCTTCGTGCACCTCCGCCGCACCGGCGCGCTCTCGTCCGCCACCGACGCCGCCGCCGCTGCCGCGGCCGCAACTCAACACCTTTGACTTGCCGTCGCCGTCGCCGCCGTCGAGGTTTCACCTGCACTGACGAACGGCTCGGAAAGTGACCTAAAAAGCTTATCTGTTAGTGATCTGCATCTTCCGCTATGGACGAGTTGGCGCTTTTCGAATGTGATATCGGATATCACCGTACGACATGTCAAATGAGTATGATACGCAAAATACTTGATCCGGCTGATTCACTTCATCCACTTCAGCCACTTGTTGTTGGCCAAATCAGTAATCTGACCAACAGCGGAGCGGATGCTCACTTGATCCACTTCGCTATTGGTCAGTTGGTCAGTTCGCTGATTCGCCAATAGCGAAGTGGATCAACAACTATGGCATGTGCTTGAAAGTGATCGTGTCGTAACGAATAGTGAATATTGTTCCAGTAAGGAAATGAGATTACTCCACTTCTCGGAATCACAAAGTCAAAATCACAGATATTCCTAAATTGCTTAAGGCGCTTATATAGCATGCTGATCAAGAATTTCCCATTTTGCACTGTACGCTCCTTCCCAAGGTACGGTTGGTATACGGTAGACTGGCTAGATTACGAGTTTGCCCGAGATTATTAAGGCGGTTTATCAGCAGCGAGTATTTTAAAGATTATATCTTGAAAAATTTTCTTAAGCGGGTCATACCTTTTCATACACCCAGTATAACTTCAACAGATATCGCCTTTAGGGCCATGGCTACCATAATCGCAAATAGCATACTAAAGAATCCTCCCCCCCCCACCCCGCCCTAAATAACGTTTTGAGCTAACCTACGGGTTTTACACGCTAACGTATACATACTTAGACCTCCCTCCCCCCTATCCCCAAAAAAATAAAATAAAATGACATTACCGCGCAAGGTTGATACGATATGTAACAGCGTGCGAATTGACCCTTTTGGGCAAAGTTACATTGGGAACGCTGATCTTGATTCTTTGGTTAGTATAAGAGTAAAGGGTATTGAATCGTAGGCTCCGCCTGCGCGGTCGACTGGCACGGACTGTAATGTGCAAAAAAGCACAATTTATGCCAGATGTCCGCACGAACAGAACCTATTGCCGGTGTAATGCCCTCTAACGATTATCTGGTGGCAGGGGCAAGCGAACTTCAGGTTTTCTCAATTTCTTGGATCTAGTGGATGTGCTTAATTCACAAGGATATCTTACAGCTCTCATGAAACCAAATATTCGCCTCTGAGAGCCTCCACTTACTTGATGGGTGACTGGTTGATTAGCCGCTCGCCCCCTCCCATTTAACAACCTATATGTTCGAAAAGGCAAGTTTTTGCATTTTGGGGATCAGTCATGGATTCAACACAATCCAGAAATCCAAGAACGGTAAAAAACCCAAAGAGAAATTCTTTTATGCAATTTATACCTAAAATATGTGAGATAGAACACAAAGCAAGCTGTGAGAAATGTTCGAAACAAACTTTAGTTTTACTTGACGATAATATCTTGACTAAACTGCGACAGAGTATATGAATGTTCTCCGTTATTGCCAAAGAAGTTGCTGATCTAGACAGACACTAGAAGAACTTAGGACCGGAATATAACGGTTAGGTGAAGGTGTGATCGTTCAAACACTATAACTAAAACCACTGAAACCGTTACTCATTGCTTTTGACCTAATTTTCGTCCATTTACGCATGTAATCTAGTTAGAACGCAAATGATTGTGTTTTCTTCAAAGTTTTTTTTTGTAAAAGAACTTGATTATTTCCCGATTTCATCAAGATCTTTTTATCTGAGAAGAAGATGGATCGAGTCTGCCTTGAGTTTTTTTTTTCTAAAAAAGGAGGCAAGATCACTTCTAGCCTTTGACTTCACCATGCGTGTGTTAGAAGCTGAAGAAGAACACTTGCAGAAAATTGCGAAAAAATCAAAGCCAAAAAATTGAGGACAAAAAATTTCTGGATGCGTACAGCATTGCCTCGAAGAGCTATGCTTCTGTTATTGCGATGACAAATCGATAATCGTTAGAGAGAACTGTGGATGGCGATGGCCAATACAGCTCTGAAAACAAAGGCTCAGTTCCATTCATAATAACAGTCAGGGCGTTTTAAGGCTTATTAGATAATTTTTCAAGAAAAAAAGATCGCAATGAGCACTTACCTCTTTATATTCATTTAAAGTGACACAACAGTGTGAAACTGGAAAAAATTGTGAGATAAGACTGACAAGAATTCTTATTGACTGGTCTTACATACGATAGATTTCAACATATTTAGTTAATTATTCATTTATGTTTCGCACAGTTGTGCAAAAAAATAAAAAGGAACACAAACTTTTAATTTGTTGTTGAACGGCGGCCAAGGTTGGTATGGTAACAAATTATTATTTGGCTGCACTGCTACCAATAATTTAGCCAATAATTGACACAATAATTAATAAAAATTCAATTAATTATTAGTTATTGCAATCAACGAAACTATATTCAAATTATGCCAAGATTCAGAGAAGGCCGAACTAGAACGTTATTAAAAGAATTAAAACAAGCTGTTTGGATTGTAAGTTTTTTATTTTTTTATTTTTTGAATTTTACTTATTTATTTTATTTTTTTAGATGGAATGGTTGCAGGTTGGTAACATAAAGAACCTATGAAAAAATCCATCGTAAAAACTGTCGCAAGAATTTCTAATTGTGAGAAGTAAAGTGATTGAGATTTCGATTACAAATTGAATATAGGTTTAGTGAATTACCTTAAATCTATCCGTCGTTTTCAGCTATTGATTATTACTTACAGTTCATTTATATAGCATTAATGTGCGGGTGTATGTGCATATCGTTTATCCATTTTCCGATTTGCAATTTGAAAAAAAATTAAGTTGTTCTAGAGGTCGCACGAATTCCATAACATAAAATAAGGTGCGAAAGATCCGACTGATTGACCTCGGCATAGTGAAAAAACATTAATTTAAGTTTTTACTAAGCTCTCACCGAACTAGTGAAGGATCAAAAATTCAAAGCGTACAACGTCTCCTTCAGAGCTGAATTTATTTGATTTTATTCAATTCTCACTTAATTTTTATTTAGGTTTAATTTTTTATTTACACCTCCAAAGAAGGTGACGTATCGCCGAAAGTCATAAGCAAACTTTGAGTTTATTTATTGATAATTCTACCAATTCGGTAATTATGAAAAACTAAAATATCTCGAAATATCTACCGTAGTTATGGTTGGAAATTAGCATGTTGAGAGCAAGAGATTGAAATTGCGGGTAGTGACAGATGATTTTAGCAGATGCACAGCAATGTAGTGTTTGTAAGGCTAATGTACTGGTTCTAGAGAGTAATTAGTAACTTTTGGAGGAAAAACGAGGAGGAGTAGAAGCAAAAGCAGACAGTGTTTAGCATTTTTTCTTTGAAGATTAGTTGGACTGACAGGAATTCGTAATTTCCAGCTAAGAAGGTAAACAGAAGCTGATTCAATACGGTGCCGACAACTAACGCTTTCTATTTGACAGCAGTGTTGTTGGGATTGAAAAACACATTATATGCAAACTTTATTAGATAAAATAGCTCGTGAATTTCATATGCAGTTACGTAGAGTAAATAAAGAGTTCAACTTCAGCCTTCCAACAGGCTGGCTGATGTTTGCAATTGTATGTGAAAAACAAATTCATCAGGAGGAAGAATGGAAGCTAAAACATAGCTGTTTATCACCTCAAGCGAATTGAGATGGATTAGCATTCTATTACAATTAAGCTTCAAGGATCATGTTTCTGGGACACATGTATCCCCAATAAATAAAAAAAAGTGAGCCCCATGTTTTATCAAATGAAAAATCTATAAAAAGCTGCTTCTATTTGCTTAAATGTAAGCCATATCTTTCTGACTGTCAGCAGCAGTTGCTGGAAATTTCTATTAAGAGATAAGAGCATTACGGTTTTTTTTCTGCATAAAATCGCTCCCAATGATAGCCAAATTCAAGGAATTCACAATTTGATTGTGGGATCCATTTTTCTAGAACAAAATGAAACTACAAGCTTGAAAGAAGTTGTTTGTGGAGTAAATAAATCTGTGCCGTTCTTGTAAAGACTTAGATCTGCAGTGGAAGCGAAATGTCTGTTCGATTACTGTTATTGCTCTTTAGGTTCAAGAAGGAGCAGAAAAGTTACGCAGATGTCAGAAATCATTAGAATCATGATTGGAGAGCAAAAACAGATTTGGTCCAAAAGCAGTTTAATTTTGATGGAATTAAGTTAAACTCAAAACTCAAGTTAAATTCCTCTTCATGTCCTTGAAAAGTTTAAGTATTTTTTCATTTCTAGTTAAGCACCTCTTCAGACGTACTCTTCTTCCCTCGTCAATGAAACTTTTTTGTTGAAAGTTACTTAATAGCTGTCTCTCTGCAACTCATAGACGCTCTCAACTCTGGAATAAAAAGAGTACGAAAATAGAGGCATGATATTAGGTTGTCCGGAAATTAATGCAGGTTTTGAATTCCAACCGCAATAAGTCATACACTTTTCATTTCTAAGTAGGTTGCAAAACACCATTCGATAGAACAAAGCAAGCTCTACAAGATGGCTATCTTGCTTCAGCAACATCTCCAATCCACGACGAGTTTCGAGCCAAAAACTAAAAAGAATCAACTGCCCGAAAATTTAGAAAAATCCTGACTTAGTTCATAAAAATCCTACAAAATTTCTAATTTGCTCACGTAAACAGAATCTACTTTGGGCATCTATATACGCCGTTGCCGTATTTTTTCTCTGTTAGAGATCAAGAACACGGAAATTTTCGTGCATTTGTCAAAGTGATGCTGTGCCGTTCCAAGATAAGTAGTTGTATACTACAAACCTGTAGAAGTACAAACTTAAATTTCCAGCTCTCTACAAGCTTTAATTTTCGAGAAATGTGGAATATAGTTTTCCCTAGTCATGTGATCCAAGCTAAAATTCAAATTTCTCGAGAGCTGAAGCTTGTAGAGAGCTGGAAATTTAAGTTTGTACTTCTACAGGTTTGTAGTATACAACTACTTATCTTGGAACGGCACAGCATCACTTTGACAAATGCACGAAAATTTCCGTGTTCTTGATCTCTAACAGAGAAAGAATACGGCAA